TGGAGACCATCCATGGAAACAGTAACAATGGCTCTTGGTCATTTTGGTTTTTACTTGTTGAGATCCTCGATACATCCTGAAAGCCATTAATACATTAAATGATCCAACAAAAAGAACAAAGAATGAAATCTGTCGGGATCAGCACTGACATTCCCTCACGCTGAATGTGATGATTGGAGTCTTCCTCCAGCTGCCGGCCGAACAATAGTCGTCTTCCTTCTCTGCGTTCAGTGAATCATTTTGGGAGACGGATGTAAAGTCTAACGATGGAGAAAAGTGAACAACTGCCTGCCAAAAAGAAGCAAACAACTCATGTTTTGCCACCACGCTTCATGCCTCCAGGGTTTTGTTTTAACAAATGGCTTTAAAAAAAACATAACAACAACTCCATCAACCATAGGATGTTTGCAGATCTGTTAAGAGTTTGATCATCGATGGCGCTGCAGTCACCGCTGATTGTTGGCAGTGAATCCGACTTTTTGTTGTCCCTCGCTTTCCTCCATCGCAGAAGCTTGAAAATGGTTGTTCAGCATTTAGTTTGCTAACGGAGGAGTCAGAGGGCAACCCAAAGCCCGGATATCATCCATTTCAACTTGATTTCACCCAACGATTCGTCCAGCTAATAGGGGTTCCTCTCCGGGTTATACAGCGCGCTGCGCTCCCTCACTGTTATAAATGTCTTCAACCCACCTTTAGTTAGACACCTTCCTGCAACTACTCCTCTCCTGTGTGCTGGTATTTTGCTTCCTAAAATGGGTTTTTATTGACATTTGCTGAGAGAATAAGCAATAATCCAAGCGTTGTACTTCCGAATGAATTCATGTATTCATTTGTCAGTTTTGTGTTTCAACAGTAAACAAAATAAAAGAAAGCTTCAATGTGTCAAACGTGGAAAGAATTTGAGTTCGAAGGATTTAAAAAATGGAATGAATCAGGTACCAACACCTCTTTGTTCTTCTGGCCACATCTTACACACACTCATTCTTCACATTTGCAACCTGAACATTTTTAGCATTCTTTGTGCAAGTGGAAAGCACACACACACACACACACACACACACACACGCACAGACCTGTTTACAGTTTCTGTGACTAAGTGAGCCCTTAGTAGAGCCGATGAATAATGCCCGTATTGATTGTGAGTGGGTTCCTCTGAAGGCCTTTACTCTGAGAAAAGACCACATGATTCTAAGAGAAGCTCGGAGGTTAAATGCAGGCCTTAACGAGGAACATCCCGATTAGCTGAGCCCTGCGTTCTGTCGGGACTTCACACTGCAGCGATCGGTAGTCACACACACACACAACGCTGGAGGCTGAAAGCCGGCCTCGTGTGGGCATCTGCGGTCGAGCGGGGACATCGGACCTGCGTGACGGGTCATCACGCTCCTCTCCGCCCCCCCTCTACGCAGACTCCTCTGGACTTTAGCGTGTCAGCACTTTGCTTTGAAGAGGAACCAGCGTCCATCCCTTAGAGAGCCTGTGTTCAGAGGAGGCTATTTAGAGCCTTTAGTTCCTCCGCCGATGCTCAAACCACTGAGGATCCTCCTCGGCTGATTCCACCTCGGCCTCTAAAGCTTTAGGTCAAACAAAAATAACATGAATGACAGAAATGTCATGTTTGCTTCAGATTATCCGCGTGGTTTACCACTGTCTGAGATTTGAGTGATGCTCTTTTAATTACATCATGGTGCTTTCTTCCATGATTTAATGAGACTGCAAAGGCGAATTAGCATTACAGGTTATTTATCTTGATGCAGACATCTCATCATATTCATATAACTGGTGTGGATGGACTTTTGCAGATATTCGGGATACTTTCATTTGTAAGAAAACACGTCTATAGTTTCAGGCCGCAGCCTCTAAAGCCCAAACACAAATGAGAGGAAAGTTAAGCTGTTTTTGAAGGGCTGATTGATTCAGGGGGCAATTAGGTTTTTTTTGTGGAAGAGATTTTGGAGAATCTCACAGAGGTGATCCTCTCTGGCTCGCTGTGTCTCACCCGGGTTCGTACCGGGACTGCACCCCCCCCCGGAGTGACCTGCTCAAGGACACTTCAGCAGGGCGGCTCTAACAGGGGTCTCGGGATGAAAAAACGGAATTAGTCTCGTATCTAAACCAGCATGTGTGCAGCGGAGGCCTTGGATCCAGCTCCTTGTGGGGAGAGAGCAAACAGCAGGCGTCTCAGGGCAATCGCCCCCTGTGGACTCTCAAATGGAGCCGCCCGCCTACCGCCATGGATACACGCACGCATCCAGGAGGTCTGAAGCACACTTCTGTGAGAGCTCGCCGCTAATGACCTGCAGCACGGAACAATGAGCGCGACTTTCTTTCTTCTGGTTCCTTGTGCTACTGTACAGCAGCTGCTGCTGTACCAGGACCCGGAGCTTTGTCCGATCCTCCACAGGAAAAGCGAGAGGGTCGATGCAGAGAGGCCGTCACCGCCAGGCCTTTGTAGATCATTTATTATTGATTCAGCGGATATGAGGTGGGTGGAGCGAGGAGGGCGGAGAGCGAGAGAAAGTCGGTAATAAGACTTATTTACAAAGTGGGAAGAGGGCGATGGGAATTTAAAGTCCCTCGGCTAAATTGGTAAAACGGATCAGCGATGTTGAACAGATAGTTAGTGATGGACTGATGGCGTCGAGGTCGGGCTCGAGGTCGCGTGGGACTCGTAGCTCCGGGTATTCGACTTGTAGCAACACGCTTCCTGCGGGCTGCTTTGCCCGCGGCAGAAACATCTCCGCGTCGTCCTCCACCCACAGTGTTTCCAGTCGCCGAGCCTCGATGAGCGGCGGAGAAACTCTTCGGGGACGCGACTGTCTGCACGCTGTCACAGCGCACTGTGCCAGGGAGGAGAAGGTGGAGGGTGGCTCAGTGAGCTCAGTGAGCTCAGTGAGCACAGCAGCAGCCAATGGGACGGATCTGCACGTAGCAAACCTTCAATACATCTGATTTGATTCCAATTTTAAATGTGCACATCGGAAAAAAACTAAAGCAAATGCAAACAGACATCCAAGGGTGGCCAATGATGTCAAAATACATTTCTTACAGTAGGATGTCTTTTGTCATTAGCAAAAGACATCACAGAATACTCGTCCCTCATCGTCTCTGCAGAGGCGACATTGCTCGCGTTGATATGCGTTCGCATTGGGATGGTTGAACCTCCAAACGATGGGATCCACACCACAGAATGCAGCAGAGCCAGAACCTGCTCGGCACTGGAGAGAGAAGTGCCGCCAGGACGGAGGCCCGGGGAGAAGACATCCATCAAACCGCCGCCCCGCACCCAACGAGAACCGACGGTGTCAACGGCACCACCGTGGCCTCCATCAATCTCCCTCTTCAATGCAACACTCTCGTTACAGTCATGAAAGTACAGTAAAAGCGTGAGTGGAATATCGCTCAGCGAAATGAGTCAGTGGAAGAAGTGGGCTGCATTACTGAAGGGGGAGAAATAAAGCTGATATGTCAAGAAGACAAAATGATTGTAGGTTACAGTGTCAAGTTATCACATCAGTACCACTGTGCAGCGCTCACAACCTCCAAACCAGCCTTCAGGGAAACTGGGTTTATTTATAATATTAAGCAAATGTAAGAGAAGTTCGTCAAAGTAATGTGCACACAGAACTTTGACTAAAGAATAGCTAATACCTGTCTGCTAGCCTGTTGGCTCACTTTGAATGAACATCCAACCTAAACCGAGCAGTGCTTTTAGAACATTTTCGAAGGATGCCCGACTGCATATCCTCACTGTGTTTTTAAAAGGCTTAATAGAAAACTGAGTGAACTCTGATCAACAGCAGGACGGACCGGTGTGTGTGTGTGTGTGTGTGTGTGTGTGTGTGTGTGTGGGGGGAACAAGCACAAGCCGGAGCATCTCTGTGCGGAGGCTGACTGGTCGCGTTCATGCCGTGATTACAGCACAAGAAGGAAAGGACAGTTTGTGTGGGAATAACACGGCTGTCTCCCATCAAGGTCACATCTGCAGCAGCTCTGTGGAGATACAGATGTACTTCTGCACAGCCTAAAGATGCATTTTGTTTGTAGAATGTAGCATAACTGAAAGCGACTGGGATCAGGCTCCAGACATGAGCAAATCTTTGTCCTGTTGGTCTTCAGCAGCTCTTAGTGGTCACGGTTAAGAACTGCAGGATGCTGCACAAAGTTGCATACTTACATCTGCAATTTATATACAAATGCAACCGCATTTGCAGTATTAAAATCTGTGTGCTTCTGTGACAACAAAAGCTCATATTCCCATCGCGGTCTGTGATGTTGATATTGTGCATAATGCATGTAATATGGTGGGAAATCTACTTTATTGAGCGGCGTCCTAGAATCAGCCTGAGGCTTGTAATTGGACGATGAAAGATATTCACCACGATTACGATAGTGATTATGAGATAAATCCACGTCTTCTCAGGTCTCTCAAGTATCTCAAGCTGTAGCCAAAATTAACCGGACTTTCCCAAACGTTGTGAATTTCACCCCAAATTGCGCAAACACACGTGCAGATGAACTGTACCCGCCCTGCAGTTAGTAAAAATGTGAGTTTCTGCCCTATAAATGATTTACGCAGCATCGAACGAGATGAATGAGTGTGGGGTGCAAGGCGGTAGATGGTGTTTTGAAAACACTGAATATCTGATATGTCTAATTAGAGATGCGACCGCTACTCAAGAGGAAGACACAGCGTGAGGTAAGAGGTCAGAGTGGAGCCTTTAGGTTCCTGCAGAATGCCCCTTGTGTTTGGACTGCTGTTCTCTGGATAAATAAAACAACAATCTTTCATGCTTGTCATCTAAATCACTCTGTTTAATTGAGTGGGAAACATCCAAACCGGGGGGGGCATCAGTCTTGAATTTCCCTTTGACGCACACGAATCGAGAGACGTTAAACGCTAGATTCCTGAGGAAGTAAGAGTCATTTCCTGGTCCCTCAAGCAGCACAAGGAGAGTGTGTGGTAACACAAGCCCCCCCCCTCACACACACACACACACACACACTAATGCCGAAATGCCGGTTTGTCCTCCACACACTCCACCTCTCCCTTCCTGCGGCCCTCCCTGATCCTTGTGGCTGCCCGTCCGGCCTCCGTCTCGTGGGCCCTGGAGCTGCATTAGAAGCCTCACAGCAGCGAACCTCCGTCACTCAGGATGGAGTCCGGACCTCCCAGCCTGCCGCTGCTGCTGCTCCTCACCTGCCTGCTGCACTGCTGTAAGGAGCCGCCGCGCCTCCAGGGTTCGAGGACGTTCCTTCAGTCGAACCCAGTCTCCAGACTCTGACTTTTGTTTGTCTTTTCCCCTCCAAACGCAGGGCAGGGTGGCCGAGGACAGCCGTGTGAGTACAACCGCGCTGTGTGCGACTCGATGGGAACGAATGTAGTGTCGCGTCTCAGATTAAGAAAGCTATTTTTACCTCGCGCGGTTTATTTTCTGCGAGTTGGGCATCGCATCGCGCTCTCCTGGCCTCCTTGATATCTGAAAGTCTTCAGTGAGATTCATTGAAGATATTTTTAGGTGCACAGACGACTCTGAGGTGATCTGTCAACTCGGTTTGAATAAACCTGCCAAATTTTGAATAGCTTTGAAATAGCTTGTGTTTGGATGCAAATGCCTGTGGGTTTTGTTTTTTTTGTGCACACAAACGCGACCTTTAGCGCCCGAATGAGATGCACCGGGCTTTCCAACAACTACAAAGTACCACATCCTCTTTATTATTATGCACCTTCAAAATGTTCCGGGAGTGTGGAGCGAAACCCTTATGGTGGGTGTGAGCGATGGTTCGAACCAACAGAAGACTTTACGTTCTGCTTCAGTTTCCATAGTTCTTTTCACCGCATAAATCAACACACCTCCCCCGCCCCCCCCCCTCCCCGTGGGGGTTGCAGGGGGTTCAGATGCCGTTTGTTGAAGCCTTTTCCTTCCTCCAGCACCTCCCTCAGACTGGAGGCCCGGGCAGCGCCAACACACCCTGACTGGTGCATTGTGGCGCTCGCTCCGTCCCCTGCTGTTGGTTTTGCTGTTCATCTCTCACGCATGTCTGTATGTGCATGTGTGTGTTTGTTTTGTGCGACGTGTGCCGCCCTACAGCGTACACCATAGACACCGTTGACCTCACGATCCTCCCCAGCGGCGCGGTTCAGAGCGGCACCCCGGTGACCGTGCGCTGCCGCGTCAGAGTCAGCCACGACAACATCCCCCACCTGCAGCACGACTTCCAGCTCAGGCTGGACGACGTGCCCGTCCACTCCTCCACCACCGAGGACGACTCCATCGCGTACCAACTGCCCCGGGCGCGGGCCGCCGACTCCGGCAGCTACGAGTGTCGAGTCACCGTCCGGGACAAGAGCAAAGCCAGCTTCGGCAGAAAGCTCCACGTGGCAGGTGAAGCTGCGCGTTGGCACTGTGGATTTCTCATAACCGGGGGTTCATTTGTTTTTACTCAGATGCCATTGTTCATGTCTGACAGGACACTACGGCGTCAAAGAATGCAATTTTATCGCTGGAATTCTGCTGCGTATCAGCACATTTGGGGACGGAAAATCAACATAAACCCGTTGGACAAAACCAGTGTTTGTTTTGTGCTGTTTTCCGTTGATGAATAATTCACAATACTGTCAGCTGTTTTCCACAGCACGACAGATTTAAGACTGAGGTTCCGTCTTCTGCAGTTTAACGAAAACATTCCCTGACTTTCTTCAGTTAAATATCAATCACAGCAAACATTCTGGCTGCGTCGTTGTTTTGTGAGAAGTTATGCCACAACTCGTAAACAACGTCCTTGGTGAGGACGTCTGAAAAGGACAAAGGACAAGCAAACATACCATAGATGCAGGGAAAATATCTATTGTTGTTTTCTTGCATTCCATTGCAGCTGCTGGCATTAATTTATAACTAACTTATAAATTGTAAAGAATGGCTATTAACGGATTCGGGAAAGTTCTGACTCTGAAGACTTTTCACACCTCATTCGCAGGCAGCTCAATCATGTGTAATATTTCCTCTGAACAAACACTGACGGCTTTACTTCCTTTTGGTTTGCGCTCTCAGGCCTGCAGACCCCCGTTCTGTATTTGAGCAATGCTTCACCCTATGAGAGCGAGGAGTTCACAGCCACCTGCAGTGCGCCGGAGGAGAAGGGACCCCTCGTCTTCAGGTTTTACCAGATGTCTCTGCCCGGAGACCCGAAGAAGATAAAGCAGCCGCCCCCCTCTGGGGTCTCATCGGAGACCACGCTGGTCCTGAGGAGCGTTGGAGACAGCACCCTGTACTGTGACTACGAGGTCAATCTGGTTTCTGGGGCCAGACGCTCAAACCGCAGCAACGAGATTCCGGTGATCGTCAAAGGTGATTAGTTCAGAAGCTCGCGCGTCTCCAAGGGAATGTCCGAATGCTCGAAGAGGCTCGTGGGATTGACTCTCCCGAGTTGTGTCTTGCAGCACTCTACATCTCCCCGACCATGAATGTGCTGCCCTTTTTGGACGTCTTCGAGGGCGACGTAATGGAGGTGGTCTGTAAAGTGGTGAATCCACCGAAGAACATTGAAGTATTCCTGACGAAGGACAGGAGGGTCCTCAAGAAAGCCCCAGTCAGCCTCAGCCACCTGTTCACTGCTCGCGAAGGCGACTCTGGGACGCTGGTGTGCAAGGCCGAGTGGGGCAACGTGCAGAAGGAAACCAATAAAACGCTCACAGTCAAAGGCAAGAGCTAGATAACTTTGCCATAAAGTGTCTAATATCAAATCATCATCGTCTTGTTTTCATTATTAAACAGTACGCCACATATCCGCTGTATAATACTTGATTCCTTCACTCCTCCAGAGCTGTTTTCAAAGCCACAGCTGACTCTGCAGCCCAAAGACTTATTCGAGGGGGATCGCCTCAAAATGACCTGCTCCGTCTCCATCTACGCTTCTGAGCGGATCGGCAACGAAAGCATGCGGTTCTCCATCTACAAAGACGGCGCCAAGCTCACCGACGCGCGCACGTACAACACTACGGCGGAACCCCCTACAAACGGCAACTACACCTGCAGGGCCGAGGCTACGTCGCTATCGTACACCGACGTGGCCAAAGAAAGCCAAGCGCTTGTTGTCAAAGCCAAAGGCGAGTCGTGCGCGCGAGCATTTAGCCCCCAGTGCACAGACTCTTGTTTATCTCCATCGTTCCGCTGCAAATGACTAAGCGGCTAATTATCTGATCCCCAGTTCCTGTTTCCGAGCCCGTGCTGAGTGTGGTGGGGGGCACGCTGGTGTTGGGAAAGCGCTTCCAGCTGCTGTGTCGCAGCGACAACGGCACCCTGCCCATCGACTACACGCTGAGCAGCCCCGGGAGGCCGGCAGAGACCATCGTGGTGAGCAAGCCCGGGGAGGAGGCCGTCTTTAACTCCTCTGCCATCCGCCAGACGTCAGACTTAAGCGACTTCCTGTGCCGCGCGGCTAACGGCGAGAACCGGCGCTCCATGTCGGTGACGGGGCGACGGCTGCAGCGTTTGAGCATCATAGGTGTGTTGGTCGACGGTTTGTACGTGGTTAACGTGTCGAACCCTCCGGTCTGAAGTGCGTTTGACTCCGCGCAGAGCCGGTCTCCGTGCCGGTGCTGACGGTGTTCCCCGGCGCGGGAGATGTCTCCGGGGGGCAGAACGTGACTCTCTCCTGCTCGGTGCAGCGAGGCAGCCTCCCCATCAGCTTCACCTGGTTCCACACCGAGACGGAGGGCCCCCTCTTCTTCCGGCTCTCCCAGAAGCGGGAGGAGTCCTACAGCATCAGCAGCATCAGGAGGGAGCAGGCGGGGGAATACTACTGTGTGGGCGACAACCCGGCCAACGAGACCAAACGAAGCCTCCGCGTCGTCATCGGAGGTGCGTCCCGTCTTCAGCTAACGGTTAACATGTCATGTCAGGTCATGTCTGCCCACCTTTGACCGGAGCAAGTACACTTTTAGAAAATGAGGAGTCTAAATGTGTTTTGGGTTGTTTTATATTCTTTTTTTAAAATGTATTCTTTGAAATTGAATGAGTTTCATGGAGTATGAAGTATAGGCCTTGTGGCTATTATTACATACAAATGATTGCATAAGATACCACATAGAAACTGGATGAAATGATGAAAGTTAAAGACAAACTGTGTTTTGTAATCAGATTATAACATAATTCATCTGTGTATTCCATTTCAATGTGTTTTGCAGTGAAGATGGCCGGTTGGAAGAAAGGTCTCATCGCTGTTTTTGTCCTCTGCATCCTGCTCATACTGGCGATGATCCTGATCCTCGCCTTAAAAAGACGCCTCCTTCAATTCAAGAGGAGGAGAACTGGCGAGCTGTCGGTGTAAGTGACATTGCTGACGTTCTTCTCAAACATCTGTATTTTGAAGGTAAAGCGAAATTCAGTAGCGAGTGCAGACAGTGTGGTGACGCCGGGGCGGCTTCCTGTTTTAAAAAAGCTGACTGTGTGTTTTGTGTCGGCCTCTTGTCAGGAAGTCAGCCAGCACCAAGGCGGAGCGGCTGAGCCTCACACAGGCAGAGGTCAACGAGGCCGCCAATGGTACGGTCTCTCATGCTGATGTAAATGTATCCTAATGTGTCTTTGTTTGCTGTTTTTGTGAAAGTAGCGGTGTCGATTTGACTGATTGAAAGACTGTCTCTTCTCCTCTCTGTGTAGTCACTCCAGGCATGATTGGGAAGAGTGTTTGGAGTGAACATCCATCGGGCTCGGGTGAGTAGTGTGAAGACCGTGTTTTAACTTGTGAACCAATCCCACAAAAAAGAAGCAAACTAACAATGTGTTGGGCTGTTGTCAATCATTTCTGCATATGTATCTTTAATGATATTAATTAAACAACCTAAAAAATCAAGAAATATTAGACTGAAAAATGTTTTGAAAGAAACTAAAAAAATGGCCAAAAGTTATATAGGTCAAAAAATGTCATTGAAAAATGTTGAGAAATATTAGGTTGAAAAAAGTAGTCAAACATAATAGGTGGAAAAAGATGTTTTAAAATATATATATGTATATATATATATTTTTTTTCTAGAAATATTAGGTAAAAAAAAAATTTCAAAAGAAAAATAGGTCAAAAAAAATATGTTAGGAAGTAAAGGAAAGACAGTCAAAAAACATTAGGCCAAAACAAGTTTTGAAAAGAAAACTAAAAATATGTGGGGTTGAAAAACTTGGAACATGGAAACAGAAATCTTTCCTGTAACAGCTGGTCACTGTGGTGTTAAACCAACATTTCTTAAAGAGGAGTAAATAACTATTTTCAGCTGTGTATTAATACACATGTGGTGCATTGGAGTATTTTTAGCTGCAGGTCAAGGTGTTTGGGATTAACTCCAGGTGTCAGTGTCTATGTAATAAATGAACAAACCAGCCAGTGCAACAGTGTGGCTCATTGGTGTCTAAATTATTTAAATTGTTCCTACTTTGAGTACTGTACTGTTTAATTTGAAATGACATGAAATGCTATTAGGTTTAACTTCAGCCCCCGTACTCGGTTGTACTGCAGACTCCGAAGACCAGAATAGTGTGACCGCTCCAGAAAAGCCAGCGGAACCTCAATACGCTGAGGTGCAGATCCGACAGGCCGATTCCAACCCAGGTCAGACTGACCCTATTTATTAGCTTAATCCTTTTGAAATTAAAAAAAAACAAGGTGTCAAATATGTGTCATTTTGTTGTCGACAGTCGCGGAGACACCGGAGACGGAGTCCAGCGAGGTGCGGCCCTCCAAGCAAGGTACGACCCACATCCCGCCCCGCGCTCAAATCCCACTCACGTTACGCGGCGAGAGAAAATCGGGGGCCGCTGACGTTTGAAAAAGAAAAGCGCCAGGAAACAGGAATCAGCTCCGACTGTAAACATCTGCATTGTTCAGTGAAAGAATGTCCCGTTGAAACAGAAGGCCCCCGTCGCCAGGTGTCCACTTCCTGCTATCGTAAGAGACCACTTCCTGTTCTAACAATCGGAGCCAAACAGTACGAACATCCGTTGAGACTAAGTGAGCAACACGCCATTGTTTCACGCCGGTGGGTCGAACTCTCGCCCATTGTTCGGTCATCGCCTCCTAATAACTCCCGGCGGCTTAAATGTCAGCTGTGGTGACGCAAAACCGCGCGTTAGAGGGGAGCAACATGTGACACGCGTGTTTTTTTGCTCTTTGTGCAGAAGAGACTTGCTCGCCGACAAAGATTTGTGAGCATGTGAGCTCACAAATCTTTGTGTGCTCATGTGTGCGCGGCGTGATCAGCGGTTCCTGAACTTGTCGAATCCTGAGTTTGTCCTTTGTTTTTGCAGGCGTTCCAGAGCCGGCCGACGCTGTAAGTAGAGACACGCCTCAATTCGCAGTCGGTCAACCGGGCGTTCAGAGATGCGTCTACAGGAACTAGTGTACTGGTCCTCAGTGTCGTGGATGTTAGCATTCATCTCACAGCGTCACTGTGCTCCGTCCTCTATCATGACGGAAGACATTATTTGTAATAATGTTAAGTTAACTCCTAGAAATGACAAAATATTAAATCGATCTAATAGAAATAGATATTAAATAGAGTAAATAGACATTTTTGGGCTTAAGTTTGAGGCTGTATCTGTTGTAGTTAGGATTAATATTCACAATATACGATATTCAATGCTGTAGTTATTTCTGTGCAGGAGGAATTACTCGCCATCCAACACACAAATGAATTAACATTGGATACAGGCGTGAATGTCACGCTGTAAGCTTTCAGCCCGTATTAGTCTCATTCTTTCTTTGGGTGTTTTGTTGCTTCTCAGCAGGGCTCAGTGGAGTATGCACAGCTGAATCATGATCCGGATCCCCACAGTGACCACGGTAACCATGGTGACCACAGTGTCCAGGATGACTACATAGATGAGATTGATATTGACAGTGTTCACATCGACACCGTTGACCACGGGAAATGAAAACACCAAGAAGAATATTTATTCCTTGATTCATCCGGCTCGTTGATGCAGCTGGAGTCTTCGCGTTCTCCTGAATGACCTTAAAACGGCTCTGAGCATTTATGTACTTTTGGTTTTCCTGTAACGCTTCGCGAGGAACCCATCGCACTGTAGATTCACTGATTTTGTCTTTGAAGGGCAAATAAAATGTTTTTGTCAAGCGAAGTGTTCCTCTTTCCTCCTCTGGTGGTGTTGTTGGCCGAGCGCTGAGGGAGGATGTGTGTCGAAGGCTGAAAGAAAAGACACTGAAGTCTACATCCTTCCACTCGCGTCGGTGGTGACAGAGAGCTCTTTGAAGTGAGCAGTGATACTGCAGCTTCAGTGCAGAGCCTGGGACCGCTTTCATTGACTACCGGTGTGTGTGTGTGTGTGTGTGTGTGTGTGTGTGTGTGTGTGTGTGTGTGTGTGTGTGTGTGTGTGTGTGTGTGTGTGTGTGTGTGTGTGTGTGTGTGAACAACGACTGCACGGGAATCTGGTGCCACCTGCCTGTGAGCCGCCTCACAAACACCTTCCACTGGAACTCACATTGGTTTAACTGTAAATAGACGGTTGTTGCAGTCGGTCAGAGCTCCTCGTTGACTTGTCCAACAACGTTATCAATTCAGTCGTGTCTTGCTTTTGCATTAAAAATGACGTAACTGTTGCTGATTTATTTCCCACTTCTCAGTGAGTTTAAAGCACCTAAATAATCTCTCTTCACGCCCATTATTTTTCATATGGTTTAAAAACGTATCTGACCTTTTTCAAAGCCTCGTGGGAGACAAGAGGCTCCTTCTGACATTGTGCGCCTGTCAGCCGGTGAGGTGGGGCGGGCGCAGCGCGCTGCAAAGGGCCCCGGATTGGAGGCCAATGCGTCGGGTTTGCTCAGTTCGCGGCAACTGCTTGTCGACAGTCTGGATTACGGGGATCTCGCGTTTTGACAGGAAGCTCTCAGGAGCACCGAGCGGCAAACCCATGTGGGAAACTGTGACACCCGACACCCGACGGCCTGCCACGGGCTCTCACGCTTTCATCTCCATTCTTAGCGCCGACGAACATCTCTGTCTGTTCGTCTTCATTATCCGCCTGCCTGCAGTCTGGGTGCGCGCTCGTGTGTGTGTGTGTGTGTGTCTGTGTGTGTTGCACCACGTGTGGGGGGGGGGGGGGGTTGGGTTCCATGTCCCCCCCCCCCCCCCCCCGAGGCAGGAGGACAGGGGTCTGCTGCTCGTCCTCAGAGGCATCTGTGAATGGATTCCACTTCACATCCGTGTGCCAAAAGGAAAAGCAGACGGCCTCCGCTTGTGTTTAATTAATCACATTACTTAACCTTTAGGCCTCGGCGGGAAGAAACGGCGTCTTCTGTGGCCCACGGGAACCGACGCTGAGACAGGAGAGCGTGGCCTAAACTGGTTTCATTTTGGGACGCATTTGCCACATGACACCCATGCGAACCACATGAATATGGGCCCGACTGGTGTGTTTGCAAGCGTTACACAACCCCGTGTGCGGCTGCCAGCGGCGTAGAGGCGCTTTGAGGGCCCCGTCGTCTCTGCCCAAGCATGGTGCTGTTCTGCCTTCAGGTCATAACTGTCACAGGGTCAAATGATGGATTTACTGCTGTCCCCAAAGCTTCGCTGCGGGAGGTCACGTGACCTGGCACACCGTTACGGTTCCTCTCCCCGCCTGAGTAACTCTGGATCAATGCTTGTGTGGTAACAGAGGGGAGCGTCCTGTTTTTTTTTGGTGGTTTCGTCCCGTTGTTGAGAGCGGTAAAAAGAAAGAGTCTCGCAGGCCGTCTCCTTTTCGTGGACGCGCGCGTGCTGTCCGTGTCTCCGCTGCGTAACCCGACCCAGCCTCCGCCCGTATCTGGAGCACAACTCCTCAACTGCCATTGGCTGCTCTGCTAAAATTAGCATATTGACCCCTGGGAAATGCATTCTGGGAATATCGTGCCTTTGAATTGGCCTTATGGGGCCGGGACTGTTGGTCTTCAGATGCAGCGATGAGGTCATCGCGTCGACGTCCCGTCTCTTGCTCCTGCAGAGGAAACTTTATGCTACAGAGACGTTCTCAGCCTCCATGTCATAAGTTTATCTATTTATATATTCAACACGAGCATCAAGTCTTCACTTCGTTCCTAATATTCTCGTCCTTTGCTGCATTATATTATGCACACATGTTCTTCTATTTTCGTATTCCAGCGAGCAGTGATTGTAACAGGAGTAAGGACAGTGAATGCCACATCACTGTATGCACGGCCCGTGTGTATGAACTTGTGACTGTGTACAACTGACTTTGTTGGACAGTTTGTGATGGCACCACATTGATTCAAATAGACGTACAATTAATAATAAAAAGCAACATCTGCACTGACTGAAGACAGCCTGTGCAGCCATATTTCTTGATTCCCAGATAAGTGTCGCGGCAAAAGAGAGCAGAGGATGGAGACATATGAGTCGAGATGTACTCAGTCCAATGTTTTATTACAGCCATTTTTATTCAGATTTTCACTTGATGAACGGTTGTAAGTCAAACTAGTCATGATTGTTTCTAATCTTCACAATTTATGAGGTAATATTTGCTTTAAACTGTGAAATGGTAGATGTATTATGTAAATGACGACCTCCACTCAATGTCAAGCTTTCCCAATTACTTTCACTGAAATTAATTGGGAATCCACCGATGTATGAATCATAAGGCTGATATTTCACGGCTCGTTTGTCTCCATACACACCACTCGCTGGTAGGAGGCTCATTAAACAGTGCCGGGGTGTTAAAGACGAGTGCCCGCTGTAGTGAACAGTGTCTGAAACCTATTAAATGGATTAAATGACATAACTGAAGAATTATATTATATAAGTTATATAAGTCAGGTGTTTGTTTAACGCTGCATTTGATGCGGGAGCTTTTCTGGCGGGTTTTACCTGAAGTTCAAATAAGTGGCGCTTTGAAGCTGGTGTCACTTCGGGAGTCTCAACACGTGTTTCGTTGCCGCGTGTCACGGCGCCGCAGGCTGCAAAGGCAGCGCCGGCTCGCCATGATGCCGAACGCTCTTTTGTCCTTCGTATGAGGAGTAAAGGTTACATTTAGTAAGTCCCCCTGCTCGATGTCCTCCTCCTTTAATAGCTTAAGCTCTCGAACATCCAGGACATTAATTAGTCACAACCTTGTGCCACCACTTCCTGATTGACCCCCCCGGGCTGAAACGCCGTTATGCAATCCAGCATCAACACATCGGCCGCACGTATGCACGACTTTTCCATAAATGCAGCCTTCCGCTAAGGAAACCCGATCCTCACACCAACAGACGGCCTCCCCCCTTCTCCCCCCCTGTGTGAAGTTTGAGTCCCAGCGCTCTCCCAGAGTCCCCGGACAGCTGCTGCGCCTGTTTACGGCCTCTTACCCCTGAGCAAGGCAGCGCTCTTCATGCTCAATGTCAGCAGCAGTGTCACCCGCTTCTTTGCCCCCCACGTCCACTCGATGGTTTGTAATAGTGACGGTCCATAAAAGCTCCCAGCGTTTATTCAGAGCCGGACTGGAAGCCTTTTTTTAGTTCTAAAAGTAAAGTGTTTATGAGGGGATCCGTAAGGTCGAGGGGTGCGTTGGGTTCAAGCACTCTGCCCTCCCTTATGACAACATTTAGACACGGCCTGAGCGGTTATTCTCTTCCTGGAGAAAGAAAATAATGTACACATGAACCAGCAGGCCGACCGCAGAGTTCATTCACCCCCCACCAGCCAGCACCTGTCGCCTACATCAGAGCTGTGAGAACGATCATTCCAAATGTCTTGGGTGCAAAGATTGGACCTGAGGCCCGAGATAAATTGATCAGAGGTCTACGTTTAATTTAATATCACATGTATAATGGAATGCAATCACATCTCGCTCCGAGCTAATAATGTGGCTACCCTGAAAAAAACAACAGTAGTGAACATTCCCATGAAAGTATGTGCTGGTGCCTCGAGGGGGTCAAGAGGTTTCAGTCTGCAGGCTTGGGAACCACCAGTGGGACCAGGAGTTGGACAGTTTTCTTTTGGCCGGCGTGTGTCACGCGCTCGCTTTGCTCCGTGTGGGGACTCGTACACGAGAGGATCCACTGCGAACACATTGCTCAATGAAAAGGCCTTTGCTCTGTTAACCGCTCTTTTATTCGTATTTGCTTTCCCCCGCTGTCGGTTATGTTATATTGATATTAAAATAATTGTGCTACTTATTTAAATAAGATTATTATTGCCATTTCCATTTTGTTGCTGTCGTATCAGTTTGAAATTAAACTATTTACTAAACAGAATGCCATTACAAATATGAATAATAAGTCCCAGCTTGGTCTCATAATGTTAAACTATATTTACTCCTTGAGGTGGAGAAGTTAAAGAGATCCTCTATTAAAGATCTGTGACGAATATAAATCTAATCAAATACAACCAATCAATACAACCTATGAAAAAAATGCATATGTAAATAATATAACAAAACAACCGCAAAATAGTATAGTATAGAAATAGTAAAATATAATACAAGTCACGGTATTTTAACCCATTAAAGCAGCAAAGAAATAAGCAGCAGAGGAGCGAAGAGTTTTCATGTGTCTAAAATGTGACCCTCTTCAATGTGTCTGTCATTGAGTACGATGATGTCCTCTCTATTTCTCACTTTATTCTCAGGGAATGTCAGGTTTCTAGAAGCCTGTGGGGGGGTCAGGGGGGAGGGGGGGGGTTACATTCGGCCATTAAAAATTAACGCTTGGTGTTTTTTTTATGAGCTGATTGCTGCACTTTCTGGTCTCAGGGAACTTAAATCTGACTTGTTTCAGTCCCACCGGAAATACATAGAGACTCTGATCCGCTGCAGTCTAAAGAGTGCTCAGTAACGCAACCTGAATATTTTAGATTTAGATGTTAGGAATTAAACCGAGTGCATAACTACCGTAACAACGAGGGAGCGTGTGTCTGAGCCCAAGCCGTTAACAGAGCAGACATCCTTGAAAGCCGGACTCGAGAACTTGTTTACGGCCTCAAAAAGTCACATTGAGAAAGCTGTTGACACCGCGTGGACGTGCGCCTTCGTTCCCCCCGTGGTGTCAATCATCGTCTCGGCTAATATTGTCTTTGGCGACGCTCCTCACACCTGAGTTGATGTTTTCAACTTTGGCTTCTTGGTAATTTGACGGATCATAACATGCGGGGCGGCCTGGGACTATGTATAGCGAGAAGCTGGAGACCTCGCACTGGCATTTGTCCGAGAGAGGGCAACAGACAAACATTTGCCACATGCGGAGGTTCTCTTTTGCCCTGGTGAGAAGGTCCGGAGAACCTGAGGAGTGAAGGGAACCCGGAGGAAGTATCTCATCGGCAGCCCCGCCATCCCTTATAAGAGACTTTGAAACCTGATAGCTGTCGCTAAAGGTCTCTTGCTCCAGCTGAGAACATTCAAACACTCTCACTTCAGAGTCGTTTGTAAAATAAATAAGTGCTGTGGAATATTCTTCAGGATGTGCTGTGGAGAAAAAGGTCCCATCTTAAGTTGCTGGCGGTTGTTGTCAGAAACGCGAACCTGAAGATGGCAGCTAAGTTATTTCCTCTGTGACATTGGCAGCATCTGTGAAATGCCCAAGAACTCTTTCAAAGGATTAGTGAACCAGTTCCAACCGGCTCGCCCCTGTCGCAGAATTCCATCCGGTTGAGGGACAGCTGGAGCCGCCGGGCCCCCGACGTTACACGGCACCATTAAGAGAAACAAACAACTGTGTTACTCCACATCTTCAATCTTCAATTTGCGACATCAGAAGAGCAATGGGATTCATGTTGAGGAGAAATGCGGCATTCAGCTCCGTCTGCGTCAACGTTCTTCAGGCAGCCCAAAGTTCAGCGTCGTAAATAGCTGCGTTTCTGGAGACCTTGTGACTTCTCAGCAGCATCTGAAGGGAGAGGTTACATGTAGGGGGCTCCCATGCATAGCGTCCTCAGTGGGGGGACGTCTATGGGGTCTCTGGTTATGGTGCAAAGGCCAACCATGAAATGTCACATGACGGACCCGCTGGTCAAAAGAGAACACAAAAAAAACACAGGAAAATGTTTTTTTCAAATCTTCTAACCACTGTGGTCTACTTAGTTTACGTCACCAGACAAATCAACAACACACACCTAAAATAACAACACGCCGCCGCTGTTTGCTGTTGTTTACATGTTCTGCAAAACATGTCTAAGAATAATTAAGCCAAAACCATGTGATTCGCTGAAAGTTGCCGTGCGTCGCTGCCCCACAATGACTCAAATGAAGTGGATATCTGGGCTCCAAGCATCCTGTGCATGTGAGTTATAGTACCCCTCTTTAGCATCAAGATGAATCATGATTGTTTATTTGGGAAGATGTAGGTCTCAAGCAAGACTCAAAGGGAACATTGTGGTTGTCAACATTTTTTACGAGGGGCGTGCGCAGTGTCAGTGTGCATGTGACTGCACGCCGGGTGGAGCCGATCAGCGGCCACTCATTTCTGAGCTGAAGTCACTGGATATCAGGCCCAAAAATAGCCATGCAGAGGGTATAAAGGGGTCCTCCTCTACGCTCCCCATCAGACGACGGTTCTTTGCAAACAGCAAACGCGCTGTGCATGAGATCAACTAGGATTCAGACAAGTTCACAGCAGGCGAGAAAAAGAGGATCGTAGGAGCTAAAGGATTTGAGAAGTGTTCGTACTGTGCAACAAACACAGGGTGACGCTCCGGTCCCGGGAACCCAAGGGACAGTACGCGGGCGAGGAGAGGACAAAGAGCTCACGGGGCGACGGATACTGCTCTTTCCTTTTGGATTGCTTGTGTTTGGCTCTCGGGTTTTCTCGCTTCGCTCCTCCCGGGCTGACGGCAGAGGGGGGGAGAGGAGGCCGAGTCGCCGCAGGGATGAAGTACAACTACCACGTTCCGGTGTCGACGTACACCCGCAGCTCGCAGTACACGCCGACGTACCACACCCCTACCTATTACACAGCCTCCCATTACACCCCGACCACGGCGCTCTACGCGGCCGCTTACACCTCTCCGACAAAGTACACCTCGACGCAGTACAGCGCGCCGTCGCAATACACGTCCACCTACAGGCCGGCATCCACGTACACGTCCTCGTACAGCAAGGGGTCACGGTACAGTTCAACGCGCCGCACAGCAGCGCAGGAAAGCCCTGCGCCGGTGATACCCGTCGCACCTGCAAAGAGAACGGTGCACTTCCCGAATGACATCATCTTCCAGGACATTGTGAGACGAGGAGATCTGGAGCAGATCGGTCGCTTCATGCGAGCGAGGAAGGTTCGGGTGGACGCACTCTTCCACTCGGGTACGTCTGCACAACCTTTTCCTTTCGCGTTGCATTGTCGGGCCATTTCTTTGGGTCGAGTTTGAGATTATAAATACTCACAGCGACCGGGCTGCTGCAGAGGGCGGACTGACGGAGTCTTGTGTGCAGGTATGGCAGCGCTCCATGAAGCCGTGCTGACAGGAAACCTGGAGGTGGTGAAGTTGCTGGTGAAATATGGCGCTGACGTTCACCAGAGAGACGAGGACGGCTGGACGCCGCTCCACATGGCCTGCAGCGACGGATACCCGGAGATTGCTAGGTGACCTTTAAACCTTTTTCCGTCCTGGCTGCCTGTCGCTTCCCCTTTTTTTAGCAAACTGACCGCACGCAATAAAACATGAGCGACTTCTTTATGTGCTGCAGATTTAGATTGGCATTTAAAAGTATGGAAATTTGGCACATCTGCTATCTCGTTAGAATACTTCAAATATTCCTTTTAAGATTAAGGCACATGATTACAATTACCTTGCTGAGACAAAGGTTTCTATGGATTTGACGGCTCTGAACAGGGAATGAAAAAACAAACGAAACAGATACATAATTCATGACAATAGACATATCAATCGTATTCCAAATTAAGCAAAACCTGTGCTAATTCAACGGAAACGTCAATCGTTGTGATCAGCTGCGGTAATAATGAACTGTGTTGTGTTTTCTATATATATAAAATCTTTTGGTTAGTAACGCTGTGCGTCATCCTTCGCTCAGGTATCTGCTGTCGATAGGCGCCAGCACAGAGGCGGAGAACGAAAGCGGAGAAAAGCCCCAAGGCCTCATCGACCCAGACTGCAAAGAGCTGGTCAAACTGTTTGAGGCCGGTTGTGTGTGATCGGGCACCGGAGGGACCCAAGACAGAGGAGCAACCAAGACAGAAGGCTCAGCAGCCACTTGGAGAATAAGGAAATGTATTTAACAATTCTACACAGTGCAATACCAAAGAAACTCGTAACAGGGTGGAAGTACTGAGTCCGAGGTTCACTGACCCTGTGATGCAAGATGGCGGTTCTGTGTTTAAGTTTAAAAGATGTTTTTTTAAGATGCCGCACAAAAGCTATACTTTATGGGGCTTCTATTTTTTTGTGGTTATTTTGATTAACTTCGTTTTGCATATTTGTCGTTTATTGCAGGTTTCTATGTAGCAAATGTAAATGTGTTTTTTTTCCGTCTTCACTCTCAGTGCCTTTAACACAACACTAAAAATATGTCACTGCGGGACTAAATACCTACTGATTTCTAAAGGGCATAAGATGAATCTATATCTTCTTGCCATTTTGGTTTCATTATTTTAGGTCGCTGGTAGCACCCTGCGGTGTTTATTTTCCAAACTATTGTTGTATATATAGAATATATAATTACAATGAATTTACAATACAGAATTTGGGCCGGATATGTTTGTGTTTATAGACTGAGTTATCTATTCTCGCTGCTGGGCAGAAAGAGGATCAGCCAAATAAATAATTGATGGTCAGAAATAAAACAAAAACATAATTTTAAAAACCTTAAGTTTATGCCGTGTTAGCGCTTTTACTGCTGTAGTATTTCCCCGGGTGTAATGCTTTTGTATTCTGTAGTAGAAATACAAATGTTAGCAAAGAAAGTCTTATTGTTTTCTCCTCAATAACTATTTTTGTACCTTTTCATAAATAAAAACACATTTTGTAAATTTTGTTGAGTTCCTGTTGTCTAGCCTCTTTAAGAAAAAGAATAATCTATCAGAAGAACTAAAGAGAACGTCTTCAGGTTTTATCTTTCGTCCATGCTCTTTGTGTAAAGCATCTTCACTATAGAATTAAAGCATGGTAAGATTGTCCTCAACATTCGACATTCTGCTTTGAAATAGTAAATGGTTGCAAAATGTATGCTACTGTTTAACGTATGACAATCTAACGTGAATTAAAAATGGACAAGTACACTAGTAACAATGAAAATGTATTGTATTTGTATTAAAGAAATGGAGAAAAGTAAGTGGAAAAATAGACAGAACAAATTGAAAGAAATCACCAAATTAAGCCTAAATGTAATTTAGCACATATATTGTATTTTGTTGAAAGAGATACCGAACAACATTAGATAGGGACTGTGTTCTGTTTGTTATCGTCGTTATAATTCATATTATTACTATTATTGTTGTTGCTGATGTTTGTCCGTCGTCGTTTTTAAAACCCGTTCACTTCCGTTTTGTTTTCCCGGAAATGATTGGTTGGCATTGGCAACGTTTTAGGCAGGTCTAACGTCGTACACGGTCCCTGAATAAAGAAACCGAAAGGAAGGGTTGTAAAAAGGTTTGTTGACTATCTTAAAGCGGTGTCCATTACTGTTCATGTTGAAAATGTCATAAGTGCGTCAGTACATTTATAATAAATATTTTGGACCGGGCAACGCCAGACAAATACTAGCTGATGAAGCTAAAGTGACGACAAGACAATGTAACGTTATCGTCAAGCTAGCTAGCAGGCTAGCAGGCTAAAGTTAGCTGGGATGAATGTGTCAGCACATCTGTAGTTAGCGGTCCACGACACCTCGGTAGGGGGACACGATTAACAATAAACCGAAACGATCTCAGCGGCAATACACATGTTTGAATGTGGCTAGCGGTTAACGTGCGGGGGGGGCGTTTGGCTCTGTTAGCATGCAGCTAGCACCGCTGAAGCTACTGAGTCAGAACGTAAACAAAGGCTCCTGGTTTGCTATGGTCGCTGCTTCTTTTTCTTTCAATCCGCACAGATTATCATAGCTGTACAAAAAACACGTATTATTAGAAAATGTGAGGTCACAACTCTTGGATTGTATCTTTAAAAAAAAAGATTGATCTGTATTATTTCAGTTCCAAACAGCGTGGTTGGATGATGTAGAAATGCTCTCTCTGCCACTGTTAGAATCCAGCTGAGGACCTGTAAACCCTTTTTATTCCTCACATCCACTCACCACAGAGGAGCAAGGAGCGAGTGCAGACTGCAAAACAGAATGACCAGGTTGGGAACAAGTTATGACACTGAAGTACAAAGAGACCAATGTTATCAATGTTTATGTAAAGGTAACAACACTTGATGTTAAGTAACTTGTGTACTGTTTTGTGCTCGAGAAAATACAGAATATTATGTTGAAGTGTAGTTTAAAGACTTTAAAGGAAAAAGAATGTCCATTTATGCTGCTAATTTAGCTGTTTTTAATTTTGTGAAGCTCATCTGCTCCCAGGATGGTGAACAGTTACAAGCGGACTTCAAGCCCCCGATCCCCGACAAACAGCGGGGAGCTTTTCACTCCAGCACATGAGGAAAATGTGCGCTTTATTCATGATAGTAAGTACATCTTTTAATATCGATTAGTTGAATTGAAATTTAATTTTACCACTTTGAGGGATTGCAGCTGACTTGTCTCTTTGTGTTCCAACATTACAAAGAGACAATACGTTAGAATTAAAGCTCAGCAATAAACCAATAACAACATAAAGAGTTCAAAGAGTTAAATGCATTTGCCGCCTCAAAAAACAGTTGACTGATGTGTAGGTTTTTTACTACAACACACCTATAGATCAGTCGACTGTTTGGGCACTCACAGGATAAACAAAACAGGGACCGACTCATAGGAAAACCCTTCATAATGCCGCTATAGTTTAAAAATTCCTGGGTGGTGTCAAAGAGTCTCTGAGTACAAGTACTGGCGATGAAACACTTGTGTACTGTTGAGAATTTGTTTAACACCTGTACTAAGTTCAGTCAATCTTGTGTTGTCAACAGCAACAAGTTTGCGTGGTATTATTTCCTAAACGTAACAAAAGCTTTGTTGTCTTTACTCTTCCCCAGCTTGGCAGTGTGTTCTCCGAGACATCAGATCAACACAAAATAGTGAACGTAACGACCGCGGACCACAGGAGTACGTGGAGAAGAACCCAAACCCTAACCTACATTGTAAGTCGGGTTGCAGAGTAGTGAAGTGGAATTGATTTAGTATGTCACACTAAAGCTTAGAGTTCATGAACGAGAGGCCACTTAACAACTTGTTACTGTCTGCTCTTGCAGCTTTCACACCAGTGGACCTAAGCGACCTCAAGAAACGCAACACACAGGACTCCAAAAAGTCCTAGTCTTTCCCACGATGGTCCAGTCGCTTCTTTCCACCCATTATCCTCGAGAACTTTTCCTCCCTCAGCCCGAAAGTCAGCCCTGTTGGCCAGTCTATCAACAGAATGCCAATCTCGTTTCTCAAGTCTGGACCATTGCAATGCCTGTCTCTTTGCTTCCCCTCAACAACTGACAACGGAGAAAATAACGGGATTCCAAGGAGCAAAAATCCTCTCGCCTCTTGGTTCATGTTTTTTCAAGTCACGCAATTTTCATATGTACATTCTTTATGTGGATGAGACTGATGCAGACTTTCATCAAAATTTGCTGACATCTGATGCTGAGGTACACACTTTCAACACTCCACAGGACACAAAAGACTGCAGTCTTAAATATAAACCTTTTCTTTACTACTGCTACTTACATGACTTTGGAGAAAAATGTGAATGGGCTGACTTCTTTTTTTTGTTTTGAAAGATAGTATGATCAGTGAATCTTAGAAGTAATGGAATCTTCACATTGAGTACACGCTTTATGGGAAGGTTTTGGAAGCCAAATGCAATGTAGAAGGCCAACGTTTTTATTATATATTTTCTTGCCCTAAAATGGACTTTACTAAGTAGAGACCTCCCCGAGTTTGCTGTCCCTGGTTTACCCCCCCTCCCAGCCTTGAAACAAAATGTTGAATAAAGGACTTTTACAGTACTTTTACTTTTTTGAGCATTGATCCTGCATAAACACTGACCACATAAAAGGTGTAACTTAATGTTATATTAGAGGGGATTTCTTAGGCATGTATTTTAGGAGAAGAGATTATGCTAAATCATGGTGATATTGAGCTAATGATCAGTTATTTAGATTAATTGACTACAACAAGCAATTTATTACAACTATATTTGAAGTGAAGTTTGTCTGACGTATAGTTTAAGGTCAAAGACAGCTGAGAAAGCCATAAAGTTGGAAACGGGTGAATGATTAGGTTTCAAATAATACTTTAATGATTAATCAATGAACACAGCAGTCAGAGAATCGCCGGTAATTGATGATAATTGATCAGTAAATGCATGAATGGATAAATGGTGTGTGGCATCACGTGTTACGTGATGACGTCGTCTTTACGTGCAGACCACCTCGTCTATATACAGCCGACGCCACGGCCCTGTTGTGTATTCTCATCGGAGCGTTGAGCTGTGAAAGGACGAAGAGCAGAACCAGTCGAGTCTAGGGTGTACTTTTTATCGTTGACAGTTTAGCTTTATTGGAGCAGCATTATGGCCGATAAAATGGATATGTCTTTAGACGACATTATCAAGCAGAACAGGCAGCAGAGAGGTGGAGGCCGAGGCGGAAGAGGCCGAGGCCGCGGAGCCTCCGGTGGCGGACGAGGAGGCCCTGGGCGTCTTGGAGTCAGCGGCGGCGGATTTGGAGGCCGAGGCGGCGGAACCGGCCCCATGAGGAGCCGGTCGAACCTGAGCCGCGCTAGAGGCAGACCGACGCCTTACAATAGGGTATGAGAAAATTAGCGGAATGGGCAGAAAAGGAGAACCGTCGGCAGACCTGAAAATGCCTGGTTAACGTCCTTCTATTCTCCAGTAGGCTTGCAAGCTAACGTCTAGCCAGCTTGCTAATCAAGCGAATAAAAGGTTCGCTGTGACCGCCGAGTTTCCCTCGCGGAGGCTCTATGATTTGCGGTTAAAAAAAAATAATGGAAGTTGTATGCGTCGTGTGTCCCTTCTCCCACCACCCATTTGTGTTTCATCATTTTTTTTTCTTCAAGAGGAGGCATTTTGGAGGAGCGCGCATGTTAGCCACATGCTAACTAGCTCAGGCTGGATCGTGACGGCCTCGACGGCGCCATTTCGAGTCCGACACCTTTTTTTTTTTTTTTAATTAGCGCTAGTCGTCCAGGGTCTGTAACGGCTTTCCAACACAGCTGTCAGAATGGCGGTGAAAGGAAACCACTTCATCGACAAAATTCACCCACATTTTTTTTCTTTCCACACCACTTTTGGAGCGTAGTTTTTGTCCTCGTACCTACGCAGCGTCCTGGCGGCTTTTGTTCGAAGGTGGCTGCGTCTCACGACAAGGCCTCTTTGTTGGCTTCTCAACCAGCGTGGCCGTTACTTGTGGATGGATCGGTGGACTTCTACCCCCCCCCCCCGATAGTGTTCACCCGAGGCACAACCTTCACTCCTTAAGTGTGAATGAGTTTAGACGAGCCCAACAAAGCCCCAATCAAAATGGCGTGGTCTCAAAATGGACGCACAGATAATCCACGCTCTCGTACAGGGGATAGCTGGCCCTTATCTGGTTGCTTTTCCTGACCACCCCCTCATCTTATGGACCCCCCCCCCATCCTTCGTGATAGCCCGTTTCGTGGCTTGGTAAAGAACTTTTGGTCGTGCCAGGAATCGCGGTGCAGCGCTGGAGGCAACGCTGCTTCAGATGGCGACGCCCTGCGTACCCGAGGATCACATCTGGAGAGCCTTTGGTGGAGGCGCAGATGGCAAGAGAACAATGGGCAACACTGGTAGCTAGCCGGGGGGGGCAAGCTGTGCAGGGGTTAGCATAGACCTTTTTGGGGTGGGTTATTGAGTAAATAATACATTCTCAGCAAATGCCATAGGTCTTAAATTGACTTATGTGTAGATTATAAAAGTGATTTAAAATGTATTCCTTTGCTGTTTTTTTTCTGTAAAAGTCCTCTGTCTGAACTGATTCACTTGCTTGTAGTGATGGGGTGGGCAGGGAATATTTGGGAATCCTCTTTGGGGGGGGAACTGAGCGCCCTGTCGGAAGTGGAGCCCCTGCTTGCCCCAACACCCAGCCTCGTGGACTCTGTGATTGACAGAGGCAGGGGGATCCTGAAGTCAGCAGGTGCGTTCTCTTTCGTCTGTTGCAGCCCAAACAGCTTCCAGATAAGTGGCAGCATGACATGTTTGACAACGGCTTCAGCGGATTCAGTGGCCCTGTTGGAGGCGGCGGAGGAGCTGGCGTGGAAACTGGAGGGAAGCTCCTCGTCTCCAATCTGGATTTTGGGGTGTCCGATGCAGACATTCAGGTACTTTGCCTTTTTTGTTTTTGGAGCAGGTTTTGCCCGATATGTTTAATGTGTGAAACTGCTGGACAAAGGGATCAGTGCTAATGATGACATGTTTTTTTCTCCAGGAACTTTTTGCAGAGTTTGGAACACTGAAAAAAGCTGCAGTACATTACGACCGATCAGGAAGAAGCCTGGGAACCGCAGATGTCCACTTTGAAAGGCGAACAGATGCCCACAAGGCCATGAAACAGTACAATGGCATCCCACTTGATGGTATGCCTCAATCTTGAAACATATGCGGTTTCTCTTTGCTTTATATTGTGACTGAACAAGTCTTTTCACTACTGTAAACCTACACTTTTAATTTTGGGGCAGATGTCCACTTTGACTGTCTGCAGTACTTCCTTGCTTGCATTCTGAGCGCCGTGTTGTCTTTGTCACTTTAGGAAGGCCGATGAACATACAGCTAGTCACATCGCAGATTGACACACAGAGGCGACCTATGCAGGGGTGAGTGCGGTCGTCTGTTATTCCACCGACCTTGAATGTGAAACGTGGTGGGCAGCCTGTGATGAGCCCTGTGGTCTTCAGCCTGAACAGAGGTGGCGGAGGCGCTATGAACAGAGGCCGGGGGGGTGGCTTCAGAGGCATGCAGAGAGGACGCGGAGGACGCGGCGCGGCCGGCGGCAGAGGTCGGGGTGGTCGTGGCGGTGCAAGCAAACAGCAGCTGTCAGCAGAGGAACTTGATGCTCAGTTAGATGCCTACAACGCCAGGGTAGGTTCAGCAGTCAAACACTACAATTTAATAAAATGCACCCAGTCAATAAACCCTGTTAAATGTATTTCCTTTTTTTCTCCCCCAGATGGACACCAGCTAAGGAATGAAGCTCTTATGGTTTTGTTATCCCTTCCTGTCTGCACAGAAGGGCCATCGTTACAAATGTGCAGAATATTTTACACATGGTTGTCTTCTGATGTGATTTGAAATTGTTGTCCCAACCGCTTCTTTTAAATGCCCAGTATTTTTTACCAGTTTTTTTTTTTCCTGACTAAAATGGTTTTGGCTCTGTAGGTTCATGTGAATTGGGCTTATGCCAGTTCTTTCTACCATGTAGTTAATGACTCTTGTAATAAAACCTACAGTGCATATTAACCAAAAACAGTGTCTTCCATCTGTCCATTGTTTTTGAAATGCTGTTAAATTTTGTTTTGGCTCTTTCTTTCTGATCTGTCCTACACAGAATTCACTTTAACTATTCAATGTGATATTGGTAACCACGTGCATGAAGTCAGTCTTTATATTTTATATCAGGCATTGCCTCAATGTGAACGTCAGTTTTATTTATTCTGATCCTGAAATGCACATTTCGACATCCATAATTCTCAATGGGACATGTTTTTATGAAACTAGTACCTTGAATGTATTTTTGACCCAACACACCAAAATGAAATATTAAAGCAATAACTTTTAAAGCAATCTTTTTGAAGTCTATTGCTTCGCATCAAAGGGATATTTACTACAGCTGAGCATTTTCATCATAATCTCTGCCCGTTTTAACCCATTGATGCTCCATCAACTGCTCTACTGCACCCCGGCCACTAGATGTCATGCTGTCAAACCTAACGTCTACTTTTAAATGCAATAAAGCGTAGCACGCCTATGATCACTAACTCATTTTGTATATCTGCTCGTTGGCTAAATAACTTGTGCAGTTGCACAATGACTCAAGTGACGGTCGGCTGAAGGGATGAGGTGGAAGTCTACGTCTGTTAGTGTATGTGCAGCATACCTCTGCATGCCCACGCGTGTCTCAATCCGGAGGGGTTTCTTTAGGCACCCCTGTTTAAATCAATGAATACTCTTTCCGGTACTCCGGATTATTATTTTTTTGAGCGGACATAATCAGTTGATTGTACTAATGTAAATGTTTTAATTACGTCGGCCTAACGTTGCAGTGACGTCAGCTACGGGTGAGTGGACACAATAACCGGGACACCTGACATTCGCCCTTTTTTTTCTAATTGTAAAGTATTACGATCTTAATTCTATCGAGAGTAACACTCAAAAATACAGTTAAAAAAACTACGTTAACGATCTCCACGCCAAATACAGGGAAGGAATAAGCTTTTATTTTGAAGGCCACCCACCGGATGCCGTCCGCTGAGAGCGGGACGTCGGATGAAAGTTTCTTCCGCCGCTTCACTTCACTCCCTCACGCCACCGTCGACAGGAGGCTCCGCGCTAGTACCTGCGATATAACGGTAAGAATTGTCCAGACACTCGCAAAACTCGTCGGATATCTTGTTTGAGCCGAATGGACGCGTTTTTAGACGATACGAGTGAAAGTCCGAGTTGCTTTCGCGTAGTTAGGAAGTCGCTCGGCCCCTGTTGAGGAAGTACCGTTAGCAGCAAACTCACGTTACCCCTTGAATTTCACTAACGTCTCCAGATAGTTTATGTAGCTCCGCGTTGTTAAGCCCGCGCCCCGTCAATCTACGTTTTTCGTATTATTAACAGTTGCATTTGACGCAAAGGATCCGTAATCCTGTAACTACATTGCCGAGCCATCAGAAGTTATTCGGCGGCAGCAGTCGCTCGTTTCCGGGTGTCGAGCCGCCAGGTTTGGACCGTCGGACAACGACCGACGATGCGTTTAAATGTTCACACTACTCAACGCGGCGAGTGGATGCAGGGGACAGTGGACCAAACATCCACGCGGACGAGTATTTTACTTCTACTTTGACTGTGTGTGTGTGTGTGTGTGTGCGTGCATGTGTACGTGCGCGTGCGTGAGTGAGTGCGCGCGCGCCGGCACGTCAGGAACATTCTCCGCCACTTCCTGGAACTGGTGCTCACTCGGGTCATCTGCATCGTCCTGCAGGGCTCACACACCTTAAAGGAGCCTTTCCATTAGTCTGCCTTTTATTTAAGGCTTCCATAGAAACATGCAGGTAAATTACAAGTTCCCGTCTCAGAGATCACAAGCCGTGAGTCCTTCCTGTGTGTGACAAATGGTCAGGAAGTTTTTTTTTTTAAACTTTTATCTCCCTTTAAGAATTTCTGATAACACATTTCCGTAACAGTCGTCTCCTCCACCCCCCTTACTTCCTGTCTACCTGGGAATGTGTGCAGTGGGGGCCGGATGTCCCATGTGGCACCGCTGTTCTTCTGGTTGGACCTGATTGATCTGCAGTAGCCCCGACCAGATGGAATCGATCACTAAACAGTGTAGATTTTTAACTGTATCTATTCCCATTATAAAAAGCTCCCGTACGTTCAAAAGCGACCTATAAAATGGTGATTATTAACGTGGAAATCAAAAGTGTGTTCATCCCGTCCGTGATACTTACCGCCTCCAAAACACCACTATTTATTTTCTTGTTTTATTTGATCTTATTCTGGGCTGCCATGGGGACCGATGTCCTCTTCAGCCCGAGCAGCAGCTCTCGGGGGCCACATCCTGTCCGTGATGGACTGCGTTGCGGTACAAAGTTGGCAGCCAGATTTTTCTGTGGGTCGGCGCCACCTGTAGTATTGCGGGGAACCGTCCCGGCGCCGTGGCTCTACGTCGTGTCGCCTCCCCCCCCCTCTCTGGGATTAAGCCCTGACCTTTCAGCTGGCACCTTGGCCGCCCCCATCATCCACTGGTGCTTCCTGCTGCCGCACACAGGGATTTCTCATCGGCTATTTATAAAGCTTCCTATTTGTTCTGGTTCTTCCTGGGACAGCGTAATGCTTTTTTCTCTTCTCTCACAGCCCCCCCCCCCCTCTCTCTCCGCGTGGCTTGTTTTGGCCTTTTTTCTGGTGATTATTTATTTTGACATCCTGTGAAAAACGTTAAAAGGATTCTTTGGCTGATGGCTTTTCACCTTTTTCAATAATCACAAGCTCATAAAAAGCTTTCTGTATTGTTCTGCATCTTATCTGCATTGCTTTTACCTCCTCCTCCCCTCCCTCGTCGATGTCTGTTGAGCTTGATTTCCTCTCGTGGTGAATCACTTCCTCAAAGCTTCTGTAACACTTTGCACTGCACCCATGACTTGCCACCAGCCAGCTTCATTCAAACTACTGACAAAACATTTACACAGTGCTCCTTTTAACCCGTTTTAATTGTTTTGGGCCCAGTTAGTCACTCGGGTTAGAGGAGCAGCGCTACAGAAGCATTGGGGTTAATTTTTGTTAACGGTGCGGTTGTTGCACACAAAAGGATATGAAGCCGCCGTCTCGACTGAAAAATAAACTGTGCAGTCTCTTCTCTGCAGACCGGCCTGCTGACGTAAACACTTGATTGTGATTTAAAGAGCTGCTGCTGCTGGTGGGCAGCGGTTTTTACCTGTAATGGATCAGCTTTTGTTCAAGCAGCCTGATGAGAACACGCTGGAGCTGTGGGGAACCAAAGGGGCCGACGCAAAGGTCCCTGGTGCATGAAAGAGACGAAACGAGATGAAAGTGGCCGTGGATCTGTGAGGGACTTCTTCAATCGGGATGACTGGTCAAAAACTGAAGGTCACTTCACAACGGTCGCCGGCTGCGTTACTTTTTATTGGTGCAATGTGCCTTTTTGAAGTCACTGGTGTAGATGTTTAGTAGAGTATTAATGGTGGCTCTGCTACAGAGCTCCTGTCGGGGTTCCTGTTTTCTGACGTGTGGCGACCTGCCGCGTCATCGCCTTTTGGTCCACTCCATGCATTCCTCTCTGTGACGAGGCTGGACAGTAGCGTCCCCTGTCTGATCCCCCCCCGTCTCCTCCACGCCATCAGACCACGGTCATGCATCGAAAACAGTCTTCTCAGATTTTAATCTCCCGTTTATTGCCAGTGAAACATGTTTTTAAACAGTTTTCCCACTTGGTGTGCATTTTACACCGTGTATTGGCCAATGAGGGGTTATTTTGAGGATATTGGATTATATTTGTAGCGTTGGACCCCTTTGCAGACTTTATTTCGACGACATGCTGTTTTGGTTTTGATCTGTCACAACTAATTTGTAGACCTCCAAAATGCACCCACACTGATATACTGTGTTTCTGCGTGCTCCTGTCAGGTTAATCCCGACATCTGACACACACACACACCTCCCCTCTTCACAGGGCTGGTTCATCCCTCAGGGATTCCCTGGTCCTCATTGAGCTCGTTGATCTTCAGTCACGTTTGATGAACCTAATGAATCCTCTTGGTGTGACACCTCCTAACCACCTCCCGTCCCCGAATGCCTCATTAGCCGTAATCCCACTTTCTCTAATCTCCCAGCTCAGCGGCGTTGCTAAGGAACCGTTCTAATCTGAAGCCCTGTGAAGTGCTCATGGTCCTGTAGGAGCGAGGGACGGAGAGGACACCGAGGATGAGACGTTTGCTTGCATGATCTCATGACCCGTGTTGTTTCCCAGCTGACTAAACATTTTCGCACGTAGCCAGTCAGCCAGAAGGAATGTTAAGAGCAGCGTAGTGTCAGCGTTGTCTAAACCAGTCCCCTTACTGAGTGAGAGGGTCTCTTTCATAGTCCTGTCAACATGTAACCTGTAATAAACCAACTCTTCTTCATTGTGTGGTGTTTATGTTTAATATGTCGACGGTGACGGACTGAAGGGAAGCTGCTCTGGTTCACGCACACTAAGCACTGACGTATAAGACAAATACGGAGATGTAGAATTGGAGTGGTGTACATTCTTTTGCGGAAACCCGTTTCTGTGCTCCAGTGGTTTGATCTACAAAACATGTCACAATTTTTCTAACGTATTGTGTGACCCTATTTTATCAGAAGAATGAGCATCTCCGAACATCTTGAGTCACGGCAGATTTAAACTAGAATATAGAATCTCGTGTGTCATTCGCTCTGACCGTAAAAAGAAGCGACCAGGGGTCTGAATCCGAGCTTCCTGTTCAGGTTGAACTCCGTCTCCCTGATAAGTTTAAGACTTAAAGATGTCTATCGCCTCACCGTGCTTATTTCCTCTGACCAGAAACACTCACGCGAGAAGGAATTTGTGATTTAGTTTAGTTTGTTTTTCGGAGGCCCTGTTTGTCTCGGCGCCGCTGCGTTCTCACTTCCTGCCTGGCGATTTCCCAACAGCACTCTGCTCATTGTGCTTCGGATGAGAAACTTTTCTTCTCTAGTGCCACTGATCAGTAGGTAAAGACTGTATTTACATTTTTCTGATTTGTTAGCTTGTCTGTGTTGATTTATGACGACCGTCAACTTGCAGGTCAACATTGATTTGCAACCGCAAACAAAATGAAGCCAACAAATCCGAAGCGGTTACTTCTGCTATTAAGCAGTCGGGTTTAATTACTTTCCTGCAGAAGCAGTTTATCTCTGACATTAAAGCATCAACCTTCATGGCTGTTTTTCTTATTGTCCCTTTTAAGTTGTGTTAAAGGATAAAACAATGACATTTAGTGCATTAATATAGAAGCAAATATTCATGTTTTTTAAATTTATATATAAAAATAATCTAATGCGCGGAGGCCCTCCCTTCTTGCTCCATTCTCGTAGCTTGCACCATTTTAAGGATATCTCTTTTTTTCAAATGCTCTTCTACAGTTCGTCGGCTGTTTCCTGCTCAGTAACTCACTCAAATACAGGAAGTTCTTTCGAAACGCGACTGTCGAAAGCGCACGGCTGCCTACGTCAAGAAATAAAAACCCTGACTTTATCGGCGAGCAGCACATATTTAGCTCCAAAAATATATAAATGCCTCTTTATTGCTATTTATGAGCAGCATTGGGTATTTGTGTCACTTGTACGTTCACAGCGAAATGAAGATGATGTCATTTGTTGCTGCTCAGGATCAGCCTCCGCTCTGCTAATCCGCAGCCACGTCCTGGTGGAGACGTCCACATTAGCGCGGACAGGAGCTGTGATCATCGTCCGCTTTATGCGGCCAAGAACCCCCGAGAGGAGGACGTGTGTACTTTGACATCTCCGCATACACTACTGGACTGAGATTTTGTTATTTTTAAAAACCTGCCTCGTCTCGCGCGGTGAATCACACAAGGCGTGTTGTTGGGATCACTTTCTTTTCCTCCTGCCTGCTATCTGCGTCCCGGCCCGGCGCCAGAGAGGGAACTTGTTGTCGTCTTAAACCGTCTCCCTCTGTGGAAAAAGCAGCTCAAATGTTTGACCCTTGCCAAGCGAATTCCTTTTGCACCACGGGTAAATAGCTGGTGACAGGAAACGGCGCGTTTAACCGAAAAATAACACCATGTATAGACTAAGAGCAATGCGATCTTTTCGGTTTGATTCTTTGCATTGCTTGAGTCCAGGGGCTCTTCCTCTAGATAAGTAATGCGTTTTCATCATCTAGCAGCCGGATGTGTGGTGGCGCGCTGCAGAGTGAAGAGTCCCGTTTCCTCCTCCTCTAACCTCTCTGCCGTCTGTGGTTAGCTCACCATGGCAGAACAGGAACCCACACCGGAGCAGCTGGAGGAGCTCGCCGCCGCCAACCGAGAGGGCGAGAACGCGGTGAACTACAAACCTCCGGCCCAGAAGAGCTTACAGGAGATCCAGCAGCTGGACGAGCAGGACGAAAGCCTCCGCAAGTACAAGGAGGCCCTGCTGGGCAAGGTGGCCACCGTCGCAGGTCAGTGGTGCCTGCAGAGTCCCGCCGAGGATCCTTCTAGAACTGAACGGAACTCCACTGGCACACACAGTGCTGTGAACTGCTGGTTGGTCTGATGCTCCTAATTTTCTCTCCCCTTTTCAGATCCCAGCGTCCCGAACGTCCAGGTGATGCGAATGACTCTGGTGTGTGACTCTGCTCCGCAGCCCTTGGTGCTGAACCTGCAGGGTGAGTAGAGCTCGCTCGCCCCTTTGGCATCGGGAGGGATGATTTATCGCCGGCCACATTCTGGCAGTGGAATAATTAGCTGGCCGTAGCGGTAATCGCTCCCATGTTTGTGTACAACGTCGGACTAAAGGGCCCGCTGGCTCATTAGTCCGCCGATTAGAAATGACAAGACGCCCTCGTTAGTGGGTTAATGTGCTGTTTCCTAATGCACTTTGCCTCCCGGTGGTCACTATGATCACTACAGGCTGCACAACACAACCAGCCTCCGAGTGGAGTGCTTCTTTTATACGCTCGAGCCCTAAATGCTTTCTTGTTGATTTCCCTTCCAGACTTGGACAAATTAAAGAAGAACCCGTTTGTGATGAAGGAGGGAATCGAGTACAGAATAAAGATCACCTTCAAGGTGGGAGAGTGTGGCCTTCTTGTCTGTCGGGGTCATGATGCTGTTGGCCGAGCTCTCGTTGCCGCGGGAAACTGTTGAGCAGGATGTGACTCGTGTCTCCCTTCGCAGGTCAACAAGGACATCGTGTCGGGCCTGAAGTACACCCAGCAAACGTTCAGGAAAGGAATCAAACGTAAGGCTTCCCCCGATCATTTCGTTCAGCCTCTGACGTGGTTCATGCAGAGGAATAATTTAACGTTATATGAGCTTACCAGCGTGCTGTCCGTGTCCATGTATTAATGTCTGCACAGTAAACGTGGAGCTTAATAAACCGGCTTCCCTGCCGCTGGAGTCTTCCCCTGTTCTCAGTGACCTCGTCCCTTCTGTGCAGTTGACAAGTCGGACTACATGGTCGGCAGCTACGGGCCCAAAGCGGACGAGGAGTACGAGTTCCTCACCACCGTGGAGGAGTCCCCCAAAGGCCTGCTGGCCCGCGGCACCTACAACATCAAGTCCAAGTTCACCGACGACGACGAGCACGACCACCTCTCCTGGGAATGGAGCCTCACCATCAAGAAGGACTGGACAAACTGATGCCTCCCCCCGGGCCCCCCCGGCTTCGTCCTCTCTTCTTCCTGCTGTCATTCCATTGATCCTGTCTGGGTTCTCTCCGTTTTTAAGCCTTTGCTCTCTCCGTCCACCCACAACCCTCTTTTCTTTTTTCTCTCCCCCCTTTTCCTGATTTCACTTCGTCATTCTTCCCCATTGTGGCGCTTTCGTCTGTTCGCACCCGCCCTTCTTGTTCAGTATCGAATCTTTAAAAATGGAGAAAGTAATAATGTGCACAATCCAGATTTTGCGGTTATGGTTTTCTTATGAAAGAAAAAAATAAGTAAAAAAAAAATAGTCTAACTGCTTTAGGAAGTGGTCCAATGTGGGATCCACGCTTTTTCTTTTCTTTCCCTCTTTCATTGTTTTTGTACAATTACCGCGATCCGCCTTGAGAGAGCGTTGTGCAGGACGCCCCCCTGAAGCCTTTGAGCAGATTATTAGTACCCGGCTCTTTATTTGGAGTGGAGACCACCTCTACTTCAAACAATTTAGCCGAGAGAACGGGGGTTACCTAAATGACCTCTGACCCCTAGCTGTAGGTGTGGCTGTTCCTCTTCTGATCAGGTATGCTGGCACGTTTCTTTTTTTTTTTTCTATTTTATTTTTAGCAGCCATGTGGCCTTAACAAAACCCCACAGGGAGAAATAACCTGATTGAGTCCTCTGCCTTCCAGACATCATGTGAGCGTCACCATACTTACAACATCTAGTACTTCTCGTTCTTAATTATGGATTTGAATGAACATCTGTAGATGACTGTAAAAGTGCAGGTGTCCCATCGAGTCCAGGGACTCTCACCTCGTATTACTAAACGTAACCATTAGCAACGCTGTCTGTGCCTCCGGTCTCTTACAGCCCCCCGCTGACTCAGCGAGGTGAAATATCGTCTGTAATTGACTTCTTATAAAGTATATAGACGTCGGTGCCCAACCAGACACGTCGGGGTTCCTTCTTATACACTCCAGTTGGCGAGTCGGCTTCCACGGCGTCGCGCCGACGTTCTTCTCGTTGGGTCCACTGAATGTTTCCACTTGTATCTCCTGTGTTCACATTAAAGTGTTCAGACTGGGCCCCTCGTGTGTCCCGCTGCTTCATTGTGCCTCGGCATCACGTTTTGACACTCGTCACCACGACGTGTGAACTGTTCACTGTTGGATTTGTTGCTTCGCTCAGAATAAAAGACGATTTGATACGTTTGTCATTTTAATCATCAGCAAACATAGATGGCATCTTACAAGAAAGTGAGCGCACGTCTGGAATGATCGAACGAATCCCTGAATCACCCTGCTGAACACACTGCCCCCCCCGATCAGTGATGAGCCGACGGTAAACATCGGCAGCTTTCTGCCGTCCCAACAAATTCTAAATACAGAATTTGGCACTCGGTCAAATGTTAAAGCCGGTCTTCTAAAGACTTCTGTAGCACTTAGTGTTTGTCAGTCAGAAAAATGCTTCAAGTTTAAGAAACAAAGGCTGTTTTTTTAAAATTGTATTATTTGGCTTAATTGTCAATAAATAAAACTGCAATAAATCACATCCGCATCAGTTAAGTTCAATTACAAATACTATGTCACACACGACACTGCTCTAATTAGCTTTAGTCTCCCCAAAAAGGGAATTTCACCCCCCCCCCCTCTCTCCTCACTTGTGGGCCCTCTTGCTCTTGGCGTTCACAGTCGCTCTTGGTCTTCTGCAGGGGGGGAGAAGATCTCCCTGAAGAGCGGCTTGGACTCCGGGCGTGGTCTGGCTCAGCCCGTTTGTGCACCTGCTCCACTGCCTGCTGGATCCCCTCCAGGGCCTTCCGGGGTGGGAGGCGCCTGAAGGCGGGGGGGCAGGCCGCCGCTCCCCCGGCCCCGGAAGGCCCGGCGCACACCGCGCCGTAGTCCTTCACGGAGGGGTCCCTGGAGACGGGCCGCGACGTCTGCACCCCGGCGTGGCACAGGCTCTCCTCGTGCCGCCGGCACTTCCCCAGCAGCCCCTCGTACTTCTCCAGCAGCGCGTGGTACTGCTCGTCCACCTCGCGCAGGATGGACATGCCCCGCTTGCGCACGCCGTTGGCGTGGATGGCGTAGCTGCCCTGGCGCCTGCCGGAGGCGTCCCGCGCCGAGATGGCGTTCAGAGCCGTGTCGCTGCAGCTCTTCCTCACCTGCTGCCCAGCGGCCCCCTGCTCGGAGTCGTCCCCCTCCTCCGGGCCCAGGCCCCCCTCCGGCGTGTCCGTCTCGGGGCCGTTGCCGAGCAGCGTCTCCAGGCCGTCCTCCATGCCCCCCATCAGGCACGCGCGGGACCTCCTCAGCTGCTGCATCTCCTGCAGCTCGGCCTCCAGCTCTTGGACCCGCAGCTGGCAGCCCTCGGCCCCCAGGAGCCGCTGCTCCAGGCGCTCGAACTCCTGCAGCACGGCGGAGCACTCCCGCTCGGCGCCCTCCCGCTGGGAGCGCTCGGCGGCCATGGCGGCGCGCAGCGAGGACACGATGCCTCGGAGCCGCTCGTTCTCCTCGTCCGCCGGTCGCTCCTCGGCCAGGTCCACGCTGCCCGGGTTGGCCAACAGGAAGCCGTCCTCGTACCTGATGGTGGTGCGAGAATCGTGTAACCAAAGTGGTGCATCGACATTTTCAGAGAGGCCCCCCTCTGAGGATAGAGCGTGCACGCACACAAACAAACACACACACACACCTCGGGGCCGTGCACAGCTCTTTGATGCAGGGGAAGGAGTGCACCGTCTTACGGCGCTCCGTCTTCTCTCTGCGGACCCTCAGCTCCTCCAGAGTCCGCAGCTCCTCCACCCGCACCGTCAGGCTGTCCACCTGAGCGTGCAAGGTGTCCATGGTGCCAGTCAACCTGGACGGACACACACGCGTCACTGCTGAGCTCACTGCTGCCCTAAAGCTACAGTGAGCCTCTGTTGCAACATAAACAATGTGAAGGAGCAGCCATTGAAATCTTTAGCGGCCTTAACAAAGAACTTTGACCTCGTGATTACGAATAATGCGACAAAGAAATGTTAAGCCCTGTAGTTGTTGTTGTTGTTGGGAAACGGCTTTCGGTACTATGCGACCGGCCTGAGGCGTCACGTGACGACGCCATCGCTCTCACCGGTCGATCTTCTGCTGCGAGGCCTTGCTCTCCAGCACCAGCTTCTCGTTGGTGATCTCCAGCTCTCGGGCCGTCACGTCCAGCTGCTCGTACACCTTGGCGTGCTGCTCGTTCATCTCCCGCAGGAGCTCCAGCTGCTTGGACAGGTACTGCAGGGAGACGCACGGAGGGTTCACGCCCGTTGGACGTGAAGTGTCCCGAGAACTACACATTTTATATCTGAGGTGGAATGTAATGCTCTCCAACTCCCATGTGATCCCCAACGTTTGCATTTCACAATTACTTTTGATCATAAATATATTTTACGTTTCTATAAGGAAAGTTCCGTTTCAGTTTCAGACCTTCCTTTTTGGTGATGCAAGACTGACATTTTTAGTGCATACTATAATATATCTTTATCTAATTAAATCAAAGCTTTGATGACGGCGTGCCAGCGAAAGGAGGAAGTATGTGGTTGAAAGCTGCAGAGGAAAAGTTCACACATAAATCATATCATTAAACACATCAGACGTCATGGCAGAACGTTACTGAGCCACTAGTTGCCATGCAACCGATCTCCCTAACCGGACAGAGGCTTGTTAAAGAGCTGCTGGACACAGTTGCTGAGTAATGCGTTCAATTTTAGTTACTAGTTCAATTTCACAAAATAACGTATGACGGCAAAAACAAAGAAAAAGAGGCTAATGAGAAGCGAAGAGAGCGATTCAGGAATTTTGCACATCCTTTAACGTCGAAAAAAACCACATTACACTAATATATTCGGGTTCAAGCGCACCTCAATCTCCTGCACTTGCTCCTCGTTGTCGATGTACATCTGTTGCAGGGAGTCCTCCAGCTCCTTGTTGCGTTCCAGGAGGGTCTTGCCGAGCTCGGCTGCCAGGTGCAGGTCTGAAGAGAAACCAGAGAAGAAGAAGAAGAAGAAGGAGCGTGAACGGCTGCGACTGGATGAGGAGCACAGGGCCTCATGGGGAAGCGTCTCACCCAGTTTCTCTTATTCGCTTTTGTTCATGAAAGCTAAGACGGCTCGAAGCAGAACATGATTCCTTATTGCATCTCACACACACACACACACACACACACACACACACACACACAGTGTGTGGGAAGAGGGAGCAGCGAGAACGTCTTAGTTATGTAATGTCAGTGTTGTGCGACAGGGATGAGAGGAACAGGCCGGGCTGAAGGACTTCTCACCTCTGGACACTAAAGGGAGCAGGGTTGGTGTCTATGGCTGCCCTCACGCTCAATCCACAGCCCCCCCCCAGGTGGCACAAACATGACCATCACCACCTCGTATGTTTGCCAGATCATCATGAACACAGTGGGAAGTTGCATAACAGCAGCGATTCTGGGGCAGAAATCAGGCCCGACTGTGAGGACGTGAGCCTGAATCTCTGATCCCGACTCAGGAGGTCCAGTCTGGGTTTCCCTAATCAGATCAGCCGGGGGCTTATTGACTCGACATGCCGAATAACGAGGAGACGAGACGGCGACACACCGGCCCGGCTGCTCTCTGAAGCTGCTTTAGCACACGGCGGGTCAGCGGGTAATTAGGTGATTGGGGCGAGGGGAGGGAAGGGGAGGGGGGCGGTTTCAGGGGCTCCTGAAACGCTCTGTGGATGAAAGTGCACCCACTTACACACAGCATCACTTTACTCATCAGCAAAATACACTTTGGATCGATTTACTGCCTTTGCTTTGGGCATTTACGCCCCCCCCCCTCTCCTCCCCCCTTCTCTCCTCCTCTCCCTCACACAATCAGGCCACAGATGATCTGTTCTGTCCCTCTACAACACAGCAGAGTGATCACAGTTCAGACACAGTATGATGGATCAGAGGAGACAAAACGAGGAAGAGGATCTCGAGTGGTGCGATGAGGGGAGGGGGGAGGGGGGGGCTGGAGGAGAGAATTGAAACAAATAACATCCACGCAGACAGACAGACAGGCAGACAGACAGACAGGCAGCAGGACTATTCTGGGAGACATCACTGACAAGATCAAAATAATTGGCAGAGGGAGACAGCAGAGATGCAGCTCTGGTCTCGAGCTGCACGGACATACATACATACGTGTTATACAGCGAATGCCTGCCCCCCCCTCCCCGTCCTTCATCCTAAAAAGCAGTGGTTGTGTGTGGCGGCATTGTTGCCCCCCCGCGGTGTCTCACCTTGCTCCAGGTCCCGCTGGTCGTACCACGGCTCCTCTTCCTCGGTGATGAACTCCTCCATCCCTCCCGCGCGCAGCATCGAAGCCGACCGACTTCTCGTTCTCGATCCGCTAACTCACGCGCGGCTCGAGCGGAAGTGACAACGAGCCGCGGCGGCGCAGCCTCCACGCGCGTGTCACCCTTTGAGGGACGAACACACAAAAAGAAAACAGCCGGCCGGCGGCGCACCTGATCCTGGTGCCATCCACAGATGGGGGAGAGAACCACGTGATCGGGGCCGCGCACACCTGCACAGAAACGGTCAGCGGCTCTGTGCTCCTTCTGTTCTCATCAGGGCGCGATCGTGCAGCGCGGCGGCGCGCGGCTCGGGCGGATGAACGCTGCGGCGTTCAGGGGCCGTCGGAAAAGCTGATTTCAACGGTAGCGCGTTCGCTCTTTACCCTGCTGCCGCCGTTTTAAGAGGTTATGTTGGTGCGTTTGTATACTAGGTTGACTCCATCTTTAACGATGAGTAAGGGTATTAGACATGAAGTTTTAAATGTGACAAGTTATATATTTTTTAATTGATATCACTATAGGCCTAACATGCAATTGTTTATAAGCCTCAAAACTAGATGCGTATTTCCACTGAGGGTTAAATCGATAAATTAGAAGATTATTTAAATGGAGAAGCGAATCCACTCTATTTAAATAATCTTTGAGTCCATCTATTTGTTAAAGGTGCATGTTTTCACACATTTTCAATTTAATCAGTGAAATCCAATTGAAACAAAGCATGGAGCTTGACATGTTGTCCCTTCAGGACAGATGAACATCATTGCAGGCAATATTAAATACATGTAAATCTCCCTTTAAATGAGAAATATTTTTAATAATAATTTTCTTTAAGCGTAAGCGTCTCTTCCTATTTATAACCCTCTTTTCATATTCTATGTAGGAAAGTTGAGAGTCCGAAATTACAAGGAACACTGAAGGCAGCAGCACTGGAGGTGACGTCACCACCTATTTGACAGCGTCCCCAGCACGGACGTCTCCCCCCCCCCCTCTTGTCCCCCAGAGCTCCAATTGAAGACATTTGTGTTGTGTTGAGTGCGGCGTAGTTTATTCACTGTAGACGTTTAGGAGCAGAGAACATCTCCCTTTGCCAAGACACGGAACGTGAACATAAAAATGAATCTAGCTAATCTTTACGGTGGAAAAAAAACCCACAAACCGGACAGTTTCACTTCAAACAGCATCTCATTGTTGTACATTTCCTTTGTTTGGCCCCCGAGCAGCCAAAGACGGAACACCACCAACCGGCGTTGGTGTACGTTTCAGCAAACCGCTTCCACGGCGCGTTTGCTGACATTTGTGGATGAAAAGGTCCGTTGGCGTGCGTGTCGGCCATTTGCTCACACTGGATGGTTTCCATGGGGACGAAACCTATTAACGATCCCCCGTCCGTTTCAGCTGTACTTTGCGTTCGGTGCTAATTAGCAAATAGCCACGGAGCTGCGAGCGCGGCTTTAGACCCGTTTATTTAGGCCTTTGCTTCCATCCGTTTCCGCTCTGTATAAAGATCGACCTGCAGAGAAAACGTTTCACTAAAGAGTAAAGTGCGCGTTGCGAACGAATAAAAAAAAAAAAAAAAACATACGCACAACCCTGATCCCACTGGTACGCACACAGATGTACCTTTGCTCCCTCGAACTGAGACAGATCACGTGTTATTACTTTATTATCGACATGACCTGCAGCAGCAGCAGCAACGAGCCTGAGAAAAGCAGAACTCCAGCAGCAGATCCACCATCGAGCTGTCCGGCAGCCTGAGATCCCCGGAGCCAGAGAAAAGCTCGGCCCCTGACGGACGGCGGAGACGTCGAGGACGTTCCAACCTCATCTTCATTCCTTGTGGATCTCCGAGGTTTTGCAGCTTTGCGGGCTTTTGAGGTGCTTCCAGTCGGCCTCGCTCTCGCAGCGCTCCACGCCGCTGAAGAACGTCTTGATGAGCGCTTTGGCCTCTGCTTTAACTGGACACAGAGAGAGAGTCTCATTGTTTTTCCCACTCCTTTCCCATAGTCTTTCTTCCCCCCGCACCTCCCGCTTACCTTGGCCCTTCCCCTGACTCCGCCCCTCCGCGAGCAGGTGAGATAAGTGGCGGGCGAACGACTTGAACAGCTCCTGCGGCGCAAGAAAAACAAAAAACAAACAAGAGCTGAGACCTCCTCGCGCGCGGCGGCCTCTGCTGCGAACGCGAAGCGGTCGTGGGAGTGACTCGCTCACCTTGGTGGCGAACTTGCCCTCGGTGTAGAAGGGGTCCAGGCAGCGGACCACGATGTCGGCCGCCTCCCTCAGCGTGGCGGGCGCGGGGGGCTCGGCGGCGTGCAGCGGGGCCCTCTGCTGCACGGTGGGGTTGAAGGTCACCCTCCGGTCGGCGGGGCGGCGGCGCTTGGCCGGAGGAGACGAGCGCCGCTCGGCTTTCGCGCCCTCTGTCCACTGGAGACAGAGACACAGAGACGGTCACCGTCAGTCACCGGCGGAGGGGGCGGGGCATCAAAGGCTTGGACAGGAGACCTCACCTCTCCTCTTAGAGACGGTCTCGCTTCTTCTTCTGCTTTCTTTGTCCTGTGTGAGAAACACCTTTAGACACTCTTCCACGTCAGTATTTTAAAGGGCGCATCGAGGGCGCCGCTTACTCTGCGGCGGCCTGGATGTCCTCCTCAGGAGCCGCCTCCCGAAGCCGCGACGACGTCTCCGTTTCGTGCGCGTCCCCTTCATCGCCCTCCTCATCGCGTAGAACTATGACTTCCCTCTTACTTCCTTCTTGGATCCCGTCCACCACTCGACTCGTCTCCGCGTCTTCCACGGCTTCCTCGTTTTCATCGAGAGCGACGTCCGCGGGCGACGTTGCGTCCGGCGCCTTCTGCGGCTCCGCCTCCTCGCGGCTTTTCTCCGTCTTATCTTTCTTCGCGAAATACTGGGAGATGTCGCGGGAGCTCTTGGCCGCTTCCGCTAGTTTCTGCTGCTTCCTGCTGGCGGCTCTGCCGGCCTTCGGCGGGCTGCTCAGGGAGACGACGGCGGCGGCGGCGGCGGCGTTCGCTCTGGTCCCCACGGACGACGTCACAGCCGAAGGCGCCTCGGCGCCGGTCTCTCCGGAGCCTGCTGAGCCGTCGCCGGGGAGCTTCAGCAGCTCCCTGGCGGTCAGGAAGGGGTCGGAGGATCCTCTCAGACCGGCTCCGACTCGCTTACGCTTCATCTGGAGGAGTAATGATGCGAAAGGATGAATAACCGCTCATATCCGACAGCCGCGTGGCGTGAAGGGAAAACTCACGGAGTAGATCTCGGATGCAGATGTGAACCCCCGCAGCTCCTCAGAGAAGGAGGACGAAGAGGACAGGGGCTCTTCCTCTTTGATTTTGGAGCCGTTTTCACTGCCGCCGTCAGACTGGACACCTTGTCCTTGTCCTCCAGACGACGACTTCTTAATCTGCGAGACCTTTTAAGAGAAGATGCGCGTCGGGAACGTGAGTCACCCAAAGCCAACCCGCGGCGGAGCAGTCAGAAGTCAAGTCACCTTCTTCAGGACCGCAGCTTTGTACAAGTTGGAGGACTTGGAGCTCTTGAAGACCTCGTGTTCGGCGTCGACGGCCGCCGACAGACTGTCGCTGGAAGAGACGCGAGAGTCGACGCGGCGCCAAGAGTTTAAAATGCTTCTGACTGGTTGGATGCAGGTGTCTGAATAATTACCTGAATGCGTCTTCTGACCTCTGGTGGCCATATAAAGCCTCCTTCAAGAGGCACAGGCAGTGTTCTCGGGCCTGAATCACAACGGTGGGTTCATGACATTAAAACTAAAAGTATAAAAATCGAGGTGAGCTATAAAATATCCGTAAATCTCTTTGAAAGACACATTGTAAAGAAATGTTTGCAGGATGGACACTCCGGTGTCACACCAGCGCCCCCCCCCCCCCCCCCAGTTCACGCCGACGTGTCAGCGGGCGCCGTGAGGAGCGGGTTCAGGTACCTTCACGGTGAGTTTGGGGATCCTCTGGCTGCCGGCCTCTCTGAGCGGGCAGTCGGCGTCTGCACAGCAACACACGCGGCGGTTACACGGCAGCAGACGCGGGGAGGGCGGGACTTACGGCCGCTGTTATTTTTTACTCATAGTTACCCGGGGGAACAAAGGCTTCCCTCTGACGATCCGTCACCTGGAGAAACATGAACGGAGACGCGGGATCGATTCTCAGGCGTTCACTAAAACAAAACACTTATGGTTTATTTCGCTTTCTTTCTCTCATTTTCCGATTGTGGCGCCAAATTCCACTGAACATGTGGGAGCGATTTAGCACCTTCCTGCCAACAGCTGGCACACAAGTTTGTGTTTCTCGTTACATGGAATAAAGTTGTGTTTGTTTCACCGACTCACCACCTTCCGCATGTTCATCTGCTGCTTGAAGAGGTCTGAAAACTCCTTCTTCCTCAGCGAGCCGTCCTCCTCGCCGCTACCGGCGTCCCCCTCGTCGAACCTGCAACGCAGGGACGTCAGCGTCAGCCCAAAAGGTTCACAGCCACCTTAGCGACCCTCCACCCCCCCGCCTCCTTGAAGGTGTCCTGCCTTTCGAAGCCGTAGCCCTTCCTCCCCCCTTCGTAGAGGCCTCGCTGGAAGCCGAAGGGCCCCGCGGCCCCCGCGCCCTGCGCTGCGGTCGTGGTGCTGAGCACGGCCGCCTTCTCCAGCTGGGCGCGCACGGCTTTGGGGTCGCGGCAGAAGTCGCAGGAGCCGGCGCAGTCCGGCGTCTTGTCCCCGAAGAACTTGGAGATGGTGGCGTGGCGACAGCTGGGGGGGGGGGGGGGGGAGAGCCGGAGGGAGACGCCGTTAAATCAACAAAAGCAACCAGGCATTTATTTACACGGCAGCACGTGGCGCAAAGCTCGGTGGTTTAAAGGATTCTTCATCAGTTGAATCGGTCTGTGCATTGGTTTGGTGAAAACCTTTTACCCCAACAGTCGAAAAGCAGTGACTGGCCCCCCCGAGGCGGAGACCTGGGGGCCAAAGTCAGTGCATTCATTCAGACATTGGATTGTCTGCAGCTACGAGCTCGAGCCTGATGATAGTTTTGATCTCGCCATCACTCACAGAGCATCTGGTGCTAAATTGATCCAGTAGCGTTTATGTAACTGTCATTAGGATCAATATTTCTGTTCAAATACACATTTCAGGAGGTTTGGAAAACCAAAATAATATTATTTGTTGCAGTAAAAGTTTTGGGGTGAAAAAGGACACAGGTGTTACGTAAGAGTCAATGTTTCCACGCGCACACAGACACACACACACACACACACACACACACACACACAGCGTCGATGGGAAACGCTGGAAATAGGAAGCCATGAAAGGGAGCGGAGCAGCTCCACCAGAGGAGGGAGGGAGGGAGGGAGGAGGGAGGCAAACAAAGGGAGGACTGCCAGAGAGAACACAGCCTCAGACGGCGAAACATAAAAGTAAGGAGACAACTGCTCCGCAACCAAAGGCCGAGAGCGACGAACCCTCAGGACCCCCGAAGAGAATCATTAAGAGTACGTGTCAATCAACTCCTTCACTCAGAGTCATCAGTTCGCGAGGAATCCGTCCTCCCTGAGAGGAGACGAGTTCCCGCTCATCAGCCGGAAAAAAAGGACGACGGGAACCTCCACAGGTACGTGCTCCTGCAGAGGAAAACTCCACGTCGAGGGGAATGTGAGGAATGTGTTCAGATGTACGGACGACTTTCAAAAAGTTACTCCAATAACAAAGGCATTCCGACAGCCGGGTGTAGAGAAGCAGGCACTCAGTGAATTTCGGTGAAACACAGCTAAACAAATGCTTAGATGGTCGAGTTGCATCATTAGAAGAGGAATCGGAAAACACCGGCGCACCGACCACATGACTTTCTAAAGTGGCAGCAGCCTCCGCTTTGATATCTGCGTGTACTTAAAACTCTAAAAACTACACTTCAAAACCATCAAATTCCGCTGCTCTGAAATGAGCACAAAGTGGATGCTGCACAGCACAAAACAGCAGCGGGAGTATTTGGGATGCAGTCGCGAAGGTGATTCACATCACACTTTGCATTCAGCTTCGTGGCCCTTTGCTGACGGGTGCTATGAGAATGGAGACAGTAAATCAAGCCGAGTCGTGCATGTGGGAACAAATAACTTGCGGACTGGAAACAGACCAACTATGTGTGGAGGCCACAGGACGCGTCTACCAGCAACATCAGATCAATACACGCACGCGGTTTGTTTAATCAGCACGCAAACTGACGGCTTTACGTGTACATGTCATTCCTCGTTGTTCTCCGTTCCCCAACAGAGCGCTTGTGTTTCTTACGTATTGTGTTGTGTAACGCGCTGCCATTCATCAGACCCCGCCGAGCCCACAGAATGTCACCTATTTCATTTACTTACTGACACGCCACACGTTAAGCCGACTGCACACGCAAGACGCATGTAAACACAAAGCAAGGAGAGCCTTCTGTGCCAACTGACACGTCCTTCCTTTGCGATGAACCGGTTAGTCAGAACGTGGTTAGAAGAGCCGTGCTGGACATCGGCGCACAGCTCAGGAGGCAAAACTTTTAACACGCCCACTTTCTCTCCAGAAGGGAACTTCTGGATTGAGAAACCGCGACACGGGATTTCAACATGATGGCAGGATAAATAAGCCTGAACGCAGGCAAACAAATGACTCGCTCTCTAAACCAAATTCAAGGGGCGACCTTCTCCACTGTAACCCTCGTTAGGATGGACGCCAGAGAGGAGACGCTGAACCTCCTGAGCAACATATGGGTCAAGCTGCGGGGGCTTCCCGACGCCAACCACGTGGAGCTGGGGGCTTTCTTTGTCGTCTTGACCTTCATCTGTGAGCCGATTACCTCTCCTTCTTGTATCTCTCTTCTTTCATTTCTATTTCCTGGTTTTTATTTGCTCTCCTGCTGCAGTGGTGGTCCTGCTCATGACAGTGCTGACGTGTGTGAGCTGCTGCTGCTGCCGCCGCCGCCGAGAGACAAAGGTGAAGGTGTCCAACGTTTGAGCCAATGGTCCTCACAAGAGGGGGGACGGGTGCAAAAGGCTTTTCTCCGAGGCTCGGTTCCAACGCCCCGGCAGACGTTGGAGCGAGCGCCCGGAGGCAGCAGATGACCAGCAAAATTGGTCGGTGCGGTTTATTTGGACTGACGGTGAAGCCGTCAAATCAAACGCTGGTCTGCTTCTAAAGCCAACTCGGCGCGGTTAGCCGTTAGATGTGAGAGCCGATGAACATGACAGCATTTTTAGAATTGCAGGTATGTGATTTTAAAAACCTGCTGATCAATTCTGTCTGTTTTATTGATCTGTATGAGGCCATGTATATAACCTGTTCATGTAAACCACTGGTACAAACTCACTGAGTTTCGTGTAAATAATTTCATGCAGACTCTTCTTGATTTAATTGTAAAAAAGTCTGGACCAGAGCTGAAATGTTATAAGATTTTTTTCCTTCAGGTCAGACATCATAGCCGAGCTACAGGTGATCCTACAGGTGAACATACTTCACAACAAAGCCAAAACCACAGACCAAGTCTGCCCTCTGCTGTGCACAAACTGAAATACAGGTTTTATTTTGAAAAGCACACTATGCGTGCATGTAAGAACAGTTATGTTTTCATGTTTTTTAAATTATTTCATCATTTAATACTTTCACTTCTCTTTTTTTCTGCATCTAAATCCTGTAAATGTCCCAACTAACTAAATAAAAAATAAAAAAGATCATCCTTTTTTTATTTATCTTATAAACAAAAAAGGGACCTGCATGCTGCTGTGCACTGAATGCTTCACTTACGCTTCTTGAGCACAGAACGACACCATGGCATCAAAGTCCGTGATGGCCGATTTGTCCGTCTCCTTTGCACACCCTCGTTTCTCCTGTACACAAGTTCACAAAATGTGCACAAACTCCAGAGTGTCATACGAGCTTTGAGCTCCCTATTATTGTGCTAACCTGTCTGCGGGCCACCTCCTTCCGGATGAGGAAGTTCAATTGCTCCTTGTCTCTCGGGGAGTAGTACGTGCGACAGGAGGAGGGAAGCCCGTCCCTCCCAGCTCGCCCAGACTCTTGGTAGTAACTCGCCAGCGACTTGGCGAAATTCCAGTGAGCTACAAACCTGCAGGGTCGATGGAAGCGTGATAGCGTGCAAACCCAAATCCTGTGGCCGACGCATGAAAACCTCATGGCCTCACCTGACATTCGCCTTGTCGACTCCCATCCCGAAGCTGATGGTGGCTACGATGACCAGCACCTTCCCTTGCATCCACTCATTCTGGACCTCTGTGCGATCTCCTGCTCTCAGGCCTGCGGGAGCGAAAGCAGTGAAAGAAGTTAAGCCCTTTGAGACCAAATATTTCTAATTCTTCAACCTTGTCTAACCAGTCTAACCTGCATGGTACGGTTTGGCCAAGACTCCGAGCTTGGTCAGCTGGTGAGCCACTGTTTCACAGCCTTCCCTGGTCCGACAGTACACAATCCCACAGCCCTGTTGACCCACATCACATGCAGTGTGTTAAAGAAACCGCCGCTCTTATCGTTAGGCCCAAGTGGAAACGGTCAGCTAATAACGGCGTCATCGCGGCTTACATGACAGGTTCTGTTGCTATTTGAGGTTAGAATGATATATTAACACAAACATTCTTCGTTTTTTAAATCTTTGTCGGCTGTGACGAAGCATTAATGGTATTACCACACACTAGTAGTTATATGTGTCATATGTGACGATTGAGAAGAACTGTTTTTCATTATTTTATCAGCCAAAACAAGGATTTTTAGGAAATTACTGCATTTAAGCCTTAATTTAAATGTTTTCCTCACAGCAGAACCCTAAAAGAAAAGGTGAGAAGTGGATGCAAATCAGTTTATGTTCTGTCCAATGAGCTCTTCCTTCTATGCGTCTTATCTTGTCTTCTCATCTACCCAAAGACGTTTATGTTCCAGCAGATTCCAAACGTAAAGCGTCTGTGTAAATAAAGCAAAACATCTTTGTGAACTGATGAAATGGGGCTTGTGATCTTTCACTCCCGACCTGCTGATTGGAGCCGCTGTCCAGCGCCAGCGCCTCCTGAACGAAGGCGTGCAGGTGGACGTAAGGGTTCGGCAGCAGCTCCCTGAAGATCACGTCGTAGTGCAGGTTGCTGCGGAACACGGGTGTCACGAAGGTCTGCGGCGAGCGCAGCCCCAGGGACTGAACAATGTCCTCCTGTACGTTCTTGGGCGCTGTTGCCGTGAGGGCCAAGCAGGGAACCCCCCGCAGGCGCCCGCGCAGCTCTCCCAGTTTCAGGTAGTCCGGCCTGAAGTCGTGGCCCCACTGGGAGACGCAGTGAGCCTCGTCCACAGCCAGGTAAGACAGCAGGCCGCGGGAGCACAGGCCGCTCAGGCAGGGCTGGAACGAGGGAGAGGCCACCATCTCGGGGGTGATGTACAGCAGCTTCAGCTTGGGGCTGCTGCTCCCGAGGTCGGCCAGGATCAGACGGCGCTCGGCCGCTGGCAGCTTGGAGTTGATGGAGCAGGCGGGGATGTTCAGGTTCCTCAGGTGGTCCACCTGGTCCTGAGGAGACACAGCGGGATGGGATTAACACACGGAGACCCAGTGAGACAGCACGGTGCATTGGAGCGGGCCCATCGGCGCACGGGGACTGACCTGGATGAGGGCGATCAGCGGGGATATAACCAGAGTAATACCCTCGGCCATGACAGCAGGCAGCTGGTAACAGAGGGACTTTCCTGCTCCAGTGGGCATGCACACAAACACATCCCTGTCACCTGCAGGGAGACAACACCGGGTCACACACATCTCACGCGTGAATTTCTCCCTGGCGACCCAAAAGTACGAGATGGAATACAAACCGGGCCGCATATTCAAGAGTGAACAAAGGCGTCGGTCAGGTTGCTGTTGCTGCGAGCCGGCTAACGTCGGCTAATTAGCACAGAGATAAACTGAGACAGCAGATAAAAGCAGTGGGTTCGCTGACTTACCTTTAACTACTACTTTAACGACATCCTCCTGCACTTTAGATCGGAAGTTGTCGAACCCAAAGTGGGTTTTTAAAGCTTGTTTTAGAGTTGTTGTCATCGTTTATCGCTCTTTAAAGAACTCATGTAATAAACCTACTATGGTGTCGTCGCACGCCAATGACGTCATTGCAGTCGCGAAGAATCGTCGACAGAGATTTAAGTTGTTTTGAAATTCTGTATTTAGTGCTTCCATGGTATCTATTCATCTAATCATTTTTTTGTTTTGTTTTAAGTGTATTATTTTGTTTGGAAACTGTTTTTCTTGGTTGGAGCTCTCTGATTGGTCGATAACACGTGGTGTGGTACTGTGTGCTCACATGTTGTTAATCCAGTATTTGTCTTGTGAAAATCATCTTGTAGGCCGCCTGTTCCCTTATTATGTTTTTGGTTTTTTATGTTTCAACTCTTAATTGCAGCTCAACAACTCTCAGACTGATATTGTCATTATTACACTACATGTCATTTAGCTGACGCTTTTATCCAAAGCAACTTAAAATTACTGCTTTTCAACCATGAGGATAGAATCCCAGAAGGACAATAAAGTGCAATTTCATCAAATGAGCCAATTTACAACTTGCTATATATAAGAGCCATTATAAGTACAATTAAAGTCCTACAATTTCTTGTTTTTTAGTTAGCACACCTTTCCCTCAACATCAGCTTGACATATTTGAAAACTCCATTTTAAACACTTCAACGTAAACCCAGTTCACGTCAACTGGGTTTAGGTGCTGTTTCTATCCGACTCTGCTTCTCTGCGTGGTCTATTTCATTGTACCTCTTTAGAGGATGTAAAATAACCTCAACAGGAACTGAGAGAAATCATGCAGAGGGAGAAACAAGAGAAGAGGCTGATATCTGGTCTGACTGTGAACCAACTGGAATCCAGCTCCCCAGGTCAGATTCTCAGATTATTTCTACACTGGTAATATACCAATAAACAGACCAAAGACTAAGACTTAGATTTGGTTTATTGATCATTCACAGACAGTAATGCCTTTTCACTGCTGGGTTAATATTGCACAACAGGTTATATTGATACGGTTTGTTTTCAAAAATACATACGATACATGTGAGCAAAGACGAGCGCTGTAACTCTATAGTGAGGAAGTGGTTGCGACAATCACATTAAAGCAGCAGCAGCAGCAGCATAGAGAGGGGTCACATAGTGGAACTATTCAATAGCACAATGATGGCACATCCGGATCTCTGATTTCTCCCAGTGATTATTACATATCCATTTGTTGTACTTTATTATGATATCTAATGGAGTTTAAAGGAAGAGGTGACGGGAGTAGACTCAACCCCAGAGGCAGGGAGACGGGCAGACACACCCGCTCCTGACCGCTGGAGACTTGATCACCAGATCCTTGATGATCTCCACCGTACCAAACAAGGGGAACAGCTTCTCGTCGAAGCTCTCGTTGTAGGTGTAAATGTGCAAGTGTTTGTCGGCGTCGTAGAAGGACAGCTGGCCGCAGTCGTAGTCGACGTAGACGCCCACCCTGCGGGGGATGAGGCCGGGCGGAAGGGCGGTGAACGGCACCGTCAGGGCCTTCAGCTCGGTGCCCCTCTCCAGCCGCAGGCTCAGGTAGCCCGTATCTGTGTTCAGGGACTTGAAGCCCTTCCTCAGGGCCGACTCTTTGGCCACGCCCAGCCTCCAGTCGCGCTCGCCCACCTCCACCTCCCAGTAGTGGCGGCCGGAGCTGAAGCCCTCCAGCCCGACGGCGCACCACCAGCCGTCGAAGCGTTGGTGGTAGTTGGGAATGTCCTTCCTCTCGAAGCCGCAGCGCATGCGCCTCTCGTCCGTGATGAGCAGGTCGGGGTTCGCTGTGTCCGCATCCAGAGTCACCTCCACTAGAAAGAAAAGGGACGTGGGTTTAAATACCAGACGGGTTCAACAAGCGGGTTCTGCACATCTTGATAAAGTCATTGATTGATGCTCTACCAGCTGCATCTGAGATCCAGTTCCACACTGTAAAAAAAGAAACATTGGGCTTTAGTCTTAGCAGATGTTTGTCAGACATAATGAATCAGTAGATCAAGACTGTAAAACTGGTATTAAAGGAACAAACAGTGGATATTGGGATGGTGATTATGTTGAAGGGAAGAAGAGGTTGTCTGTCCTGACATTTGCAATCTCATTTTTCTTTATATGCTTTTCTCCTTTTTTGGTGCAAAACTACACAACAAAACCAGTCAGTCAGAATGTGACTTGACAGCAGCGCAGACATGTTGCACGCTAATATAAAGTGCATCAATCACCTGATTGAGGAATGTAGGATATGGCACCTGGGTGGAGACAGCAAGAGGCTCATCAGGAACTGAACGTCTCCAGATTAATAACAAAATTCTGATTTTTCATTTACGAACCAATCGTCTGAGTCTTCTGCTTCCACGTGAGCCACTGCTGCGGTATGGTATCCTGCAAGAACGCACCAAAAGAGCTTTGTGTTGCACCTGCACAATAAACACAACGGGTGAAGTGGACGCTGCGGATTGCGGCAGGGATTTTCTACCTTATCCGGGCGTTGCACCATTAAAGTCCAAAAAACCAGCTCCATAGCAGCCAGCAGATTGGGTGCGCGGCCCCAACGCCAGGCGGACTGCAGGTCCTCCAGGGCCTTTGCCACCGGTTCCCCGGGCCACACGCTTTGCTGCAAGTTAACAATAATGCCGAGCTTTATTCATACAGCTCCTTTCATAATATAAATTACAGCTCAAGGTGCTAATAGAACAGCTCACCTCGGGCTGAGCTCTCAGGTCCTTGATCCAGTTGAGGATCACAGTTTTGGCCTGCAGCAGGTCCTGCTCATTAATCATATCAGGTTGGACCTGTTCCACCTCTGGCCAGCCGTCCGTCTGCAGCGGCCTCTTCTGCACACACAAACGCAGAAACATTTAGTGTGTAAAACCCTCAGGAAGTATAGGCGTGCTTCGTCCCTACGCTCACCTTGCTCTCCAACATGGAGGCCCACTGCAGGATGAAGACCTTGCAGAGGGAGGTGGGCCAGGTGTCATCAAGGTTCCAGATGAGCTCCAGGACTGAGGACCTCTGCGCAGGAAAAAAACGAGAGAAAAGAATAGAATAGTCAAGACGTGGTCGCTGTTCGACGTGAACTTTTATTTTGAAAAATTCATCTCCGTAATCAAGGATTTCAAAGAACTGCTGATCCTAAATGTTTACCGGATCTTAGAGTTTACCAGAAGTGAACGTAGAGGAAAGAGTTGGTGGTGATGGATTAGAGAGGTGAAGACAAACCCTCATAGAAGACATCGTTACCTGGCACACGCGGCTTAGATCTCTAGCTAGATCCACAACGAACAGCTGGTCCTCATCCAGAGGCTCCCGCTTCTCGTTCGTCGCCCTCTTGTGCGATTCCTGCAGTGGATTAAAAATGTAGGGATTCTCTGTGGGGATTAAGGGTTCGGAAGGGGAGGAGTTCTCCGCACAAACATAAGGACGTTTGGAGGACATTAGTGCTGCTTTACAAGAGCCTGAGTCAGAGTGGAAAGGAGGAGGTCGCTCGGCCTGATCAAAATGCACATGGTGCCTCTGGGTCCCGAAAAGACAGCCCCTCCCTTCCAGACCCTCACAGACGCGCTCTTGTTGAAATAAACCGCACAGCCGGGACGGATGAAAGACGGTTGTCATGTCAACTGTCTGCACTGGTGTCAAGGTGCACCGTGAACGTGCCTCACCTTTATCTTGGCCGTAAAGTTTTTGGCCGGCTCCACCATGAAGTGAAAACACTGCATCATGTTGGCTGGTCTGTCAAAGGAGTCCTACGGGGAATAAACACAAATACCTGTTTACCATAAAAAACATTCTCACTCTCATTCAATGCACTCTTCCTTAGTGTTTTCATAATTAATATTCTTCCACTACACTATATCTATACTTGAATCTTATAGTTACTTGTTTCATAATATTTGATGCAGTGCTGCATACTGTTTACTACCAATCTATCCAGTACAACATTGAGATGCTCTTATGTTAATTATCTGGTAATACAAACAAAATCTATTCTATGATAATTAACACTTGAATGCAGCAAATCATGAGTATCATATTTAAATTATATTTTGCCGATATGTCTGTATTTAAGTAAAAAAATTCAGGAGTTTTACTTGTAACGGTGAAACTGTTTTTTTTCCCTTTTTACTTAAGTAAAGGATCTGAGTACTTATCCACCACTGACATCACAAAGTGTTTTGTAAAATCCGGTCACTGCCGTTTAATAATCAGCCGACTATTTCAGGGTCAAATCTTGACTTTGAAGCCCAAACCCTAATTTTTATTTATTTTTTTATTTTGGAAAGGAGGCCTGTCGTTTCCTGGCTTCAGCAGCTTTAACTTTAACATGTCAAATTAATTAGTCAGATATTAGTCTTTCGGGCCCCGGTATCGGAGGCCAGAACCCATCAATGAATCATTAGCTGGAGCAGGATGGAGCACCGGCTGCAGGCGGTCTGAAACGTGACTCTGGTCTGCCCTTGGTGAGTCTCTCTCTTTCCTCCTCACTCACTTTCTCTCCGTCTCTCTGCAGAAAAATGCACCAGCTCAGTCCGTGTCTGGCCCTGAAGCCGCTGGGATGACCAGTTTAAACTGGTTTTCATGCCCAGACTGAGGGAAATGTGGGTGAATGCACTGGCGAATGCAAAGTTTGCCCCTTCATCCATTTTATTATAAGGAACTAATGTTAATCACCAATTTTATTTATAGAAAGACTGGTTTGTTTAATAATTAAGTTTTTCAGGTTGATTAATAAAACATTTAATGTTAGCAGCACATCAAGCTCCACAAAGCTGCAGCACTGAAGCATCTGTACGTATTCTTATGCAATATATGCAGTACTTATAATTCATAGTAAGCTGGAGACGAAAATATTATTATCATAAAATTAAATAACACGTTTGCATAAAACGATGAAAAACATTTTAATTTCAGGGAGTGAAGTGGCGCTACGCAGCGAATGGAAACGCAAACACTCCTTCTGGCTCGTGAATGTCGTGGGAAAACATGACCATGCAGTTTCCGTGGGAGCGACCCAGCTCGAGGCCGCCTGATGACTGCGTGACTTTGCGGCAGATTTCTGTCACGGCCGCAGTCACTAAGGGGATTTATCTGCACGCGCGTAACGTGTAAAAGGCCATCGTTTATACATGCATTTCACAAATGTCACATAACTGCAGTGCGGGGCGCGCACAACAACAGGAACAGCGCGCGGGTTATAAAACGCGCACGTGAGGCACGAGCCTACCTTTCTCCTCGGGGCGGGGGGGGGGGGGTGTTAATAAGTTCTTCTGGTCTTCCTTCACCAGCGAGCGGCCGTCCCGGGTCCGGAGGAAGAGTTCGGGCTGTGTGCTGCAGTGTCTGACCTTGTTTACATGGCAGACTGGCGCTCGGCTGCTCGGGCGGCTTCGGTTTTCTCCGTCGGTGACGAACGAGGTTCTCCAGCGGACGACGCGCGCAGCCCCGTTTCTAAGGTGACGCTTTATGACGCGGGTGGTGACGTGCGGTTACGTTTGCTTCACTCTAGATTAAACTAAATATGTTGATGGCTCCACTGCATCAAAACTTGTACTGTGATGTTGTACATGTTCATACAAGCTCCTTTTTCCGCTAGATGCAACATTAACATGTCTTACGTGTAATCTATCATAGTATTGTATTCATCCCTACTACCCATCCCGTAATATAATATTATAACATTCTACGGCAAACACACTAATAGTAGTAATTGCTAGTGATAGTAATTAGTAATAAGTAATCATTTACATTATGGGTTTTTGTTTGAATTGTGGAGTTTTTCCCTTTTGTATCTCTACTCACTTGCAGTGATGTAAACGTAGATTGCTGCCCCCTTCTGACTCAATGATCAGCTGATGTGAGAAAGAGTATTGTTGGTATGTTGCTTTTTCTGATAAAAATGTTGGCCTGCTCATGTGACTGAATGTGACGAAACAATGAAAAGTATTACGATTTTAATTCAAGATAAAGAAACATTTGACCAGAGGGGAAATTTGTCAGTTAGTCAGTGTGACATTAGAGTTTCACAAACAGAGATATCTTTGTCTTTTTTATTGAAAGGGGTCAACTGGTGGCACTATTCTGCCTGCAGGCTCCCGGTCATGACCTCTTTTGGGCTTTTTACTGACTTACCGATTCAGACATTAACACAGTATTAACACAGTACGGTCCAATGTTCTTAAAACATAAAAACATACGGCCTAAAACTGGCTTTTCTTGATCGAATGAGAAACCCAATACACATCCTTAAAATTGAATATTATTCAATATTCCCAAACGTTTCTCATGAATATGTTTGCACACTTTTAATCTTTTTTTAAACATTTTTTTATTTTTTTTCTTAATGGCAGTTCATGAGCTGGTGAAACAAATTCTAAAAACATTTGCAGGGCTTCAATTTCCACCAGGCAATACTAATTATTACATTACATAACAGGTCATTTAGCTGACGCTTTTTACATTTTTGCTCGGGGAGCAATTAGGGGTTAGGTGTCCTGTTCAGGGACACTTCAACTTGGGACAAGGGGCCGGGACTCTTTGCAGTTCCCAGCGCACCCTCTCTACCCCTGCGCCGACAACCCGTTTTCTGTAAATATGGTTAAGAAGAATGAAAGCAAAGGGTGTAGATGGCCTACATAGTCTTTGAAATATAACTGCACCGCAAACGACAGCCACACTGTGTTGGGATCTTTATATTGCTATTAAATATAATGTGCTATTGCTCTGTAATTACAATACTCTGGTATCATCGATGACAACAAAGGATTTATTTTAAATGGTTTCAGAAATATTATTGTGGAGTCGCCATGATCTCCTCAATAAATGCGGTACAAGCGTTGAGTGTTTGTGCATGATGGGTTGAAAAAAAATAAAAAGCAACTCAAGCTTGATGTTTTCTTCCACCTGAAAGGACGATCCCAGTTGCTCCCAGTGAAACATACAGCAGTTTGAAACACCACAGACCTCAGATCAGTAGTCTGTATCCAATGACAACCAAAACCCCAGTGTTGGACTCGTGCATCTTCACAAGGGCCTTGTTACTGTATTTATTTTACAATCACTCCCCTTCACGCTGCTCCTCGTCGCCTTTCAGAGAACAGAACAAATCAATGCACCTGTGGCTATAAATAAGTCAGAAAGAATCAACAATACCATCTTCCTGGAAAAAAAACACAAGCTCTGTAAAAAAAAAGGCAAAAGTGGTAAAAACAACAACAACAACATGTGTCTCATAATAGCTTCACAAAGGCACTCTCATCAGCACCTTTTCCTAACGCATCGCGGCTCGGCCTCGGACTAATGGGTGTCTGATAACATTACCAACCTGACAATGAGGCTTCTGGCTCAGGAGCAGCACCATAAAAGAGTGGAAAGCTCTTCACTGACACTTTAATCAACAGAGTAAACAGTGGTTCCCTTTTTGGGTTCATGAAGTACACGACTCTCCTCTTCAAGGTGTTCCAGCCACCTCGGTAAGTACGAATACCCGCTGATGGAAATTCATCAGCGTGGTAGAGCACAGTACCCGTCGCTCTCCTTCCCCCGATGCTCCTCTTTGGTTCTCCGTCCTCCGTCTCTCAGCGTGTCCTCTGGCCTCGAGTCCGGAGCTAAACGAATCGGCTCGCGCGAGGCCTCCAGCCGAGATCCCGTCCTCTACGAGTCGTGTGTGTGTGTGTGTGTGTGTGGTTTTCTTTTGGTGACTTCCTCACTATACAAAGCTGCCTGGAGCAGCTTGCTACACAGGTAGAACAGTGCTGCTGGTGCAGACACTCCGAGGAAGGGAGACGTCCCGGATGGATGGCAGGATGTCGCACGGCAGCTCCACAGAGTGGCGGAGGCTCTCTTCGTATGTGGGTGGAGGCTGCAGCAGAGGAGTAAGATGGGGACGGATTTTAGGAAAGCGAGTCTGAAAGAAGGACGCTTTGTTAGCCTCACCTGAGCGGCGGAGCGCAGGACTCTGGTGGGATATTTTAAGATGTAGGCCGTTGTTATCTGCCCTGAGTTGTTTTTGGTGCTTCTGTTTAGGTTTCTCTCGAAAGATGCACCACTTTTTTTGTTTTTGTTTATTCATGCGCGTCGCGTTTCAGAAACAGTACCACCACTTAAGGTGACAACTGCAAAACTATTCAGGAGAGACGGAAAATGGAGAGCAACCCGAGGACGGATCTCCCTCCCTGAGAATAAGTGGATCATGTTTGTGTTTACAATTAATCTCCACGTCAGCCTGCTGCAAAAAAAATAAAATCTCCATCGCATTATCTTTCTGATCACATCTGACGGATTCTCTCTCCCCCGACTGGATTTTCTTATCTTTTAATTGCTCGGGGAGCCTCGGGGGACAGGAGGAACCCCAAAAACCTGCCCTCTGTGTGATACACAAATCACACGCACACACATGCACACAAAAACCAGGTCGTTAAGTTTACTACCATCCTGCCTCGGTCCGCAGATATTAAGGGGCCATCAGTTGACCTTTCAGGGACGTGTTGACTGGAAAGTACCCTGTGTGTGTGTGTGCGTGTGTGTGTGTGTGTGTGTGTGTGTGTGTGTGTGTGTAGGAGATGGGCAGCCATGCTAAGGATCGTTTAATTAAGGAAAAAAGGGAAGGTCAAAGCAGAAAGAAAGCAGTGGAATGCGCCTCTTACTCATTAGCTTGTTTGCTCGAGCGCAGCGCCAGTTAAAAGCTCGGCGAAAGATCAACGCGGTAAAACCTTGAAACGCGGACGCCAGCGCGACGAGATGAGCTGATAGTGAATCCCCTTTGCTGCACCGCGACTGCAGTCTAATCTTTGAACAAGCTCTTGTACCAATATTGTATGACAGCGCGGTCATATCACAAAGGGCCCGCTCCTCATCGTCGCCATTCATCGTGACAATAATCGGGGGAGTTTATGTGACATCAAGCTTTCCTCAAACTGTAACAGGAGCACAAACTCCTCTCTGTTCCCAGGCGGAACAACAGCACCTGAACACAGCATTTGTGACTGTATCATGTGCCGTGACACATTCCTAATCCCTGATTTAACTGACCTCGGTCACAATGGGTCCATTGAGGCCGAAGCGGTCCGCGATCATCATGTGGATCTGCCTCTGGCGGTCCTTCTTTCGGACGCTCTCGTAGGAGGGGAGCCTCGGCAGGGGGGCTTCCAGCGTGGGCAGGCTGTAGCTGGAGGGCAGGCCGACGTAGAACAGCTGACCCGCCTGCTGAGACACACACGCACAGGGGGACACTCGTGAGGGACAGGAAACAGACGCTTGGGGTGGATACTGTCTGATGGTCCCAGAAATATATATATATATATATATATATATATATATATATATATATATATATATATATATTCATGTCTGGCTCGCTCACCTGAGTCCTGTCATCCACGGTGTGAGTGGGCTCAAGACAAGGGGATCCCACCAGCGTCTGTCTGCTGCTGTAATACTGCGGAGGAGCGTCCTGCAAAACAAGCAGTCGTAAATGAAACAAGTGTGTCCCACAAAGCCGAGCGCTGTGAGTTCTGCCGCTGCAATTAGTCAAAAGATTGTCTCCTTTCAGCCCCCCATTTACTAATGTTCATGCCTTGTTTAATCACTGTGGACACTGGCTGGTTTAGCAGTGCCATAAATTGTTTAATCAATGAGGAGACCACCCTCTAATTTCCAAGCCTCCTCCCAGTCCCACCCATTCTAAGACAGGACCTGTCGGGGTCTCACGTATGAAGCGAAATAAAAGAAGAAAAAAACGCAGGAAAACGCAGTAATTGCCCGCAGTCCAAACGAGTGTCCTTTGTGGGGGAGAACAATGTGATGTCCTACTGTGGCATCGGGGTCCCTCGGCAACAAGCCCCACCGTGTGGTCCTTTCAGTGTCTGTCTCTTGGCCTGGTAGCTGCAGCAGGTATACCTCTTAACGAGCACACGGTGCACTTTACGGCCTCGTGTGTCGATGCAACAAAGTCAATATGTCGCCTGACGCGGATTTAAACCCAGTGTTGAGTGTTTGTTATTGTCGGGGCCAAATGTGGCTGTTGTTATTGAGGAGATCTCCTCTGCGGAAGCAACTAAGGTCTATGTGGTGGTATAAAAAGATTTATCGTTTTCCCAGGCCGGGTTAATACAAACAATGACATCACTCACACTCGGAGTGACGCAAGCTAACGACCTTTGCCTTAATCCCCACATCGTCACGGAGGGACTGACAACACCCCCAAAGAAGTGATGTCAGAGGTCACTTTCCCCTCACTGGTTTGTACTTTTAAGAAGCCAAGTCCTCAAGGAGGAGGAGAAGTAAAAAAAAAAAAAAAAAAGGAGACTTGGCCTTTTGTCTCCTTCCACTTATTCAGCCAGTGTGAAAAAGCACAACCGTGTAAAATCAGTGTTGAAGTCGGGGGAGGAGCCCAGCGGCAGCGTGCCTTTTCCACCGCCGCAACCTAAAGGAGGTCCATTGTCCCCCTTGTGTCCCCGACACCCACAGTGGGGTCGGCCCACTATTCATGGTGCAAAATGAAGCAGGGAAAGGTATGTGACGATGAAGTTAAAGACATGAAAATGTCCCACAGGAGCACAAAGCGAGGCTCTGTGTGTGCGTGTGTGTCCCTTTCTGCCTCCTCATCATAAAAAACAACACAGAGCCTTTTGGGTTTTAGGGAAAAGTTGCAGTGTATTAATTAGCATTTATCTCATGCCCCGCTGTTTGCAGTGTGTCACGATGTACTGAACTGACGCAATGTCTTCCTATCACCTGTGGACACGTACAGCTGTAACTAAGGGCCATCGTGTCCCAGTGAAACACTCTGTTAGTTCCCTAAACGGGACCACACGACTCCTCCGTTAAAAAGCACAGTTTGGACTGAGCTTCCTGTCTGTTGAAGGGTGGAGGCCCGAGTTTACGCCTCTGCAACCCAAAGATAACACTCAAACTTCCCCCCTGGGACTGAAGACAGGAAGAGGAAGCAGGGCGACTGCGCCTCCAATGAGAAGTCACCTACATTTACACAACCATCGTCTCCAGCACCATTCAGCGTCGAGAGACGCGAGATGTTTGAGGTGTGAAAATAGATAATGAAATAAAAGGCCTGACACTCTCTTAAACACCTTAAGGATTAAGTTGTTTTGCTTCACCCGCTATGCCGATGTCAGCATCTCAAAATCTGATTTGCACTGATTGAATTACTCTGGCGCTGAAGTCGCATCAATATGCGGCGGTCAGTGCTAATTCTGTCCAATTCCATTAGAGTTGCCGTGGCAGATATTTCTGGAGGGCAGCTAATTCCACTGAGGAAAATCCACCGCCTGACAATGATCTTATCAGGTTCATTGTAGTCCTTTTGCCACTGACGTGCAAATTGAATCTGACACTGTGTGATGGCGCGACGCTGAGTGCACATGGTGTCTTTGAGTCCTCTCTCTCTCTCTCGCTCGCTCTCTTCAGTGGGACGTGGACAACTCTGCTAGATCAGCATCACAACTGAACATACGTGCCACTTTTTAAAAAAAAAACAGCACAAAAGGCAGTTTCTCCTCTTTGTGTGTGGTTTTTCTTACCATATCTGCACGTGGCCCCCGATGGGAGCAGAGTTTGCAGCACTGAAGATCGTTGCGGTAAAGAATGGACAGCAGCACCACGATGACCACAAAGAACACCAGGGAAGAAACTGTTTGAAAAGCAGGAGAAAGGGAAATGTTTGTTAAACAGACCTTTTCCTTTTCTTTTCTCGCAGTTATAACAGTTATATCCATTTTAGCAGTTCCAAACATTTAGCGAGAGGAATCACTTTCAGTTTGAAATTTGAAAACTTAAGAAGCTTTGACTTCTCTCTGTCTATTAAAAAAAAATGACAACTGAAAAACAATAGACGGTATGAATTATAGTTGAAATCTTTGAGTAAATATGAGACAATCAAATGTGCTAAAAGGCAATGATCCAGTAGAACCCCTATCACAATGCTGCAAGAGTAAGTGCAAAAATCCAAGAGGCAGAACTATTAAAATCACTCTCCAGAAACAGAACCTCCTCTAACAAAATATTCTCTCTATCATAATAATGACAAGACTGAACTTACACGACGCGGCGACCACAGTGAGCTGATCCGAGGTCAGCTGTGAGGAGGGGATGGTTGGACTTGCGGTTGTGGACATTTCTTCCGTGTAAACTGTCAAAGTCCCATTATTGAGAAGCCCTCCTGAACTGGTGAGGCTCAGCACGAAGCCCCTCATCTCCTCCCCGCCATCGCCCGCCCGCTCGCGGACAGTGCGCGTGACGCTCTCCATGCGCGTCTCTGCGAGTGGGAGCTCCCACTCTCCGCTCCGCAAACACGTCACACGGCGGGCGCGCGCGCGCGTGTGTGTGTGTGTGTGCGCGCGCATGTGTGTGTGTGTGTGTGTGTGTGGAGCTGCTCGTGAAAAAGGCGCACCGACCCCGTGACGTCACCCCGGCTCCTCCGTTGAGCCACCAGATTTATTGCAAAAGTTCCACCCGGAGCAGCGATGCAACAAGCCGATTACACGGAGTGCAAAAAGATGTCGGAGAGGGTCGCCCTCACGCTGCGTCCTTCCTCCGTAATGCCCACAGCACAACACCACAGTAGATTAACACACCGGATGCCTGAGCTGGAGTCCCGTTACCCGGGAGACTGTTGGGGGTCTGTGGGGGTCCCGTTCCGAGATGATTTCTATGCAGACAAAGAGAACTAATGTCGTGTTAGTATTCATGGACGGGAAGCGTCTTTAACAACGGAATGTATTTCAAATAATTATGACAGATGCCTGTCAAGAGGAAATTACACAAACAATTATGATAATGAAAAAAACATTTTTTTAATTGTCTATTCATGGTGATCGCTCAGGATTTATTGGACGGATTTACCTTATATGACCCCGGCTAACTAACTGCTATCTAACTAATCCTTTGATTGAGCTTTTCTGGAATTGATCAATAGGCCACGTTATATTATGGACCAAAGGCAGCAGGGAGAAGGAAGCCAGAGGTAACTTGAGCCTTTAAAGAGGATGTAGGCCAACCAAATGAGCTTTAGGGTCAGATGACGTATTTTATAAACCTAAAAGTTTTCGTTTGTGTAGGTCTCTGTTTAATGTAAAATAAAAACAGTGCTGCCGCAGACTTGCGACAATAAATAGAAGCTTAAACATAAACACGGGGCACAAACTTTACGGCAACCTGAGGATTCCGAGCGCCATGCCGTGCGCGCGCCATTCAGAATGCAGCGTGCACGCGCTCGTCGTCGACCGGGAGTCGAAAAAATGGTGGCCAGCGACCGAGTACAGAAGCTGCTCCGGCGATACAAACTCGCCATTGCCGCCGCACTGACCATCCTGCTGGTCCAGGGGCTCGTGGTGTGGAGCCTGAGGAGTCTGGAAGAGGGCGAGGCCGAGGTGGGTGATGTTCCCTCGGACCGTCGGTGACACGGCGGTGTTTCTCGGGGGGGGGGGGCTTTAATCCTGGAGCTAACGGGGGAGCCTAGCGCTTAGCCTAGCTTCCCGTGTGTTATGATGCGGTAACGGCTAGCCGACGCTAGCCCGGTTAGCGGCTGTTGAACAGCGCCACTCCGGAACATTTGGGTAACGTTACAACCGGACCAGCACTGCCCGTCCGTCCGTGTGCTCCAGCCCGCTACGGCACGCAGCGCCGCACGGTTACACACGTGGAACGAGCGGGTTTGACCGTGTTGGGGTGACGTTAGTCGGGGGGGGGGGGGGGGACTTGCCCGTCGAGGCGGAGCAGTGGACTTTTGGGGAGAGTCGCTAACGTGAATGTGTGTGTACATGTTAAATCCGGTGCAGCTGGTTGTGTGGAGAAAACGCGGTGATGGGGAAACGGACGGAACCAGAACCGGGCACACACACTCACGCACACGCACGCACGTCACTGGGGCGTCTGTGCAGTGATGCAACTTTTTAGCAACATGTGAAAGGAATCCGTTATGATTCATCGACCATGAACCGTCCATCGCCATGAGCCAAGACCACTGAGCAGCTGCGAGACATTCAAACATCTGCTCTACTGTTTGTGTTTACATCCGCCAGAGGGCTGTGACCTTCAATACGCTTTGAATCTTTACCAAAACACCCTTAGAGGGAGCGTGACCCAGGGATAGGGGGGCTGAGGGGAGGGGGGTGATCCTGAAACAATTCCTTTTTAACATGATCCTGGTTGCAGCGTGGGAAGTTCATCTTGGAGTCTCCCACCCACCCGGAGGCAGCCGATGTTCCGGGTCTCCCCTCCCAACAAGTTGCAGGGAGTTTGTGAGCAGGAGTGGGACACGTGGAGGGGCTGCATGCGCCCCGGGGCTCACAGGAATGCACGCTGAAACCTCACCTGAGTTGGGAACCGGTGCTGAACCCCTAACCTAACACGGGACCGTGCATCGGGCTGTTTCTCAGTCACTATACGAGTGACGCGTGTTCCCAGCTTGGATGATGTAATCCGTTTCCTCCGCACTGACTTAAGCGTGACATTGTGACATGTCCCGGATCATATTGCAGAACCTTTTGAATTCCACCACCTGTTTGCATTATGAGCCTGTGGGCTTTGTGTTACCTGATGAGCGGCATTCAGGCTTAAACATGCTTCAGCAGATGTTCAGAGAAGAAGGGGTCTGTGGTGAACTGTAAATCCTGTAGGACCGTAAAGGGGGAGACGGGCCCCACCTTTAAAATCCCATTGAGTATTTGCTGTCCAGTGCTTCAAGTATTCTTCCCGAGCTTCTTTTTAAATGAACAATTTCAGGTTGAAAACAGCTGTCACTCATTATTTGTGTATTTTAGGCTGCGTAATGTGACACTGCTGCTCAGTGCACATGTCAGCCTGACATGCAACTATGTTGGCAGTCGTCCACACAAATGTCAAACGACTGGAGGAAAAAAATGCAGAATCAAGTTTGGGTCATAAGAAAGCATATTAATCCTTGCAGGTGAACAGTCGGGGAGGCTGATTTCTCAGAGCGCTGTGCATGTGTGAGCACAGCCACCGTGGTTTTTTATTTAAAGCCCTCGGAGGGGAGGCGAGGACCGAAGGAGAGGAAGAAGCAGACTGCCATCCTCGTGTCGCCCTCCGCTTGTCTGAGCTCTCCTGCGGAGCCGAGCGCTCGCTGCCGCTTCGCGCTTCAGCAGATGGCGACACTGATACGGTTTCACTCCTCTTTAATTGGAAAATTGTAAAGTAAAGCGGCTGCACGGCTCGCCTTTGAATCAATGCATTTTTTTTTTTTACACGATGGTGTTAATTAAAAGCTGTGAAAACGAGCGATAAGGAAAATGGAAACATTGCCCCCCCCGCTGTGCGCTTTTATGAGAACATTTTCTCTTGCAGCCGAAACTATCTGTCCGTGTCAGCTGGAGGAAGATGTTCCCGGTGGTGTTTTTATTAATGCATCAGCGATAGAAACAAAACGTACCGTCACTGATGGAAACAATGTGAGACAATTGGTCAATTTAAACCGGCTGAAGCCCGTACTGCCGTGACTGGAATGCACTTGGGCGTCTCACTGTGACGGGTCTGAGGGCCCGCGCACACACACACACACACACAGTAGCTGTGTGACAAGGATTATCTGTATCACCTCCTTAAAGTCTGAGCTTTCATGCTTGGTTTCTGTGTTCGTGTCTGCAACACGAGATGTGCGTTCATGTCGTTCTGCCAGAGGGAGCTGAAACAGGTTGGTCGAGGTCTCTACAGTTAATCACGGGATCCAATGTGTTTGTGTCTTTGTGTGTGTCTGTCTGTGTGTGTGTGTGTGTGTGTGGGGCAATCTCAGAACTGTGCTTTTTGCAGATTAGCTTTACAAAAAGCAAGAGGCTCTGCTAAAAATAGTCCAGATCAGAGGCGCGAGACAAAGACTACACAAGTAAACACTTCCGCTGCTTCAGGGCTCCTGCAGCTGTTGTCTTAGCGGTGGTCTTCGTTTACCTTCTGCTGTTTAACTCTGGATCTCCTTCTTCTCTCCACAGAGAAAAACCCGCCGGTCTAAGCTGCCGGACCCCAACAGCCAGGACCTTAAAAGAGACTCCTCAGTTTGGGAGAAACCAAACGCTTTGCCGGGGAGGAACCGCGGGAGGTGGAGCGGCCGGTCGGAGAGGACGGGGGGCACGGCGGCCAGCGCGCTGAGGAGAGGGTCCAGCCGCAAAGTCGAAAAGCCCGGCGTCCGGCTGAAGTCCACCCTGGGGCTGGTGCAGGACGGCGCCGTCCTCCACGATCCGTCCAGCAGCCGGAACTTCAGCGACACCCGAGGGGGAGCCGACGGCGCGGCCAAGCCGCTGACCGGCGGCGCACCGGGGGAGACGGGCAGCGTGGACGGGGCGCACCAAGCCCCCAGCAGCGGCTTCGTGCCTAAATGCAACATCGGCGGCAAGGACGCGCTGTCGGCCATCCATCGCGCCGGGTCGCAGCAGTGCCGACAGGAGATCGCCAACATCGTGTGTCAGCATCAGGCCGGGAAGCTCATGCCGGGCGCGCTCCCCCAGTTCTGCCCACAGCTCGGTGAGAATCCTGCACATCTTCTGTAACCTCCTCCATTCATCGTTCATCCAGAGAACAGCTGTCTGCTCTCAACAGCTGGCCCATGAGTTTCATTCTTTGATTCCGTCCAGCCGTATCGAATCAGGCGCAGGCCTTCGGCGAGCTGGACAACAGCCTGACCAAAGTGAAGAACCCGGTCCGAGTGGCTTTCGTCCTGATGGTCCACGGCCGAGCTGTGCGGCAGCTCAAGCGGCTCATCAAAGCCATATACCACCGTGACCACTACTACTACATCCACGTGGACCAGGTGAGCCACGAATAGAGGATCGCGTCACATGCACACAGACGGCACGAGGAACACAATTCTTTCTTTGCTTTGGACGTGGTTTTGGTTCTGCTGGAGCTCGTGGTTTATTTATGGTTATGCTGAACATTTGGCTCCCTGCTTGGTTCTGGCTTCAGTCAGCTCCCAAATGCTTTTACCGGTTAGGGCTTCTTGCATCATGAAGGTTAAATACATCCCGTGGGTTCCTTAGTGTGCTAAAGGGGATTAGCCCGGATAGAGTAAAGTGTGGGTTATTCTTAGCGGCTGGATTTAGTGGAAGAAAAGTCCGCTATCGCGTGCAGCTCAAGAAGACAAATGACTTTGGCGGACTGGAGGTCCCGAGGCGGAGACCTCCGACGTGTTCTGCTGCCGAGGGGCAGCGGGGAGGAGTAGGTGGGACAGACGCCATCTCACACTCTTGGTGGTTGTCACTGAGGCAGAAGCCCGTTCTGATGGACGAGTGTGGGAAAGAGGTCGGGTTGTTCCTGAGTGAGTCCGCCAGCAACCTCTGCTCTGCTTTTATGAGCACCACCGGGACGAGCACCGATTGTTTTGAATGTCTGAAGAAGACTTGTCCACAGATGTCCACTCTTAATTTAACGCGGGACAGAGTCAGTAGCACACAGTTTGTGCTTCACGTAACAAAACAATGGCACTTCGTGTCCCTGAACAAAGTGTCTTTCTCTGTTAAGCAGCCTATTTATTGTCTTTTTATTAGCCACCTTCATTTGTAAATAATAAATATGACGTATGATAATAAATTGGTAGTTGAATTGAAGAAAAGGTTTGAAGCAACAGATTTTGTGCTTCTTGCTATCGTCAGACTCACGGTTAAATCTTGTAACGTCTAAAGCTCGGCAGCAGCTTGGCTCTTTGACTTCCTTCATCTGGTATTTTATTCCCACAAATTTAATCCCCGCCTGAGGTTTTACAGAGTGATTTCCTATAAGCTCAGTTTGCTGCTGCTCGGCTTTTCACCTCCTGCCAGCTGGAGAAGGAAAGAAAATTTTCCCACTTTCTCCATCATCGCGATGACCCACAATGCAAAGCACCATGGGGCTGTTTGTTCTGCTCGGATCAGATTCTCTTTCAACTCCAGCCAGATTTGTGTGGCCGTGTCGGCTCAGCGGCAGCCGCAGATCCGTGGGAACTCGGCTACCTTTGTGAGGCCCGAACTCAGGTTTCGCCCATTTAAACAGTCGCACCTTCTGCTTCCGAAATCCTCCAGCGGTCCGGCTACCTGCACCGGGAGGTCCTGCAGATAGCCCAGCAGTACCCGAACATACGAGCCACGCCCTGGCGGATGGTCACCATCTGGGGAGGGGCCAGCCTCCTGAAGGCCTACCTACGCAGCATGCAGGACCTGCTCTCCATGCTGGACTGGAAGTGGGACTTTTTCATCAATCTCAGCGCCACAGACTTCCCCACGAGGTCAGCGGAATAACCTCACCGTTAAAAACATTTCTGTGTGATTGGTTAGATGCACGCCGAGGTCTCTCGTGGATATTAGCAGGGAGCGCCACACTTCGAAACACCAAAGAACCTTCTGGAAATTTCTTTGCGGTGCCACGTCTTTTCTGTCCTTTCTCACCTTCTCGCCTTCCCGCAGGACCAACGATGAACTGGTGTCGTTCCTGTCGCAGCAAAGAGACAAGAACTTCCTGAAGTCCCACGGGAGAGAAAACGCCCGGTCAGTGTCTGACATTTTCCCACTTGACATATTTTGACTTTTGACTTATTCATCCATGACGTTTTTCTAACATATATTTATGTCAGAATATTGCTTTCAAACCCTTTTTCAAAATAACGTATTTTTCATCTGTCTGTTTAAGGTTTATTAAGAAGCAAGGCCTCGACCGCCTCTTCCACGAGTGCGACAACCACATGTGGCGTCTCGGCGAGCGCAGCATCCCCGAAGGCCTCGACGTCTCCGGCGGCTCCGATTGGTTCGCGCTCACCCGCCGCTTCGTGGAGTACGTCATCGGCTCCCAGGATCCCCTGGTGTCGGGGCTGAAGCAGTTCTATTCCTACGCGCTGCTCCCCGCCGAGGTGAGACAAGATGTTGATTTGATGTACGAGTGTGTCGCGGGCTCGTCCTCCCCCCCCCGCCGAGCCAGAGGAGCCCGGCGGCGGAGATACCGTAATACTTTAAGCTCTCTCCGGCTCAGCGCCGCAGAGGTACCGTCTGGGTTTATCTGACAGGTGTGGTTTAAAGCGCTTTGTTCCCTGCGGTTCGTGGCGGCGGACGCGAAGCGTTCCTCCTCGTCTTCGAGCGCAGCCTCGGTCCCGCAGTGCGCGGCGCTAACGGCGTCTCTGCTCGCGCCTCTTTCGCAGTCCTTCTTCCACACGGTGCTCGGGAACAGTCACATGTGTGACACGCTGGTGGACAACAACCTGCGAGTCACCAACTGGAACCGCAAGCTGGGCTGTAAATGCCAGTACAAGCACATCGTGGACTGGTGCGGCTGCTCCCCCAACGACTTCAAACCGCAAGACCTCATCCGGATCCAGGTGAGCAACAGCTGCTTCCCTCTGCCTCCTGTTTTTATTGCCTTTTGGGTTCAGTGTTTGTTTTAATCTCTTGGTTATTCTGTTCTTCCAACAGCAATTGACCCGTCCGACATTCTTTGCACGCAAGTTTGAGTCGGCAGTGAACCAGGAGGCCATAGACATTCTGGACACTCACCTGTACGGCCAGTACGCCCCGGGCACCGTCGCCGTCAAGGCGTACTGGGAGAGTCTGTTCGAGAGGTCGGATGGCGTCGGCTCGCTCGCCGACGCGGCGCTCACCGCGTACAGCGCTTTCTCTCGTCTGGGCTTGAGGAATCTGGAAAGCACGCAGAGCGGCGTGGAGGCCTGCAGGTCCGTGGACACTTCTGGGGATCAGTGAAGGATAAAACGGGCTTCTTTCTAAAAATAAATATGTCATTTTGCTCCCTGCAGGTTTGAACCAGTCGGCCACCCTCTATCAGTGCACGTTTACTTTTATGACGACCGTTTCCAAGGATATCTGGTGCGTCAGGAAGTCCAGGCTGTCGGTTCAAAGGTCAAGGAGACGCTGGAGATGTGGGCAGTGCCCCAAGCCACGCTGGTCCTCGAGACAAACCTGAAGGAGTTTGAGAGGCTCAAGAACCTGGAAGTAAGCAGCCTCCTCGTCTGAAGAAGAGGATTCTCCATTATGGTGGTGCACACCTTTTAATATCAATGGGCCTTAAGAAAACTGCTTCACAGAAGATTTTCTCCCTGATATGGAAACTTGGCTCTGTTTTTAATCAATCTAACCAAAGCTGAACTTTGAAGTTAATTAGTTTTTCCTTTTTATTAATACGTTGGGAGGAGAGCTACGGCGGGAAGTGCTTACACCTTCTCTCTGCTTGTCCTCAGATGAAGCATGAAAGTCAAAGACGCGGGAGGCCTCGTGTTGCTCCATCGTGTCACATAATCCAACGCTACTCGACAGATTCCTTTTTGTCTTCCTCCCCGGCAGATCGGCACGGAGTGGGACCCCAAAGAGAGAATCTTCCGGAACTTCGGCGGCGTGATCGGCCCTCTGAGCGAACCCCTGGCGGTCCAGAAGTGGGCGCGCGGTCCCAACCTCACAGCCACCGTTGTGTGGATCGACCCGGCTCTCGTGGTGGCCGCCTCCTACGACATCGCGGTGGACGTGGACGCCGAGTACACCCAGTACAAGCCCGCCCTGCAGCACCCCCTGCGGCCCGGCACCTGGACGGTCCGGGTGCTGAAGCAGTGGCAGCGCGTGGCGGAGGTCCGCTTCCTCGTCATGCCCTTAACCTTCCGAGATAAGGAGCCGCTGCGCAGAGGTGAGCCGTGGACACACAGCTGTTGACTGTCCTCTGCGTCAGTCTGCAGGAGGAAGATCCTTCTTATTGACAACAATTCCAACCATGGGATTTAAAGATTAGATTAGATTAGATTCAACTTTATTGTCATTGCACAGGGTACAAGTACTGAGGCAACGAAATGCAGTTTAACATCCAACCAGAAGTGCAAAATAGCAAAAAGTGCAGAGTATGTGCATATGTAAAGTGTAATAATTGAATAAATAGATATGAACAGTAAGAAATAGTTGTGCAATATGAACAGCACTACTGCTGTCTGAGACGCTCGGCATTGAGCCCGTTTAATGGAAGGGAATCATCTTGAAAAAGGGGCACATGGATAGAATTGATCCAAATTAAGCTCCACCGCGTGTGTTAATGGTAATGATCCAGAACATGTCACTGGTGTTATTTTATTTGCTTCTGGACAACAACAGAGAAATAAACTACAGGCGTTGTTCTTTTGATGGAAATGTTGATGCAGAATATCACTGAACTAATTGAAGGTTAAGTTTGAAAGTTTTCTATTTGGATCCTTTTAAATACTTACCCCCCCCCCCCTTCCCCCTCCTTTGCTTTCTCTTTGTTGCGTGACCCCAAATGTCCCGTCCAGAAGAGGACAGCTGGCTCCATGCGGGTCCTACAAAGAACTTGTACCTGGAGCAGAACTTCCAGCAACTGAGCGCCGTCCTGAAGCTGCCCCCCCCCGAGTCGGCCATGCAGGAGGCCCAGCGGAGAGCCCAGCTGGTGGGTCGGCCCCTTGAAGCCTGGGTGGACAGCAGCGTTGGGGCCTTCTGGGTCACAGGCGGCCTGTGTGCCACGGAGTCCTCGTCCTGCCCGGCCGTGGGACCCTGCCGCGAGACCTCCTGGAGCTCCCTGTCCCCGGACCCCAAGTCGGAACTGGGCCCGGTCAAAAGCGACGGGCGGATCAGGTAGCCCCGACAGGAGGAGAGACTGTGGACTGAGAGGGGAGCCGGCGCGCTCCAACAGAACCTGTGTCAGATCGAGGGCACATGAACAGGCTGGTGTTCCTGCACCGGGGGGGGGCGGGACGTCCTCAGTGAAGTGGTAAGACAGGCAGGGCGGCACTGCTGGAAATTTGCACATAAATCGGTGGGATTGTTCGATGAAATGGTCCCGACCACGTATAGTTTTTTTTCCCCCACCTCCGGTCTGGAGGTGGGGGAGGGGACCTCTGTTCACAGTTTTCACATTTCCCTCCACTTTGAAAGAATCGGGAAGCGTTTGCCAACACTCCACAGGAGGCTCTTCTTCATTTCAAGGCAGAGCGGAACCTCTGGATGATGATGATGATGATGATGTCGTCGTGCTTGTTTTGAAGCCTTATCGTCATGTGAGCATGAGGAGCAGACGGATGAAGTGCACTTTACTGTCGGGCTGTAATATTAAACAGAGGTGGGGGGGGGGGCAGAAGTTAAAGAGTCACGGATGAGGTCACTTCACTTTCAAACCACACACACACACACACACACACACACAAGAGAGTGTAGAGAGTATTTAATGTGTAGTTCTGTTTACTGTGACATATCATCGAACATGTTTGTTGTATGTATTTGTTTAGTCTGTTAAGTTGTCTTTGAGCTCCATCGCTGCAAAAACACACACATAGTTGTTATTTTTTAAACGTTACGTGTGGGTAAGGAGCCCTGAAGATGAGATTCTTCTGTCATTTTCCAAGTTCTGTTTCCTGTGAATTTGATCAGTGAGCTTTTTGGTTTCCAGACTTCTTTTAGTTTTAAAGGAATAGTTTAGTTTGCGTTCTTGTCCCGAGTTAAGTGAGAACATCGATAGTTTAGTAACTACGATGCAGAAGGAGTAGAAAAGGCTGTCCTGATATCCGAAGGAAACTCGATCAGCCGCCCAGTAACTCAAGTATCCAAAGCTGTCTTTTGTTTGACGTGTGAAAAGCCTCGTTGTGCTAATCGGTCTCTTCCATCCACGTTTACTCGACAAGACGCTGAATGCGTCGATTTCCCAAAATGTTGAACTTTTCTTTTAGGTTCAAGACTTTTAAATCGGACAAAAGGTGAAAGTTCCCGTGCACCACTTCATGTTTCCCGTTGGTGTCGTGTCCTCACGTTGGTTGTTGTCCTCATTTCATCTACTGAACCCAAATGTTAAACGGTACACCGCCTGTCTTGTGTTTTAATGATGGAGGGAATCTAAGCTGCCTTCACTTAGTGAGAAGAAATGTTTACTAAAGGATTATAGCTTCCAGAGACGTGCAATGAATGCCTTTCCAGTTAGACAGTGACCCCCCCTCCCGTCTCACATCTGTAATGGTCCTCCTTTTTTTTTTTTTTTTTTTTTTAACCTTATTTTAAATGTTCTTAAACAATAGTTGGCCACTACATGGGTTTTCAAGTGACCTTGTTTAACTTGCACATTACAGCCGCTTCAGTGAAGCCCCAGTTTTATTGATGAGAGCGATCGGCGGATCAGATGTTATTTTTCTACGCTGTGTGTTTGTTGTCCGTTCATCTCCACTGCTAACTGTTAACGACTGCTGTCTAATGAGGCGGTTCTCAAGACGCTCGCCCTCGTGTGAAGCAGACCAGGTGTTTTTTGATTTTGGGGGGGAGGTGAGGTCTCTGACGGCGAGTCCCACTGAGCTCTGTGGCTCTAATCCGCGAGGGCGACTTGAGGCCTTTGGGGAAGCTCATCTGCATTCTGACTGATGAATAAAAACACTTTTCTAAAGCTGTTTTCTTGTGATTTTTCACAACCCCAAAATCCATCCGCCTGAATCAGGTGGCCCGTGAATGGTAATTCTTTTATTTCTCATGTTTCCACTCTATTTTAAGTGTTTTTCCTCGTAAAGCAGCGGAGGAAGTGGGACGAGGAGCTCTCCAGGGTGCTGAACGCTTCCTTGTTGTCACGTCATGGATTTCGCTTCATAAATACTGTAAACTACACCTGTCACATAAACATCGAGTGAGTGCACTGCCTTTTCGCTCCGGATGTAACCCTGCAGAAGGGGGGGGGGGTCGGAGGTGACGAGGGAGAGGAGCTTTGAAGCTCAATTTGTTTGCAGAAGCTCGTCTGCTTCGCTCTCGTTTTTTCTTCCAATATCATAACGATGGTTTTACGATGATGTAATCATTGTAAAAAGGAAACCTGACATGTTCCTAATAATATTATAACCAATTATTCAGTTTCTAATATTTCTATATTTTTATTTTAAAAACATGCCTCTTTTAAATGTTTATTTTGTATTGTAATTTTTTTTACCCATCAGTCAAATGTATCTGAAACCCTCCACTGGAGCCTCACCCCTGTGATCCATCAGCTGGAAAGCGTAAATCATTAGTATTCATGTGTAAAATCGAGTTAATCATCCGTGTGTGATCGCATGCAGCGAATCAGCAGCAGACTCCCTCATTTGGACACAAACACACACACACACACACACACACACACACACACACAGATCTAACACTGTAAAGCTGTCAAGAGGTAAATCCTGTTCTGTTTTCTCACAGTAAAAGCAACATAAACAGGGTATAGTTACCACGACTAACGTAGTAACGCGCCATGTTAAATATGTTTCTGTCAGATACTTTTTTGCTTTAAAGTTGAAGATATTTCCATGATTATATTTCTTCACCAGCTTCCTGGTGGTCAATAACTGTTCGATGCGTGCGGCAGGCTGTGAACAAACTCCTTCTCGCTGGCTCGTACCGTTACATTTGCTGTTTTGCCGAGTCACAGGCTCCCAGGAACCAGCCGGCATACTAACGACAGATGGCTCAACTCTCAACTCCCAAATGTGTGCAGAACTGCTAATTGAGTGACAGGAAGGGACTCCGCACACATGAAGGGAGGAGGTTTTCTTTTTGGTTCCTAATGTGAAGTTATCTTATATAGTTAATTATAACTTTAAATAACTATATTAAGACATCCGCTGAATAGACAGAATAGACTTTACACAGCGCTGCACACATTTCAACAGTAGCCTGGCTTCTTCTTCAATTATAATATAACTATATATATACATATTATCATTTGATATAGTGTTAGTCATGATGTCATCCCTGAGATGAAATGCTCCTGATTAAAGAGGACCGGTCTGCACTTTAACTGTCTCGTTACGGAACATCTCGGCAGCGCGCTGTCGATGAACCCAAACAACTCCGACCAGTCTGGCGTTGCCATGGAGACCGATGTGCTTCCCGGAGACAAACGGCTTTTGTCGCGAGAACGTTTACATGCCGCCATCAAAAGCTGACGTAGGAGACACGAAATAGTCTCCGGCGTTGGCGCTCCGGGGCCAAATCAGTGCTCGTAACCCGTCACGCCGCGCGTGTCCTCGTGATGCCTTGTTGTCTAAAAGGGAGCAAATGGTTAAAAAGCTTGTTTGCCACTCTGATGAATTTCTGGAGCTTTTGTGTGTCGCCTACTTAAAAACTGTCAATCACTCTGCAGCGGCCACACGTCTCCAATGAGCGCTGACAGCGTTCACTTTAAAGCTCGTGCTGTATTTCTGCCCAAACTGTCTCAGTCAAGACGGATGTGCAGAAATTGTGGATGTCGGCGATTTAACGCGGACGCACTGCGAGCGCCATGTGGGCTCTTTGAAACTGCAGATAAGAGGCAGCAAAGATGAGGGAGAGGAGGAGGAGGAGGAAGAGGAGAGGGAGGGGGGGGGGGGGTGATCAATGTCCACAAAAGCAAGCATCTGCAACTAAGGACCGCCAGCCTAGAACCCCCCCCCCCCCCCTCCGCCCCCGAGCTATATGCCCCAAAAGAGACGACAACCGCGGCGACAAGGCCGATGCAGCCGCGAGAAGCGTGCGAAGTTTGATTTGCGTGGCGGTCAAAAAGGTCCTCAGGTCTTAGAACTGCACAGAAACACTTGGTGTTAGTGGCAGAACAAGAGAAATGCACACAAACGGATGCCTGACACCGTGACAGTTCAGACACACACACCACACACACACACACACACACACACACACACACACACACACACACACACACACACCACATCCTCCAGCAGCTCCCACAGTTAACCGCTGCACGTTGCCCTTCCCTCTAGAAAGCACCGAGCCGTCACGTTGCCCCCCTCCCCCCCCCCATGTTGTTGACTTCACCCGAGTGATGAGAAGGACTTGTCGCTGCGGTGTGTGTGTGTGTGTGTGTGTGTGTGCGCGCGTGCTGAAGTCATTGAAGTGACAGTGAAGCTAATCGCCCCCCCCCTTCCTCCCTCCGCTGCCATTGAAGTGCTGCATGACTCGAGTGTTGCTCCGGGGTGTGGGCGATGAGGCTCTTCTCCTTCGATTCATCTTGACCCGAGAACCCTGTTTGTTGTTGTTGTTGTTTTTTGTGCTAAAGGATCCGGTCACTGTGAATCACCATGCTGGTTGTGGTGTCTCATATCTCGAGGTATTGGTTTTGGAGGGACATCTTTTATACCATTTCTGGCCTTGCGGGGCGTAACTGTTAGGTGGGGGGGGGGGGGGGGGGGGTAGAAAAAATGATGTGAGAAGGTGTAAAATTAGCTTTGCTATTTAGCATTAGCATAATATTGAGGCGCTGTGTGATTCAACCTCCAAAAATGGGCCTTCGGGGAAATCCAGAGAAACACAATATAATCGCTGAGCTGCAGCTGCACATCTGGATTACAGATCTGGATCGTTTTGGGATGTTTATTTAAAAGGTGCTCTGTGCGGTACCTTAAATGCACACGTCATTTTGGAACATGTTGTTATTCTAACTTCCCTTTGCATTTAAAGCTTTCTCAGCCTCCTGTTTAGAATCACGTCTCTCCACCAATTCCTCATAAAGTACCATCGATGACAGCAGTGACTTCCAGTCAGACACGAGCAACATTCAGTAAACCTGCCAACTTCTAATAAACACCAGATCAACCATCCAAACTGCTTCATCTTTAAAATAGTAAAGTCACTCTTCATGTCTGAGGGGTGAGCAGAGAGATGCTCTATGTTCACATGGTAGATGTTATTGTCAGTGACATAAATCACATCTGATCATTAGTCCCTTGGAGAGGGACTTCGCTTGAACACTGGGGGGAGACAAACACTGCAGGATTAGATTCATTGTCTCACCGAAACCTTCTGTTTTATTGCTTGCATGCATGCTAATAAAATGAGATTTATAGTCGTTAGTGTTATTGGCAAGAAGAGCCGAGCATTTCTCGGCTGCTGTTGGGCCAATGGGTTAAGGAGAAAACGGCTTCTGTAATTATAATAGACAGGCGCTACTTTAATAGCTGAGATATTGTTTATGATATAAAAACATCGCCTCGAGGCTTCTGGACGAGGTTTCTGCGCCATTTTACGCACCGAGAACAGCTGCTCTGTATTTATAAGAAATTACACATCTGGCATATTTTCACTAACAGCTCCCAGGTCAGCCTGTGTGCCCCCTCCCTCCCTCCCTCCCTCTGACCCGCTCCCTGGTCGAGCTCCACCTGTGACGGGTGAGTCAACCACCCGTGCGCGTTCCTTACTGGGGGACAATGTCAAACACAAGCGGCTTCTTTCACCCGTAAGAATCCTCCTTCCTCCATCTGAACGACTGCGGATTGTTTGTCAAGTTTCTGACCGCGTCGCTTCCGCCTTTTCACTGCGCGATTTAAAAGGTGTGACTTTCTCCTTCTTCTTCTTCATCTCCTTCTCTTCCACCTCCTCTTCCTCCTCCTCCTCCTCTTCCTCTGGAAGCGCCCGGTGATCGTTTTGTGGCCACGCGGAGTAATGCCCGCGAGGAGGAGCAGGAGGCGGACAGCGCGCGCCTTTTCTTGGACACATTTCGGAGACGAACCGAGAGGGGGTAGGAGGGTCGAGAGGGGAGGAAGGGGGGGAGGAGGAGGAGGAGGAGGAGGTCGGGCTTCTGTCAGCATTGCGCTCCCTTCTTGCCATTGCGATGTCCACGAGAAAGACATCGTTGGCGGAGCAGCAGGCTAAAAACGGAACGTCCAAATACGTGTTGGAGAGATGCGCCTCCGTTAACGAGTATTATGACATCGCGTTCAAGGTGCGTATTTCCGCCCGCTCTCGTGCGCTGTTTTATTTTTCTTTTGATTTGTTGTTGTTTGTGGTGCAAACAGGTGTCCGTACGTGCTGTAGGTTTGCACGGAAATCGCCGGATGTGCACGTTGCCTCCGCATACCGAGTGAAACCTTTTTTTTTTTTTTTTTAACTCTTAGCGTGTCCGTCTGCGTGCGTTCTCCCCGATAAACAGGCCTCGTTCCCCGCTGGTTCGATTCCCTTAACAAGTGGCTCTCTGAGCGTCTCCATCTGTCCAGCTGTGGCTTCGTCCGCCCTCGCTGCAAATATTTGCCGAGGGTGCACCTGTTGCTCCCTCCTATAAAACATGCATGAAAGCGGCTGTTTGATTGATGGAGAGCCACCGGCGAAAGGAAAAAAAAAGTTTAATTCAAGTTTAATTGTATACTGCTGTGCACACTGCATGTTTGTGCGGCTCTGCCTCGATGCCGGATGTCTCATTGCGCATCCTGTTCCTGCTCGTAATTATATTGATTAGTTTTTGGGTTGAAACAAAATGAGAGTTTGGAGAAAATCCGAGTTGGCTCGAACCTCTCGAGTCTCCACAGCGTCGCTGTAGTTGTTCTGTCCGCTCAGGCACGCGGTGAATCACAACACTGTACAGTTTAAATATTCCGTGTAACGTTCACACGTTTTTTTTGTGTGACATTGCACAACATCCTCGTCGCGACGCAAACGCTCCCGATTGCGACACATTTCTCCTCGCTCGGTTGAAAGATGAAACCGTGCGCTTCAATTTCCTCTTCAGTGGAGGTTTTGTAATTGTTCGTCGTGCCATCACGTGTGAGCTCGTGTTTTTGTTTTCTTGTTTACCCCCCCCCCCCTCGTTTGCTGTGCAGGTGATGCTGCTCGGAAACTCGTCCGTGGGGAAGACGTGCATCTTGGTGCGCTTTAAGGACGGGGCATTTCTGGGAGGCAACTTTATAGCCACCGTTGGAATAGACTTCAGGGTGAGAGAATGGCTCATTAGTGACGTTCACCATGTCTTTTTTTTTGTTTGTCATTTTCCTGTTTATAACGCGATGAATTTAACATTTACCATCTGACAAAATCATCATCGGGGATCCGCTTGTTTCAGTCAGCGTGACCCAATTATCACCTTCTTTCCCTCCCGGAACACTTCCGTCACATTCCGGCGACGGCACCAAATGTACAAATCCTCTCGCCAATCTGTCTGGGATCACAGGGCCACTTGTGCTGCGAGGCGCCGCGGGCGGCTCCATGAACGTCTCGGCAGATGCCGGCCCACGTGTCCGTCTCTCCATCGGTCCTGGAGGAGTCGCAGTGGTGCCGACAGACGAGCTGCTCCCCGCTCACATGCGCACACGCACAAGCAGCTTTGTGGCAGCTGTCTGCCGCACATCTCGCTGTGCAGGGATGAACATGCAAATAGGCTGTTTGACCCCCCCCCCTCCTCCTCCAGTGCAGGCAAAACACTCACACTAATGGCAAGTCGAGGAGGGGCTCTTTGAGGAGGAAATTGTGTTTCATTATTCAGAGCCGGGTTTTTGTCTTCTTAGACATAACAGGACGTTACGGATTTCAAGCCGGAGCTTTAAGGACGTTCAGCATCAACATTGCATCTCGCCGCTACTCAAGCTAAGAAAACAAACACAAAAAAGCTACAAGTATATTCCAGCACTCCATTCGTACACCGTAACCGGATTCAGTGGCACACCATCCGTTCCGAAGGTCGCCTCTTAAGGTCGCCGGCGACCGTCTCCTGGCTCGTGTCTGTGGAAAAAGCTGCTCGGAGGCCGTTGAGTCAATGTGCCGAGGTTGTCCTCTGTGCATGGACAGCCAGGCAGGCTGTTGTGGCAGCTTGCAACATGGCCGGTCTATTTTCGGCATGCCTCCTTGCAGCAGTTACTCAGCATGCAGACGCCTCTCACGTCATAATTGAGGGGGGTAATAATGGAAACCCATGGCAACTAATGCAGGGGTTGAACCATGTCCAAGGCGCAGGATTCTGCAGGTGGCAGCTTTCGCTGTGCACATGCAGCAGAGGTTTTCTTTACGTCAGCGCATATTTCCATCTGCCTTTTTGAAAAGGCGGCAGGCTTTTTTCTTGTGATGACCTCTCGGCGGCACGCACTGATCAAGTGATCGAGGAAGTGCTGCAGAGTAATTTGTAGTCGCACTTCCTCCTTCGCTCTTTGGTGGTTTTCGCACTGCAGGGCTAAAAATGTGGTTGTGGCCGTGATGTAGGAGGTCATGGGTAATGGAAACAACAGCCCCCCCCCCCCCCCCCCCCCCAACTTACATCATCTCCCCCAATGAAACCGAACCTGGTGAAACCTGTGTTTTGCACTGGCATGTTGGAGAAGGATGAAAATCGACGGCACGTTATCTTACCCATTATTTCCACCCATTCATCGGTGGAAACATTTAGCTTTTCTAAGCGGGGTGCCAGACCTATTTTAAGCCAATCTTTTCTTCTCAGGAAGAACCCCCCCCCACCCCTACGGGGCTGCAGGAAATTAACGGGGGAGTCAGTTGTCACGCTGCCAGTCGTCTTCCTCGCTGTTGTGTAATTAAGTCTAATCCCAGGACCTTGTTGTCGTGTGGGTGTTGCAAATTACTTTCTCTGCCAGCGTTCGGGGCCACTTCTAGTTGTCTCGTTTCTTCATCTGTTTCCGAGATGCTGGTCATTCATGTCTGTGCCGCTTTCACAGCACTGCGGCCTTTGAGGCGTATGGTGGGCTCGCAGTGCCTCACAGCTTCTCTCATGTTTGCAGAACAAAGTGGTGGACGTCGACAACCTGAAAGTCAAACTGCAGGTGAGAGCGTGCTCTTTTTCCCCTCCGGACCTCTGGCTGCATCGTACCACCCGTCTGGCAGCTACTGACCTAAATTAGGACTCCTCTGGTAGATTCATGCAGCATCAAAGATAATCCGTGCCGTAACTTCCAAAATAATAATTGACCTGAATATGGCTGATTGATAATTTAGTAGGCGATGTGGAACAGCGGCAGGCACGCACCCGTCCATCATCGTAACCGGATAACGCCACACCGAGTGGGGTGCGCCAAAATTAGATTCTTCTGCCTGCTCGAGTAAATCATTTGATTTTCTTTTATTGCGTTGTCCTTGAACAAGAGAAATCCTGTTATTCATTTCAAAATAGACTACAACCATGCTGCTGATCCATACAATTGAATTGAAGCTAAAGGGACAGAAAACAGTTTACGTTTTACGGTGGAAGATTAACAGTTTTACAACCAATTATAGGAACTACAACTGCCACCAGGCCTTTAGGCAACTAGCAGGGAATTTGAGGAAAACATAGTAACAGCAAATTATATGTAATCCTTCAGCTTTCAATTTCCTTGACATCATTTATTAATCTAATTCAATACATTTAAATATGGTTTTCCAAGCACAACCACATGAAATTGTGAACTCCATTAAAGTCAAATGAAAAGCTCCAAAGTGGGTTTCTTAATTAAATCCTACGTTCATGCACAAGTACATCCACGTGCTCATGCATGAGCATGGACAGTTTTATCAGTAAAGGGGGCTCATCACGCTTATTGCACATACTGACCGCACCTCTGAACACAATGAAGACATCTTCCAAATGTCTTAGTTATTTCTTTACTAGCAGACACGCTAATAAAACACAGGGTATTTGTTAGCGTTCCTGGACAAAACTGTACGATCTTTGCTATTTTGCTAAGCTAGGCACGTTAGCCTACATTTTAGCATGACCAGCTCTTGTTACCTTATTTATGTCCCAGTTTATGATTTACAGGCTAAGCTTTAGGGGCCGCCTGTGCCAACTTAGCAGACGAGCTTGAACTAGCTAAATTTGCTAATATTGCTTCAACGTTTGGTTTTGAGACATTTGAAATTTTTGTTTTGTAAAAGAAAAACAACTCCGATTTTGGTCTTAACCCCTTTGGACTAAATACGTAGTGACCGGATCTGGACCTTGTGTGTCGGCAGAATAGTTGGCTCTGTTTCCGCGTCGCGTGAGTTGCTGGCTGTGGAGGATTTGGGGCGAGGATGTTCAATTTTCCCCCGTTAGCTGTTGTGTAATCATGTGGTTTGTTTCACGCAGATATGGGACACTGCCGGACAAGAGAGATTCCGCAGTGTAACACACGCCTACTACAGAGATGCTCAGGGTAACCTCTCCTCTTTATATCGCACCTCCTCCCGCTCTGTGTGTGTGTGTGTGTGTGTGTGTGTGTGTGTGTGTGTGTGTGTGTGTGTGTGTGGTGCCGGTAAGGGTGAATTCTGGCTGAGATGTACACATATTTTATTAGTGTGCATAGACGTTGTGAGTAGGTGTCCATGTGTGCCCTGCTTTATAATAAAGGTGTTCTATTGTCTTTTACAGCGTTACTCCTGCTTTATGATACCACCAGCAAGCTGTCGTTTGACAACATCAGGGTAAGCGTCATCAAATTGCTTTTCCCTCCCACTCCCTCTCGCTCTCTCTCTTCCGTCTCGCCCTTCCTTTTCTCCCGCTCAACCTTCTCAAGCTCAGCGCTTCATTCTGTCCGTTCACATGCAAGATACTGTGAGGACCTCCATCCTTTTCTCACAGCCCTCTTTGGAAACGAAACGATGTTATCGTTCGCTACACAGATCACAGTTTCGGTAATGAAAAGCAATAAAAGTGTTCAAGGGTAAGAGTGAGTCCCAGCAGGATTGATTGGAGGATGGTAGAATGTTACACAGCTCAAGGAGGAGAGTGAAAATACAAAATTCCAGTGGTGGTATTCGTTTTGTTTATAGACCAATCCCTCTTTTTTCCCTTCCCCTCCTGTATCCGTCTGTCTTTTACACTTTCAAAGGCTTGGCTGACCGAAATACACGAGTATGCCCAGAAGGATGTGGTCATCATGTTGCTCGGCAACAAGGTGAGCGAAGCTTCCTGTTTTGGCGTTACACGTAGCAGATTAGGAGGATAACCGGTCTCTTAGCACGATTCGAACACCCTCTTAATGCCCTCGGACAGACATGAGAAGGCTTGAAAGCAGGGGATGTCTCCGCCAAGCAGCACACCGGCAAACACCAACTCTCACCAAACACCCACAAAGTGAAACCCGGGCTTGTGCGTCTTCAACGATTTACGTTTGGAATTTCCCCGAGGAAACCCTCCACATCGACCCACCCGATTCCTCCCCGTCCACCCGATGTTGTTCATCGTGGTGACGGGACAAGGACAACAATCCTATACGAGACGTATCGCTGGCTCGGAGCTCCCCTGCCGGTGACCAGTGTGCAGTCGCTGCTGATCTGTTTCTGAGCTCCCTCTGGAGGCTCAGAGAGGACTCGCCGGTCTCCCTGGGACGTAGATGTCGCGCAGCAGCAGCTCAGATCAGATTGCTGCAGGAGCGGGCGGGAGGGCCTCCATCAGTCTGTGGGAGCGCTGCTCCTCTCCGCTCGAGGGTTGAGACACTTGACGTCTCCATCAGTCTGAGAGAGCTCCGGCTCGGCAGTTGGCGGCAGATAAAAGGATGATACGACGGTGCGCAGCTGAAGCTAACGGCATGGGCGATGTGTGACCCTTCACCGCGGCTTTGATGACTCATTTTTTTCTCCCCCGCTGCTGTCTTACAGGCGGACATGGCCGCGGAAAGGGTGGTGAAGACGGAGGACGGGGAGAAGCTGGCGAAGGTAATGCACGCCGGCGCCACGCGGCCGTCTTCTCAACGGCGGGCGCATCCACCTGCCTTCTCTGACGGTTTTTCCATTGCAGGAATACGGCGTTCCTTTCATGGAGACCAGCGCGAAGACGGGGGTCAACGTGGAGCTGGCCTTCCTCGCCATAGCCAAGTGAGTCTTGAAGCCGCACCGGTAGTTATTTTACACCGTCAGGGGAGGAAAGCAAAAGGTGTAGCAGAGAACCACCAGCTGACTCTGCAGCGGGACAGGACATTTCTTTAGGCTGTTTGTTTTGGTTTTACGGCCCAAACCTTTACAGCTTGTGTTCATTCTCACTAGAACGTTTCACTCGTAGGTAAAAAGAAAAGGCCAAACTAGGGGAAGTTCCGTCTCAGTTCAGTCACGCTTCTTGAGTAGTAAATACTGATGTTCCACATAAAGGGTTTGTATTTAAATCTGCTTCTTCTCACGCTGAGTTCGCTCGGGTCTCCTCTGACTCCCTCTGACTCCTGCAACTCATCCTCTAGCTGTCGTCTGGTTTGTTCCTGTTGACTTGTAATAATTGGATCGCTCCCTGTGGATGCAGCATTTTACCAGATGACTTTGTGGGAGAATGTGATGTTGGGCATTTGCTATCTTCCTCTGTGCTTTCAGCGCAAGTCAGATGAAATGATTCAAGCCAGAGGCATTTTGATTAAGAGTCAGAACACATTGATTTTGGTCTCGCTAGCTTCCTCTCTCTTTTTCTCTCTTCCTTTCTCATTTTTTTCTCGATTTACTCACCCTGTATATGTGCTCCATCCCACGCATCCACCCCTTCTGTTTCCAACTTGTGGTGTCTCTCTCTCTCTCTCTCTCCGTCAGGGAGCTGAAGCACAGAGCGACGCAGCAGCAGAATGAGCCCAAGTTCCAGATACACGACTACATCGAGTCTCAGAAGCACAAGTCGGGCTGCTGTGGCCACATGTAGCCGATCCGTCTCCAGCGCTGAGCTTTCAGCTCGGACGCTCGGAGTGAATCTGGATTGGCCGCCGTCCCTTCTCTGAAATGTGAATTTTAAATGTAATGCGTAGAAAATGTGTGTGGTCTTTGTGGTGACAGTTGTATCAAACTACAAGTCAGGAGTTGCAATTTGAAATGCAACATCCATTTGCAGGGACAAAACGGAAAACATGCCCATTTTATTCTACATCGCTGCAAAGAGAAATTTGTTGGTTTTGGATGAAATATTTGGAGCCATGTGAATTGTGTGTAGATCCTTGGAGTCTGTTAGTTTGGTCTATGAGGTGTCTGCCTGGTCAGACGCGTTGCACAAAAGGTTAACCACACCGTCAGATTCTTCTTGAAAATCTAATAGATGACCCATCTTTTGTGTTTACTGGAGCTGAGGGGAAACCGATCTGGCTCGTTTCACCGTGTCTTGGCATTTGCTAATGCTAGCACTTCTAGCAGGGGCTAGCATTTGAGGACGTTTTAGGCTAATTATATTTGTTTAAGTTTAGCTTAAATACTCTGACAGTATTCAACTTGTGTTTTACAGGAGTCTGCACCTCAGAAAGCCATGCAGTGTTATGTTTGCTAGTGCCTTAGCTAATTACAGTAACTCGCTAACACATAGCTAACATTATCCCGCTAACAGCAAACTTCTCCCATTCCATCAGCATTTGAGTCATGAGCTGCACTCCAGGTAGATAAGTTATCCTTTGAAGGTCAGCTAGCTGACCTTTGTTAGCTGTTCAGCCTTTGGCTGCACGTTGGGCCGCTGATTGTCCTGCTAACTAGCGGTTTTATCCACGTTAACGTCCCTTTAGCCCTCTGAGTCCATTTCGTCGTGCTCGCGAAGGGGCCAGAGAATTCGGCCGAACCAAACTTCCAAATCCAAGAAGAGAGATACAGAAATATTACCATCCAACCCCGGTCTCCTACGAAATGAATTCAAGAATTAACATTTAAAAGGCTTCAAACACCTTGATGATCACAACAAAACCCCAAACTGCTCAGTTAGGTTTATTCAATTCCATCACGATCGGCTTAAAATAACTATGAAATTCAACCCAAATGCATTCAAGTAAACGTAATCCGCCTGTAAAAAAACGTTTTTCCCTGGAAACAGATCTCACAATGCTGTTTCTTTGTGGGCGAGCGTACGTTTCCACGGACTGCGCTGTAATATCTTATGCCAACCAGAGTATTTGTGAATATGTATACTGCACATATAAAATATTTTATATGTAGTTCAGCTTGACTTCATGCTTGTAATGAAAGTATTTTTGGTTGCTGTTAAACTGTGCTTCAGTATCTTGATCTCGTCCAACGTGAGCTCAACTCTTTGAACCTTGGTTCAAACTGATCTCGTAACTGTCACCTTTTTCCTCCCGCGGTCCTCAGTTTTATATAAACAATCAGCAGGACTGTTGGTGAAGAAATAGCATTTGTGCCCTGCAGCTCTTAGTTCGCTTCCATCGCTGTTTTACCAGACTGTGAACTTAATCCCTTTTGGCCTTACAGTCATCATCATTATATTCAACTCAGCGTGTTTGAGAAGTGGACTTCAGTCCGATTGTAGCCAAATGATCCCGTCTGTTCACATCTGTACTGCTGTTAGATAGAATAAAGCCATCTTTTTGAAGGTGATCTCCCGCTGTGTGTTTGTCTGTACAGTCAATTCAGAGCCAGTGAAACTTCTTTACTGTTTAGTGCCGCGTCCGCTCTGACGATGGATGCTGTTTGTCTAGACTGTTGCAAAGCTTTATTTGTTCACACGCTGCGTTGTATAACTCGTGTTTTTGTAAACGTAAAAGTCAAACTGGCTTGATGTCCCATTTGTCCCTCTTCTGAGGTGATCACAAATTCCACGAAAAAGCCCTTTTTTATCACATTATATATAGATAAGTATAAAAAGTACATTTTTTAATGTATGTGGTGTTGTTTTATTGAAGTCAGTCTCATCTGTGTGTGCGTATGTGTTGTGTGTGCTTGTGATTGTGTGTTTGGAGGGAATAAGTTACAGGATGTGTTGAGGTTAATGAGCCACTGTGTGGCAGCAGCCACACTGTTTATTGTCTCGTATGTTGCACTGTTAAAAACACATGTTCAGACGGGCTGAGCGCTTGATTCGGTACTGCAGAGACTATTTTATGCCATTTTAAAGGTTGAATGTGTTTTGGATCATGATGTTTTTGTTAGTGGTTGTATTAATGTGTCTGGGGAGGTTAGTGTTCATATATAAATATGAATATAAACTGAATTATCCTAATGACTTCCCATTCACTCAACTAAGAGCTGACCTTAAACATGCTGCCGTTATCTGTGCTGATTCTGCGGTGGCTTTAAATCCCCAGGTAGGAGACCGCCGACAGATCCTGTCTCTGTTCTCTTATCTCTGTTCTCAGGTCTGGAAACGTTCTCAGCAGAAAAGTCAAATCCTCCCCAAGGTTTAAAATTCAGGCGCTTCCTGCCGGGTGCTATTTTTACTATTGTGTCAGTCATTTCTCTGCAGGCCCAGAGCTGCTTTTGGTTGAGCGGCTTTCAAACACGGTGAACTTTACAAATGATGTTTGTTAAGAAGGCCACATGTTATTTATGATTACAGCTGTATACAACAATACCACTGAGATTAAATATGTTGTACCACAGGAGGAAATGACACAAATTCAATGTTAGCGAATATCACAGCATAATCCCTGTAGAATATGACAGACAGATATTAAATCACCATAACACACATTAATAGCTGGATGCATAATTTGTTATTTATCGTCTCAAATCCACTATAATTTGTATTATTTAGTTATTTTAATATGATGAGTTAAATAGAACAAATAGAACCACTTTTTTCCACAGTTTCATTCATCTGAGTAAAGGTTGTAAAGGGAAAAGATGGCAGCAATGATGATGTAATGTGCGATGTAAACATTGTTAAAATAAGACAAAACGTGGTAAGAAAACATAATCAACAAAAAATAAATCTATGAAGAAAATAAAGTTTTGAACATATAAAAGTGTGCGGGGGGGCAACCTCTTTTTTTCCAACCATTACCCGGTCCTTTGATGCTCATCCTCAGCCAGTCTCGGTCTTCACGCCTCCGGTCGTCCCTACTTTGCATGAGGCCCGTCAGCTGGGCCGGTCCGTGAACGCACCTCCCTCTTCCTGAGCGCCCTCCCTCCCTCCCCCCCCGTGAGAGGGAGCAGTGAGTCTGAGCGCAGCGGGCTCAGTCCTCAGGTCAGGACCCCACCACCGAACCATGCCGAGCAAAAGCCAGCGTCTGCGCCCGCGGCTGTGCACGCTGGAGAAGGGGGACAACGGCTACGGCTTCCACCTGCACGGGGAGAAAGGCAAGACGGGGCAGTTCGTCCGGCTGGTGGAGCCCGACAGCCCGGCGGAGGCGTCCGGGCTCCACGCCGGAGACCGGCTGGTGTTCGTCAACCGGGAGGACGTGGAGAACGAGAGCCACCAGCAGGTCGTGTCCCGGATACGAGCCACCGTGGGCCGCCTGGAGCTGGTGGTGGTGGACCCGGACACCGAGCAGCTGCTGAAGAGACACAACGTCAAGTGTCTGAGGGAGTATGTGTCCGACGGTGTCCCGCTGCCCTTCGAGGAGGAGGAGGAAGAGGGGGAGGAGGAGGAGGAGGAGAGGGTGGACGGGACGGTTAACGGGGATGAGGTGATGGAGGAGAAGGTGATGGAGGAGGAGGTGATGGAGGAGGAGGTGAAGGAGGAGGTGGTGGAGGAGGAGGAGGAGGAGGAGGAGGAGGAGGAGGAGCGCGTGGGGACACCGAGAGACTCCACGCCAGTCCCGGACAGGAACGGGGAAATCTACGCGCGCGTCGAGAAGAAGCTGAGCGTCGAGTCTGAGAAGGTGAGTGAAAGTTCAAAACAACGGGTGGTGCGCACCGTCACCCCTCGCAACCTCCAGCTGTGCCACACGCTTCGCAGCATAACGGCATTCTATGGTGCGACGTTAAGGCCCCTGAACGCATCACTCCAGGGGCCACACACGAACACACAACGCTTCTCTGGCCCCGCTCAACAACCAACAACGACAAATACTGTCTTTTCCTTTTTTCTGAATCCCAGTAAATGCATTTTTTTCTACACCTATGTAAAACATTATGGGATAATTTTCACCCCACGGAGGTGATGGTGTCGGTGGGGGTGGGGGGGCACTTATTGTTTTATTTTTTCTGGAACATCCTGGACGTCTCCACCCGAGGCCGTTGGTGTACGTGTCCAGCTCTGTCCTGTAGGGTGGAGCTGGGGAGGAGGTTATTGTTGAATACAACACTGTTAGTAATCTTAGTGGCATCGTAACCGGGATGTTTGGTGTAGGTTTTGATGACCTCTGAAGCTGACGGAGCCCTCAGAGAGGTGAAAAAGGTGGGGGGACACTTTGAGCCGGATGGAAAGGGAACGATGGGGAGTCAGTTTGGGAAACAGACGGAAGGGATTTCTGTCGTGAGATTAATCTCAGTGTGGTATTTTGGTTTATGTAACATTATCTCACAACTCGAATATTGGTCTTTAGTGTTAATAATTTAACGTTCATTTGCTTTCCTCGTGCCTTAGATGAGAAGATTGATATCGCTCTATGATTGTTTTCCCTGTTTTGTTTTTCTTCAGAATAAATGAACAACTTACATGATGAGCGCGATGAACATAATTTGTTAATAAATTACCGAGGTTCAGATGTGCTGATGGAGTTTTCTACCTTCGGACGGAGTCAGCAGCTGTTTGTCAATGTGTGAGAGTGTAAATTGGACTCGAGGGATTCCGGTCGGAACGTTCCGCGTCTCTACGTTACAGTTGCATCCACCCAAAGGGTGGGGGTCTTTGCAGGGACTCCACTCTTTCTGGAGTTTTCTCCCAACATCCTGTCCAGCATTCCTGTGCCTGAGCCCTGTGGCCCGGCCAATGGCACACACACACACACACACACACACACACACACACACACACAAATACACGCGCACACACAGAAAAAACACATCAGCGGTCCAAAGATCAGCGTTTTGTTTACCGGGCAGTAAAATCTTTACTCTGCTATTGTTGAGGGCAGTGAAGCACTCGTACTCCAAAGATCTAGATCCATGAGCCGACCCAGAAGACTCTTGTTTGCATTTGTGACTGAGATGACGTCCGTCTTTATTACCACGATTACCATGAAGATGATTACAATGAGTTCCACCCAGTGGGGTCATAAATCGCGGCACGTTATCTTTCTCAAGCGCGTTATGATGAGGTCTTCTTAAGGGCGGTTAAATCGCTACGACTTTATTCATGTGCACCTGCCTTGTTGTTGAAACGGGCATTTAATCCGTCAACAACTGGTACCGTCAATCCATTGTTGAGCCTTTCAGATGTCTGTTAGAATTATGTAAAAGAGGAGACATCTTAAATTGGGTTATTGTGTCCTAGCGACGGTCCAAAACCCAAAGCTGTCCACTTAACGATGGCGATACCACACTGGACTTCACAGGATTTTAATCGATAATCAACCAATTGTTTCAGCAGTTACAAATTATCCAACTAGATTTGTCAACGGTTAAATTGATGACATTAACTCAATGAAACGTGATGTTAATGTGCAAAGAGCCGTTTTGCAGTCGGAGACTTTGTTGTCTTCCACTGAGCCGTTCGTTGCTGTTCCTCCAGTGACTCATTGAGATTCTAGGGAGTGTGTGAGGGTGAGAGGTGTTTTTTGGGTGAGTCTTCCTGAATGGCTGCCGGCTGCTTACACAACTCCAGTCTTTGAACGCTAATGACAGGAGATGAAATGCACTGCGGCTCGTTGAGTGTGTGTGTGTGTGTGTGTGTGTGTAACGGCGCTGCCTGGAGCCCTGCGAGGAGACGAGGAGGCGAGGAGGCGTCACGTCCCTCCTATAATCTGCACATCCACATGAAAGACCCTCCGCCGCTCCGGGGCGCGCATGCTCGGCCCGGCTCGGGGGCCTTTAACTGCGCGGCCACGTGTTTGTTTTACTAAAACAAATCACGGCGAATCCATACTCGTGTTGCGTTCAGTGCAACGTGACGGCCGTGGGGTTTTTTCTCAGCTGTCTGTGCTGGGCGGCCCGAAACAATCCGGCCTGGGCCTTCTGAGCGTTCGGCCCAATAACGACACGTCCGTGTGACATTCCCGATCGCCGCCTCTGCGAGCGTTCGGTTGGTGGAATACACGTCAGCGACGGTCACTTGTTTGTCGGCACGCCTTCGGGTCGCCGCTGGGAGCCGGGGAGGGGCAGCGCTGGGTTTCCAACCGTCGGCCTGTGCACAGACCCCAGGACGCTGGAGCTGGTTTCCTGTCATTGTTGTTGGGGGAAGATGCCGCCCCCCCCCCCCCCCCCAGAGAAAAAACTTTGGCGTTGGGTTGGGGCCTTCCCAGCCGAATTTTAAAGAAGCGCCCGCAAGCTCGGGCCTGTTTCACCAATGTGTTTGTCATTTTCATTCACCTGGTAATTCGAGTAATTCGAGTGTTCAAGACGCTGCGTCGGCCTGATGATGAAACCGTGTGTGTGTGTGTGTGTGTGTGTGTTGTACTCTGTGGTATAATTATCCGTGTGGACCAGCGTCCGGATCATCTGCTTTCAATCACTTTGCGCATTTGTTGACGACTTTGTTACCTCTTGTTACATCATTCGCTCTGAAACCGATCTCGGAAACCTCGGTACACACGTCTCATTCTGCCCCCGAGTGTAACAAATGTATTCATTGAGAGGGGCAGGTTACGGCACTGATGGCGACCAAAGGCCAAGAATGTGCTGTCAATGCAAGCAGCTAAACGTCTGCAATGAAAACAGGATGCATAATAAATCAGATTCCCATCGGTTGAATAGCGAGCTGTGTTTGTTGCTCTGCCGATGATTGAAGCCATTGTGTCACAGCCAGGTGTGCGTCAGACAAAGCAGAGCCTGATATTGTGTTTGTCTGCGCAGAATCTCTCCTTGATTCTTCCCCACCTGCCGACCGCAGCCGCTTGACGTTTGCTCATATTTTGTGTGCGTGTTTTTACGTTGATGTGTGTGTGTGCGTGTGTGAGAATGTTGCAGAGTCATCTTACTGATGCAGATCAATCATGGAAATACAGCATTAACCCAAAGGCTATTTTGGGGATTTACATGATATCATAATGTAAAAATGCAACTCCATAATGAGCGCTATCAGTCACACTTTATTGATCATGTTTATGTATAAATAGCAGTTAAATATACATAAATGCTATTAAAAAATGACCCAAACCACACCCTCCTGTTTGAAGAAGCACTTTGTGTGCGTGTGTTATGGGCAGTAACTCATGACTCAAAACCCACACAAAAGGTCTCTTGAGAAAACGAAAGTATCACCGGCTGTTTCTGCAACACATTCACGTGACGACATCGTCCCACCAAAGACGTCGTAACTGCGCGTCTCAGGAAGCCTTCGAGGGAAGAGCGGCGAGCGAGGACAACAGAGGTCGGCTTCTCAAACCCGCCGAGTTCAACAGTGCAATCGTCGAAATGTCACGAGCCTCCAGGACGCAGAATGAGAACACGGCCATCGCCGGTGACTCGGTTCCCACCCCCCCCCTTCTGCTCGATTGATCAGGGAGCAACACGCCATCACTCATACGCCGCCTGTGAAACGTCTCAGTGACGTCAGTCCAAACAACAGCACCACTGTGGCCCAGGTCAGGGGTGGAACCTGAACCCTGTGTGTGTATGTGTGTGTGTGTGTGTGTGTGTGTGATTTTGGACGGCACATTCCTGTTCCTACTCCATTCTGCTGAAGGTTCACCACCCCGGCCAGACAATGAGCCGGAGGGCCGCGCCCTTCCGGGGGGGTACGGAGGGGGGGGTGTTGTGTGGTGTTCAGTCGGGAAGTCACTGGCTGCTCGCCCTGAAATAGACTCAGATCTCCCAACCCCTCGGCCCCCATCCCTCTGCCGTACACCGCCTACCTTCCCACCGTACGATGCCAATGAATGCACGTAATAATGACAAATGTGGAGCAGATCAGCCCCAAAACACGTAACTAGTGGCAACAGGCAAATGTTCGGATTTGGTATCTTAGATATTTAATACCTCCGTTTGTGACAACTCTGAATGGAGGCATAATTGAGGGCGTGTCCTCTTTGAGTGAGCGGGTGTCGTCTCGGGTTGCTGCTCTGCGGTTTCATCAATATTGTTCCTCTTTCTATTCCCTTTGCCCCTCATCGGTTTTCATCCTGTCAACGCGGAGAAGAACAAAGAATAAGGAGAATCCATCAAAGCAGGGAACCGACGAGACGGACGGGCCCCAGAATGCAACGCGGCCGCGAGGCCCGCTGTGATTAAAGGGCCCGGCCTCCTCTCGAGCGCTCACCTTCATTTCGGCCGGACAGAGCAAGTGTCTGAGGCTGTGGAGGGACATTTAGGGGAATGTAGAATGTAGTGAAGCCGAAACAGAAGAAGAGCTGCATGACTGACGTGCGTCCCCCCACCGAGGTACATTCTTCAATAAAAAGAGTGTAACGTCTCAGCTCAACGGCAACGACGAGGTGCTCAGATATTTCTACGTCTACTGTTGCTCGCCTCTATCTTTTCAGTTGAAAGAGAGTCGTGTCCGAGGACGCCTTCAGGTCTGCGAGGGCGGCGGGTCGGGGACAGGAAGACTGGCCGAGGAGATAAAATTTGTTGACTGTGACAGGCCGTCAGTCCGGCAGGGCTGAAGCAATAGGGGTTTAAAAGAAAAGAAAAGCCCTGCTTGCTCTATTTCCAGAGACCCCCCCCCCCCATTGGGTCCTATCAGTGCACCCCCCGCTTTGACTCTTCTATTATCTGAGCTTCCCCCTCACGGGTCCTTGTAACGGGAACATTTAGGCAGAACCTCTCTCTGGGAGTCAGCTTGTCCCCCGCAAACGGCAGGGGGGGACAGTAGGGTGCTTTGTCCCCCACCCCCCCCTCCCGTCTCTGCCTGCCTCGCAGCTGGTTCAACGGCCCAGCTTGAAATCCAACACCCCCGCCCCGACTGAGAGCGCCCCGTACGCCCCCGAAGGCTTTAAAGACTTCTGCTGTTTTAACGGGAACCAGGTTTTACATCCTCCACGCTGTTCTGTCAGTCTGCCTCCTCAAAACAGAGGACGAAAGCTTTGTCGCAGCGGTTACTGAGTAACCGCCGCCCGATGGCACACGGGTGCGCCTTCAAGTCATCGCCGTCCTACGTGCATTCTCCTTTGTGCAGGGCTGGCACAGCAGTGGCTGAGCGTGGGGAGAATATGAAGCATCTGGCATGCTGAGTGGCAGAGCTGCAGCCTCTGGCGTCGCACACACACACACACACACACACACACACACACTGGCTGCATGCTTGTCGGGGAGAATCAGCAGGAGAGCCTGGCGGAGGCTGAGTCGAGGGTGATAAACATGATGGATGGGTATTAAGGAGGTAGTCGGCTCCCTGAGGGGGTTTTAGGAGACGTTAATCCATCGGTCGTCTCACCTGCGGGTCCCTCGAAGCCGGAAACGACGGCTCCGTGCTCTGGAAGCACGTAAATACTGACATTTGCTGTCTTCCGGCAAGGTGAAGATATCTACAAAGTGATCTTATCCCCTGTTGTTTGACCCATTTGCTTTGTCTCATTTCTGAATTCATGAATGTATTAAATATTCCTATTTGGGGTGTTTTGATCATTTTAGACTCATTGGAGCAAAGAGACACGTCAGGGTGCCGGCAGGTTGAACTCTGTATCTTATCTATTCATTATATCAGCTGAGGAAAGCCAGAACCAATCCTAAAACCAGTTCCCATCAGCCTGTGAACTTTGGGCCTGGTTTTGTTTTGGACTGTTTCGGCTTCTTTTGGAGCCACCAAATCCTCCCAAATCCCGCGTATGGCGGCGATAGAAGCTACACTCACGCGGTAGCTGCACGGATAGCAGCCAACCATTAGCGTGAAGCACAAAGGACGTCCGTCTGTTTCTACCTGACGGGAGTGTGTTTCACTTTGTTTTGGCGGCGCGCCGTTAAGTTCCCAGGTCGGCGTCAACGGGGGCCTCTCTGTTTACATCTGTTTACGCCGGACGCTAAGCAACGCAGCATCAGCTCGGTTGTAAAAACTCAGCTGACGATACGTTCAAAACAAATAGTTTACATCGTGTGAGAAAAACAACGGTGTCGCGATACAAAGTGCACATGTGCGCCGACACAATACATCACAATCAGAGGCGACACAATGAGATAAAACGCACTTGGAACGCACGCGCACTGAGCCGATATCTGAACTGTAAACAACCACAACATGTTTTTGGGGGGGGGGGGGAATCTGTCAGAGAGCAGCTTCATGGCTCAATGATTCACATCCTCTCATCTGTGTTCACTGAGCTGAAGATCTCTTTTAAAAAAGAGAAGTTCAGGTTTTGGGCAAATACCCCTTTTTATTGTTGTAGCGTGTTTTGTACATAAAAGACAAAGCTTAGCTTAGCTTAGCTTTGCATGGAGGGAAGTGACGTGATTTAAGCTTAGACGTCTGATCGTATTAGACAATGACCCCACTTTTCATGTGATTTATTGATCGTAAACTTGAGCTCATGGTCTACGTCTTTAGTTTCAAGGGTCCTTCAGCGCAGGACGATGTTCTTTGGGTAAATAATGGGAGCTTAAAGCAGGATTTGGCTTCACAGGCTTCTATCGTCCTTGTTGTACAATTGTAACCCTTTCACGGTGTCTTATCAGCTCATGAAAGTTAACGGTAACATTATGGTCCCATGAAAACGTCTTACTCAGCATTCCTTCCTCTCCTCGGAAAAACCCCCAAAACAAGGTAGTGACGGGGAAAATGCCAAAGTCAGGGCTCCAAAGCTAAAGTACACACACTTCATTCTCTGAACTCTTTGCTGCCATCGTTTCTCCTCCGTGGCAGGACGTTGTGCTCACACGGAAGCATATTGAGGGAAACTTTCTCAACAGTTCCTGTTGGGACACTTCCGCCCTCAGAGGAAAGTTTGTGTCACTGAGAGAGAGTGAACCGCTGGCCGCCCGTAACCTTTCACACAACTGACTTCATATTTTTTCATATATCAGTTTGACGCTGAGTTGAAATGATGGTCAGAAGCCCTTTCTTGCTGTTTGGAGAATTTAAAGTTGGAATGTTTTTTTTTTTTCTGTGATACCGAGGCGAGAGTGGACTGTTGAACGGGTGAGATGATGTTGTACTAAATGTTTTACATTTTCACTGCATTGTCGTCGGTTAACAACAAACGCAAACTGAATCTGGGGAAGCAGCACGAGCAGTAAAATGCATCTCTGTCTTCTTCAGCCTGTCTGAAAGAAACGCTGCGTGAATAAAAACAACACATATTTGTGTGACGTGCGTTAGCAGATAAGACCCGTCCAGAGTGAGTGAGGAGGATAAAGGAACCCTCAGTTTGTCATTCACAGGACGTCCCATAAATGTCTGAGGCCACATCAGCCATGTTCCCAATGTAGCCAGCAGCCGACTTCATCCGATTTATGTCGTAACGCCACACATACACACACACACACACACACACACACACACACACACACACACACACACACACACACACACAAGGCGTCCTGGCTTGTGTGTGTTCAGCAGATTCCCCAGATTTCAGAGCCGCGTGGAGATCCTCCGTCCCTCCACTCGCCTGCGATACAACGGCCCTCTGTTGTTGCTGCCGGAGCGTCTCAGGCTCTCCTCTGCTTTCAGAGCCGTAGAGAGAGAGCGCTTCGCTGCAACGGGATCCTCAAGGCCTCCACGCGCCGTCGCACAGGTAGCGTCTTGTTTTTAGGCCTTCAGGAGGGGCGAAGGTTGGTAACAAGAACAAGCGTCCCTAATGAAGGAAGGTGTAATCAGTTACCATCACGATGAGGCTGCAGGGCTCTTATCACGAGTCCAACGAGGCAGCGGAGCGTCGACCAATCACGTGGTTTCGTTTCACCCCTTTTTCAGTCCGATCTCTAAAAAAAAAGATGCAGGCAGCCGGTTGTCAGCGCTGCTTAAAGTCCACGACTTGGGCCACAATGCGCCCGGCTGCCTTGTTAATTCTGTCGCGTGCAGTGTGTGTGTGTGTGTGTGTGTGTGTGTGTGTGTGTGTCACTGTGTAGTAATAATCTCCTCTTCTCAAAGCCTCTCTTTTTAATGCTGCTCTCTTTAAAAGCCTGTGAGGGAGCCGCCCGTCTCTAACTAAAGAGTAACGAGGGAACCGGCAGACAAGCGGACGTGTGCACTTTGCTGCTGTTGCATCTCATGAGTACAAAGTTTACAACGCCTGTTTTTCTGTTCATGGTGCTTAACTGAGCGTTTCCTTCTGGGCGTCGCCTCAGAACAATCGCGTTACACAACGCAGTGAGGTGACAATTCCTCATCGCCTGTGTCCAGTCGGTTAGAACAACGTCGGCAGTTCATTTATGATGTTGCTGAAGTAGCTTTTTAATCAATCAGCCAGTATATTCTGTAGAAAGTGAGTCAGGCTTATTTATAGAAGGGGTCCATTGTCTTAGAAAGTGTGCAGTTGACAGGAGGCGGCAGCACACAGCCGCTCTGATGGGGAGGAAGCGTCAGCTCAGATTCGGTCACGCTGACAGAGATTATCCCGACCAGCGTCTCCACTATTTCTTATTTCCTCTTTTGCGGCGAAGCTATTAAAGCCGCCTCTCCTAAATAAAGAACCCAGTTCTTCCGCTCAGCGGAAGGGAGGTTCTGGAGTCGGGCTGCCGGGTTTTTTTTTTTTTTTCCTGGAGGGCCGCGCAGCTCGAGCTCTTCCTGCTGTCCCCCGAGTGGGACGGGACAGGGGGGGAGAGGAGGGGAGTGGAGGCGGTCAGAGGTCGGCGCCCGGCCCCCATTGTCCTCCGCAGAGCCCGGGCCCCAGCAGGGGAGCGGGCCGCGCCGGAACCGGCCCCTTTCCTCGAGGCCAGAGCAGCGCCTCCCCTCGAGAGACGCTCCACGAACCTTCCCAGCAGGCCTCCAATCAGAAGCCTGCTGGGACCCTCTTCCTTCCTGGCGAGCGGTCCGGAGTCACGTGGGGTCCGACGGCGCCTTCGGTTTGCACATGACATTTAAAAACACACCTCAGACCAGCGGCCACCTGCATGTTCAACCTGGGCTTCATATTCATGGTCAACGACTCACTGGAGCTCTCCGTCATCTTCGTGCCTCTCGTCCTTCCTGAGCCCATGGGGGAGGTATTCTTTTTTCAGCCTCGTCTGCTGCGCGTGTCACATGTCAGTGTATTAACGCGCCGCGCCTGTCTTCCAGGAGGCGCCGTGCCCGGAGCTGAGGCCCCGTCTCTGCGTGATCCAGCGAGGGCCCAACGGATTTGGCTTCAACCTGCACAGCCAGCGGGCGCGGCCGGGCCAGTACATCCGAGCGGTGGACGAGGCCTCTCCGGCAGAGAGGGCGGGTCTGCTGTCCCAGGACAGGATAGTGCAGGTACTCTGACGAATGACTGACGCTCACTCAAACGACAGGTCATTAGAGGTCACGACACTTCACACTTTTGGGAACCAGTGTGGAACACGTACAAAAAGGTTGCGTTTAAATAGGGAGGTACTCTGCAGTAGCATCGGGGTTCAGCTCATTACCCAGAATTCACTGTGTTCAGACTCTTAAATCAGACACCGAGCGAGTGATGAAAATGTTCAGTCATTATAATAGAACATTATGTAAAAGCTTTAAAAAAGAGCAGTTGATGTATGAGAGTCAGAGTTTGTGCTGTTTTTACTTTACGTTTGAGTTCCCTGCGACTTTTTATTGGGCGTTTTAAAGGAAAAGGGGAACTGTGACCAAACCCTCCGGGAGGCTTTGAAGTTTTATGCAGAATCACAACTTCGTGGTCCGTCACAGACGTCTTTTTTTCCCCCACTTACTCTGGGAATAAGACGTCTGCAACTCGGCGGATGATGTTTTTAAAGTTAAAACTACCTCCCAGTACGAACACTCGACACTTATTTAAACCGTGTGAGCGGAAAAGGAGCATAGAGAGAGGACCGAGGGATTAAAACTCCCCCAGAGTCTGGGGGTCTGGGGCCGGTATGAGAGTCCCCCAGAGGGCCCCAGACGGACTCCCCACCCGCCGAGGAGCGCAGCGGACGGCCATTGTTTCTGCTGGTACTGGCCGAGCAGCTATTGTCCAGCTTCCTCTGTGGGACTGGCTCAGACGTGCAGGTCCACCCTATGACCTAAACACACACACACACACACAGACATTTCTCACATGCTTTCCCATGGCGATTTAATCCCTGAACGTGGGCGTGAGCCACCTGACATGTTGCGTTACTGTACAGCTTATAGTGTCACATGGTCAGGTACACCACGATGCACCGCTGATCCAACTGTGTGTTATTGAGGGACACTGTGATGGTTGTTTGTTAGGGGGAAGGAATGTGTGTGTGTGTGTGTGTGTGTGTGTGTAGACACACAGGATTTCCTGCCCCGGAGACTCTGGCAGACAAAGTGATAATATTGCGAAAGAAATCCCTGGCAGTGATAAAACACTTCTCTTTGGGAGCAAAGACAAGAAGTAATTCTTATTATTTTTAGTTTGAAGGATTTCTTTCTGTGTCAGAGACGCAAAACTAAAACACAGTTTCTCTCCTCAGGTGAACGGCCAGGCGGTAGAAGGGAAGACGCATTCGGATGTCGTGGCCGCCATTAAAGCCGGCGGGCCGGAGGTCCGTCTGCTGGTGGTGGACCCCGACACGGACGCCTTCTTCAAGAGGTGCCGAGTGGCCCCCGACGCGGACCACCTCTCTGGTGAGGCGACCTGAAGACTAAAGCTAAAGTAGAAAGTTCCACTGGCAGTCACGGTTAGCGACGAGGCGTAGAAGCGTAGAGACGGAGGCGCTGAGCCACTCCTCCCCCCCCCCCCCCCCCCCCCCCCCATGGGAAAAACCCGGGGGGAAAAATTATTTTTTCCCCCCAAAAAGATTTAAAAAAACGGGTTAAACCCCAGTGGGGTTTTCCCCCGGGGTTTTTTAAAAATTAAAGGGCTAAATAGTAGCCTCCAAACGCGCTTGTTTGAAAAACCGCTGGCCCCTTGGGCCTCGGACTTATATCTGAACTTGGACCCTTTTAGTCAAAGACCCAACCCGGGGATTTTTTTTTTTGTGTCAGGGAGAGGGCAGAGAGGCACACCACCCCTGAATAGAGACAATATGACCCCGCTTTCCTGGACTATTTCAAAAGGACAATTAATAAATTCACAATTGATTCAGAGGATTCTCTTTTTGTGGCCTTCTCTTGCTAGAAAGTTCTGAGATTCACTGCCTTGCTCAAAGGCGCTCTGACTAGACACAGGTCCTGCTGTACCTGCCACGGCCCCCAGGGAGAGCCCAAGTATCACGAGTGTGGTATGGTTTCTGTGTTTGAGGCCTGTCCCTCTGCAGAAAGAGATCCGCAAGCAGGTGGTGTGTGTGTGTGTGTGTGTGTGTGTGTGTGTGTGTGTGTGTGTGTGTGTGTGTGTGTGTGTGTGTGTGTGTGTGTGTGTGATGATGTACTGGGACAAACGTCTGAGTGCCTCTCTGCATCTTGAGACCCTTCACTTAAACATGCTGCTGCCAGCTGTCGGCATGGCAACCGATTGTGAACGCGTTGGCCGAGGAACAGAGGAAATGGATTTCTTATATCGTAGTTATTAGTTAATGTTTTGAGAGCGTTCCCAGTGCACCCGGTTGATTATTAATACATTAATCTATGTAATGTAAAAGAATGTGGGTGGCGCGCCCTGCGTTGGGTACTTTAGGGCCAGATGTTTCATTGTTTCCTGAACTCTTAAAAGCCTCAGGTGTTTCAGTCCAGGATTAAAGATTAAATTTTAAAAAAAAGCCCCGCAGGGTGGCGGATTCCAGCGGGGGTGTTTCCCAGGTAACTGGCCGTCCTCCATACGCCGCCCACTCAGAGGGCACCTGCCGCCAGTCAACAGGCTCACACGGCCTCTACGAGGCAGCAGCTTTGTTCAGTTTCCAAGGCGCTCGCTCCGAGTGGCCTCTCAGCCCCCCGGAGCCAGGCCGCCGTTGGCACTCGGAGAGGCTCCTCTCAGAGTCGGGGACACGCGGCAAAGGACTCCCGCCTCAGATTAGTTCCAGAGGGAGTTTTTTGCCATCTCCAGCGGTGGTCATCGTTAGCTAGAGACCCGTCCGGGTGGAGGTGCGGGGCGATGGAAGGTAAGGGTTGTCCGTCATGATGTCTGTCAGAAGTTAGCGCCTATCAAACGTGACCTTCGGGCTCACACGTGGCCGCAGGTCAATCCCTTTTTAAGGAAGGACAAAAAAAATCCACAGAAACTCTCTGACCTGTAGAGGCTGCGTGGAGCGAGGAGGGGGACCAGGGTGAGCGCCAGCTCGCACAAGATGAACCATGTATAATGTGAATAATAGATGGTCCGCTCATACCTGCCTCGTGTAACAGAGTAAGTCTCGCTGGGATGAAAGTTGAGCTCCAGCAGAGTGGAGCCGACCTCGCAGGCCTCGCCCAGTCACGTCAGCGCCGGGCCGAGTCGTATTTTTGGGAGTCAGGTGACTGATTCTCGTTGTGTTCTCATGCCTACAGGTGCTCTGCCTGAGCCGGTCCTTAATGGAGAAATGGAGGAGAAGGTAAGAGGAAGCCGGCGGTTTGGTTCGGGGGTCGCGCTTTAGAGCGAAGCCAAAAGCGTGATTTGAACTTGGTAATCGGAAAGTGGCTTCGTCCTCATCAGAGAACTGAAGTCAGTTGTTAATTACAGAGACACGTACCCAACGGACCTTCCTGTGATTGTGTAGAACGTCTGAGTGGAAAAACCCCACCCAGCCACGACTCCAGTACCTTTGAATCATTTGAAAGCCTTTGACCAAGGACGGATTTTGTACTCTAAACAAAATTTGTCCTAGTATTGTATAAGAGGTGTATAAGAAGTAGAGGCTTCTCTTTTGAGAGGATGCATGAAGAATGCAGCAGTTTCCCGTTTATACCGCTCAAATATTTGGGCGTAATCCCGATGAGACGCGCCGGGAGCCCGACGGAGCGCGACATTTTAGGAAAATAAACCCTCGTTTATTAATCAAAATTCCAATGTGGCTTCCTGCAATCTTTCAAGTTGCAATATTTGTAGGAGGAGAAGGAGAGACGTGACGTATTTAATACTATATTACATATACATCTATACTTCAATAGAATATAGTCAATATGAGAATTGCAATTCAAATTTAAGTCTTTGTGCTAAGCTAAGTAGCTTCATCTTATTTAACATATACTATACTCATAGTATGAGTGGTTTCAAGTTCAACCTTTAAAATAAATGAGAAATAAAATACGCCAAACGTTTTGCTTGGACATCCTTTAGTGTCTAGTTTGCAGATGTGAGTGTGTGTGTGTGTGCGTTTCTAACCGCACAACACTGCTTTTACATGGTTGCGTTCTGGTGCCAGGTGGACACACTACAGATAAAAGATAAAGACAATCCAGACGTGTATGAAGACCCCAGAATAAAAAGGCTGTTTGGGCGGATTCGCAGAGCGAGGCCTGGACCGGGACAGGAAGTGCTGCAGTGAAGTTAACTGTTCCTCGTATTGTTGCGTAACAGACTCTCGTTAAAGGGGTTGTAGCGCTGAGAGGGACGAGTGGTGCGAGAGGGCAAAGACAAGTTGTCTTTGAGGTAAAGATTAAACCCTCGAGGGCGACAAACTGATAATTATGCGGAGGCTGCAGAAAAGCAAATGCATCATCCCTGTGACCTTTGCGACTCATTTAGAAGGGTTTCTAGAATCTTAACAGTCTCACAAAACGGTGTAATCTGAAGAAAGACACGACACATGATCCCCAGATCACAAAATTAGCAGAAACTTCAACTCCTCTTGATAACTTTTACTACAAATAAAAAAACAAAAAGAACCAAGGTCGCCTCCCTGTGGTACGGGCCGGTACTGCACCACCAACGACGCAGTGTGGCAGTGAGGGGGATGCTGATGCGGAGTGTTTGTGTTCCCAGGTGAACGGCCGAGGGGCCAAAGAGGCAGCGAGGGACTCCACGCTGTCAGTCAGCCCTTCTCCATCTAACACCTCGTCCAACACCTCGCTCATAGCCCAGCCCACTGACACCCCACCGGAGGTAACCTCAGGAAATGTCCCGCGGCGAGACATCCTCTGAGGATTTCGTCCCTTAAAGCTAACGATGTACACATTTGACTTTTTTTTCATCCAGGGTTTCATGGCGGACGCCATCCCGGCGCTCAACCTGTCCCTGCAGCAGGTGAAGGAGCTGGCGCACCAGAAGCGCTCCAACAAGAGGGCGCCGCCGATGGACTGGACCAAGAAGAACGAGCTGTTCAGCAACCTATAGGAGAGACACTCACACGCATCGCCCCAGTTAACTGTTGGCATCAGACAAATCAAAGGCGTTCCGTAAAGTGTAGTGTTCTTGCTTATTACTCTTCATGCCATTATATAATCCAGATATTATATATATATATATTTATATATATATATGCATAATAATATGTAGAATGTGATACTAACAATAAGAGATGCATATGCCAATGAAAGAGAACTGGACCATGTTGAAAATGTGTGTGTGTGTGTGTGTGTGTGTGTGTGTGGACCCTGACAGTCCCTGCTGGCCGGTGTCTGTGGAAACAAGGAGGAGTTGATGGTTGTTTTTTCATTTGCTGACCTTCCTCCTACTCCTCCTCCTCCTCCGTCCGCGTATCGGTCTGTTAAAGGTTTCTAACATTTCAAACATCATATTATTAGTTAAACCAGCGCGACAATCACTTCGTTAGTTTGTTGGTTGGAACGTCTGTCTGAACACTAAATGTTTTATTGTAGAATGAGGTTCACATGCTGATGCCTGTTTGTTATAATAAATAATCATTTCTTCGATCATATAATTCCAAACATGAACTGGTTTTTACCGGAAAATGACTTTCTTGTATTGTATGTAATATAAATATGAATACAGTATATATCATTTGTAATGGACATTTAAAATTTTGACATGAATTCCACTCTGAACTAAAAGTTTCATCCAGAAAAAAGCAATATCCTGTTTTATTAAATATGAGCGACAGACCATAACGAGTAATATCGGATAATGTCCTCTCTGCCATCATCTCTGCTGTGAACAGTTCACATTTAAAGCTTCTGTAATATTTTTATTGCTCTCGTGCGAAATGAGATTTTTACACATTTCTATCAATGTTAAAAACAATAATTATGTAACTTTGAGATGATTTATTTGTAGAAGAACTTCGGTGCATCACGAGATTTGAATGCATTTGTTTCTGTCATTGGTGATGATTAAAAAAATGGATGATTTCATTGTATAAAGAGTAAGCGATTTCTATATTGTAATAAATGCGTCATCACAACATGAGTTGTTTTTTATTCATTTATGCATTGAAAAATTCAAACCTCTGGTGATGCATAGAAGCTCGGAACAAGACTGTGTGTGTGTGTGTGTGTGTGTGTGTGTGTGTGTGTGTGTGTGTGTGTGTGTGTGTGTGTGTGTGTCGTACTGCTGGTTAATATGAGAACAATACGACTTTGGCTCAATAATTCAAAAGAAAAGAGAAAAACCATGAAGAGAAGATCTGAATGTGAATGAGGCAATATGCTGTTGTCCTACACAGTTCATCTCACTATTTATTATACAGTGTCAACTTTTTTTTTATCTATATATAATGACTGCACACAGCATTACATACATGTTTTATAATACTATTCACAGGGACAGCATTGTATTGGCATATTTGTCTGCACATTAACCGGAGCAAGAATACACCATTTAGTCATTAAATAATCCAAACATTTAACCTTCATAACAAAATATCCAGAGCAACAAGTCGTACTGTGAGTAGTATGTGTGTTAAATGACATGAATATTTGTACATCAGGCCTTTGACCTGTTGTAATGATGAAACCACAGAGAATTCTGTTGTTTCTGCTGCTCCCTGGTGGCCAAATATTTGAATTATTGCAGGTTTAAAGTGTCAACGTAGAGCTTTGGACCCATCTGTCAAAGTAAAATAAAACTGATCCGTGATCAGAGATGCAATAAGCAGCGGTTTAAGCCCTCATGTCTGTCTTCACACAACAAAAGCCATCCTTTGCATTTAATGCAGAAACCATTTAGACCAAGAGGCCTTGTAATTTCACGAATGTCATAATATGTGATCTTTACATCTTTACATAACCCTCCTTGCAGTCTCCTTTAAGCGGAGTAGTTTGAAAGCATCAGCCCCCCTGTGGAGCCTTCACCCACGGACGCGTTGTGTGTTCCTGTCACATTTCTTGAAGTGTGGTTCTAACTGTCCTCCAGCACGTCAGTCTGTCTCCAGCAGCTGTCTCCTGCTAATGGCCTCGACCTTTCTGCTCCTCCACTCTCCTTCTGGTTCTGCCATCGCGGTCACAGCTCGCTGTCGCACTCTGCGTCTCACTGGGGTCATTTGCATGATTGGACCGTACGACTTTGGCCGACGTCGGGGTTAAATGGGATAAAATGGTGACTCGGTGTGGAAAGATAATGATGATGGTTGTTATAATTGGACTATTGAGAGAAACCAAGGAAGGACTCTTGTGATTATGATTATAATGGTAAGGATGAAAGGTGTGAGGTTAATAATAACTTCAAAGCTGACCGTACAGACAGCGGTGATAACAGCATTGGATTAAAGGGCCAATGTGTTGCAACTTTGAGGGTGTATTGGCAGAAATGGAATTGTTAATTTCACAACTCAGCCCATGAGTATGTAATCACCTTTAACTATGAATTAGCTTAGAATGAGGCCTTCCCAGCTGTGGAGAGGGCGCCATGCTGCATCTTCTCCATAGTAGCCCAAAACCGACCAACAAAACACTCCTTCTAGTGACAGAAGGACATTTTTTTCACAGCAAGAAAAAAACCTATTAACTTTTTGTTATTTCAACACACTTGTATGATGTTGGTGCTCATTGTCTCATTAACAGATGGCGTTGAATCGCTACCATACGTTATCGTGGACTGTCAATCGGCGGCTCATGCTGAGCGGAGAGTTGTTCAGTTAGTTGCGATCTGCAACCGCACCACTAGACGCCATGGAAGTCTACACTCTGGTCCTTCGTCGGGGAAATACAGGCAAAGAATGTACAAAAAGCAGCCCGTTTGCTTAGCCTAGCTTAGCATAAAGACGGGAAACGAGGGAATTAGCTAGTATAGCGTCATTACATATTTAACAAATGAGACATAACGTGTTAAATAGTAAGCAAGAAGCCCTGGTTTTCTTATTACTGGTGCTAAGCTAAGCCAACAGCGCGCTAGCAGTACATGTAGCGTCATGCTAAATGGTGACGACCTAACCATGATGTACTGTTCTGAAGCATTTCCTGGCTGACTAGGCGAGGATAAAACGTGATGGTAAATTGTGATTGTGTTTCTTCCATCTTATAGCTGACATGGGATTTTCATCACAGACCCAGAAATAACCTACGACGCCTCACAACAACCGAGCACAACAGACTTCTCATCGTTTAGCCGCATTAGCACATCGAACCACCGTCGGAAGGGTGATGATATGAAGGAGGACGACGCGGATAATTAAGATGATGGAGGGGCAGGTGCGGGTCGGACCTTCACAGCTTAGGTGCAAACACAGCCGGGTTGCCGGGCAACGGTGTCCGCCGGGGGGCCCTTGTAAGGCCTGGAGCCCGGGTGAGAAGAGGGGTCGACACAACTCTACCTTCAAACCCCACAGCACGCTCAAAATAGCCCTGGTGTGTGTGTGTCTGTGTGTGTGTGTGTGTGTGTGTGTCTAGAAAGCACTGTGGAGAAAATGACAGACAAAAACAGAAGTACATGGAATAAGTGACATTGAGTGTACGGAGAAGGATGGAGGCTTGTGGAAGGTGCTACAAGCCAGCGGGCAAAGTATGACGCATTAGCCGAGCGGCGCGTAAGTCCGCTGTAACACGAGCTCCTTTCTGTCCGTCTTCTCCGAGAAAACTTCATCCCCTCCTGCCTTACTTTCCTAATGCACACACTTACGCACTCACACACCATCTCCTTTTATAAAAATACCCAAGGACAATCCTCTATTAATAGGAAGTGTTGTCAACTGGCTTTGGAGAAATGAGACCTTCTGTCCCGCTAACTATTTATGCGGCTCTTTGTAGCCGTGACCCCTCAATTATTATTCATTTTCCAGACTATTACAACTGGTTTCATTCATACCACACAGAGAAAATATCTATTTAATCAATTAAATCCTAAATCTTTGTTTAAAAAAGAAAATTACCAACAACAACAAAAAGTTTTCTTTGCCTGCATTCAAAAAACAAAAAAAACTTTTCTGCTCCGAGGGCCCATCTTTGAGACTCACTGTTATGTTATTCACTTGGCCCCTCTTTCAGCACTGGGCTTTCAGTTTACATCCTGTAGCCCCCCAGCTACACGTACAGACATCTGCGCCTGGTGCTTGACCGCCGTGAGACGCCGTGAGACGCCGTGAGACGCCGTGAGACGCCGTGAGACGCCGCTACGGTCGTCAGCCACATCGGACTTTGGACCGTGTGTCTCTCAAAGATAATTTGTCAAGATCACTTTGCTGAACAAAAATGTGTTAAGTATCATAAAGTTTTATTTACCAAAGCTTATTTTCTGCAATAATACAAAATACAGTGGAAGAATATCGATGCTTCTCTCTGGTTAGCCAAGAAACATACGTCAGCCCTGTGTGTGTGTTACCAAAAAAACTCACTCCTATTAATATTTACTCAAATTCTCAACAGGAACAATTAATGCATCCTGCTATTGATGATTACCGCTGTGGTCTGTGTGACGGTGTGCATGTGTGTGTGTGTGTTTCTGCGTATACCCCAGGAATAGGGCTTGGTTTGAAACCGCACTTAAAGCTTAGCACCATTCCGGCTAAACACCTGTCACACACAAAAACACACTAACACACACTTGGCTGCACATACACATGCAGACACACAGACACACACACACACACCTGTCTGATGCATGCCATTCACTCTGTCTGTCGCACACTCACACTTGAATGCATTGTGACATGTTCAGAAATGTTGACGCGTGTGTCTGCAAGGTCACATTTATATTCCCTCTCACGTGGCTTCTTGTTTTTCTGATTCAGTCTTCATCCAAACTGGCATCAGGTTCTGTCCTCACAGACAATGAGAGGGTTGGGGGGTGGAGGGGGGGGGGGTTGATAAAAGCCACACATCTGATGCAGCTGGAGCAACTTTTCCGCCATAAAACCGCCGGCGAGGCCAAACAGCTCTCTGCCACAGCTGCCAGAGAGCGGGTGAAACTCTCACTCGTCCTTCACGACGTCCACGTCTCTCTCTCGCTCTCTCTCTCGCTCTCTTTTCCCTCAGCTTCTCCGCGGCACTGATCCATCCTCCTTTCGCCGCCGCAGCCTCCCCGGCCCATGTGTACCCAGTCATTCCCGTATATGGCGGGGCCATCCGGCAGGGGAGCCACAGGGTTAAATATACTCTGAAGCGCCGAGAATGCCAAACGCCTCCGGCCAACCTGCCAGAGGTTAGTTAACACACACACACACACACGATGGGCACATGTGCTCATTGTCTCATTAGCGTAAGCATTTTGTGCTAGCATTCTTATAAAGCAAAGTCCCATCTATCAGGTGCATTGAGGAATGTGTTTGGTTGGTTGAGGGGGGGCAACGCACACACGTCTGAACCAACAGTACGACCTCCAAGGGAAATGTTGAGGTGTAGCACAGTGAACAGGAGCAGGACAGTAGGATATTATTTGATACGGACAGATGCAAGCTAAACTTAAAACATGACAGATTAAGATTTTTCGAGGGGGAAATAGAAACGTATTTGTTTTTTTTCATCAGTTGAACGATTCCATCACGGCTGCCGTACTGCCTCGGCCTCCAACTGGGTGGCGGAGCTCAGGTGGAGGAGCCACTGCTGCCGGGCGTGGAGCTCCACCTCCTGTTGGAGGCACAACCGCAGGTTGCGGGGCGGCCCGCTATTTCACAAAAGTCATGAAATAGCCGTGAAGGAGTATTTAAGGAACTTCTTTAGAAATAATGTGACGGCACATTGTGGACCACAGCGTGGCTCGACCTATTTTGAATTGGATACAATGTGAGACGCGTTTCCACACTTCACCGAGTTATTAGTCAGAGAGATTTAAACGTGTAATAGAAACAGTAGCCGGTACCGAGGTGTCGGATGATGTCATACGGCTCTGTAAATGAAACGGGTTGTGAGCCTCATCGCAAAGCCCAAACAGATCTTCTGAGGAGGAGGGGCTCTGTGTCAGTTTCTCCTCTGTTATCTTTTGACCGGAGGGAAGATGGGGGGTAGGGAGGATGTGTTGACATCAGCAACACAAGCGCC